ATTTAGCCCACTGACTTATCTGGAAACTTTTTTAGTTCTCTGAGTATTATTGACTCGTCATGCCGTGTTGTAGCTTTTATAGTTGTTGTTGTTGTAGCGAGAGTCTTTAGTTCGTCCTCCATGATGGTGAGTTTTCAGAAATCCACTTTCCATTAATTATTTTTATAATGAAGCTCTGTTGATTTATTAACATAAAACTTGTTATAAATGTTTCTTTGTCTACCCCTCTTGTAGTCTTTAATAATTAATTTTTTTAATTAAACTGAATGTTTATTTCCAGCCGAAATAAGTAGAATTTTAATCGCGGTAAAACTTTTCTTACAAATAATCTTTTAAACTAAAACAGTGATGATTTTTTATGTCGTTGTTTAAATTGTGTAGAAAAGGCAAAATCGTCATAAAATAACGGGATTTTCGTCGCCTATCGCTATAAACTGAGACCAGTCCAAAGTCCGATCAACTTGAAACTTTGCACATGTCAATGACCGACGAGAATGCAATAATTTGATAACAGTTTCCTATTAACCTATTTAGGACCGCCAGGATTAATAAATTCATTTATAGATCTTTTATAAGAGAATAAGAAAGACAGCACTAACTGCGCATGCCTGCAGTTTCGGAATTACTCCTTCGCTCTGGCACTCGGCACAGCACAACGGAGAACTGCATTGAATTGTAGTCAAGTTGTCGGAAGAAGTATTCGAGTACAAAGTCGTATGAAAGTCGGCGGTAAGTTTCTTACCATTTGAGGACAACCTAAATCCAAAACGTTGTGTGGAAGTTATTGTTTTTAAATTGTACGCAACATTTTACCACAAGTGTTGTTAACAATTTCGATGCAAATTAAGATGGTAGATTCACTAAAAAATTAAAAATAAATAAAAGTTTAAAAAAACTGAAAAAACCACGCTTTTATAGCTGAATTGAATTATTCTCTTAATCATTTTAATTTTATTATAATTTTTTTAAGTAATTAATTATGATTAATTGTTTGATCTGCTACTACTATAATATAAACTCTTTGTAATTAAAAATTATTTTCTACTTTTTAGTTCGATTAGCTATAAAAGCGTATTTTTTAGTTTTTTTAAACTATTATTTATTCCATGATCGTTATGTGACAATTGATTTTTACTTACTATATCATTTTTGCCAAAGCCGCTTCGAAAGTAGGCCTCATGTGCTACTTTTATTTTAGCAGTGATAAGCTTTTTTGTACGCTTGCACTTGTAAAATAAAATGAATCGTTTTATAACATATGTATATTAAAAAATTAAGAACAAATAAAAATGCTGTATTGCGATTTTTCTGTTATCGAAAACCTCCACAGTGCGTTTTAAGTATTTATAGTTTTGTAAGATCAGCACTGGCTAGTTTTTCATCTATGTATGTATGTCCTTTGTTCGCATAACTTTTTCTTTTAAAATAGGTGAACACTGTCGAATCCACGTTCACAACGCACAATTACAGATCAAACAAATGAAACTTCTTATTTAACCTAAGTTAAGTTTATACAATTATCAGTGTATATAAACAATTGTTACAAAAAATTCTTATTGCTTTAAAACAAAACATATACTGTCAGATAACTTCTGCCAGTAATTTCCAAGACGAGTTGTTTTTATATTTGCATTAAGTAGCCAGTTATACGAGTGGGTCGCACCGTTGCATAAAACGCACTGAAGTGGTCGTAGTTTTATATTCCATAATAGCTGTGCAAAATCTTTCTCTTTTAGTATAGTGAGCAATAAACCTATATGTATGTACATATTTTAGCATAAACATTTAGCGATCATTTAGTTGTACATACATACATATTTGTAACGTAGTGCATTGAAATAAAAATATCAAAAGCTTTTATTAAGCTCTTTAAACTCTCGAAATATGTTGCACAGAGTATAACAGTTTTGCTCATCTAACGATTGTAAGTGCTAGTTCACACACGGACTCTTTTTTCGTCCAAACCGCTTTTTTGTAGGCGAGGGGACGACGAGGAATGACGAAGGGGCCGTGGCATTGTGCTCTGTTGGCACGCTTTGTGTTCTTGTCCGTAACAGCGCATTTCTGCATTCCTTTTAATTTTGAAATTCTTTTCATAGTTGCAAGAGCGCCAGGTTTCAAATTAAATCAATCAATGCGATTCGTCTGGAAATTTGAATATTGATATCTATATTTTGCATATAATATGCAAATATGCATAGTATAATAAAAATATTTTGGAAAATGGTGAATAAGAATAAACATAAGAAACTCATAATAACATTTAGCATTTCATAATAATATATTTAAAAGAAACGAAATACTTTTACTTTTTTATATATTATGATGCGTTCAAATTCATTTTTTTAGAATTTCCAGAATTTAGAAACAGAGTTTGAAATACATTAAACATTCTGCAATTAGAATTAAAAATTCGAGTTTCTGAGCGTATTTTGTTTTATTTGTTACAATTGCTTGTGCAAAATAAATCTAAAACACGATATACCCAGTTTATTTGTTCTATGTGTATTTTTACTGATGCTGGAAACAGTCACCGATGTTCCGCCCTTCCGTAGTTATTGGCCGTATTAAACAAAATTTGTTAATAGTTGTGCCCGTAGTGGCAAAGTAGAAATCAGTGGATTGTTCTCTTTTGTTTTCATTTCCCCAATGTTGCCATTTCTCAATTTATATAAATGATTTTGCACAAAAACAAAAAACTACAATCCAACTATTAAAAATAGTGTACCTATTTTTAAATAAATATACAAATATATCCAAGTTTATTTTTTAATTACTAAAAGATATCGAGACTGGCAACCATGCGCTGCAAGAGAGCAATCAACTGACTCGTTTCTACGGAAAAAATCCCATTTTCGCGGTTATCCTAGCGTACGTTCGGTGGAAGCGGACGGTAGAAGCAATGTTGGGTGTTCATTAACATTGCACTCTCATAAGATAGGTCGTATCAGCTGATTCGGTCTACGGTTTTGCGTTGGTGACTGTTATGGTATTTTAAAATAAAAGTAAATCCTGAATCACACCTAATCGTGATCAAATCAGTGTAAAAATACGTCTCAGCTTTCGAAAACCTCAGACCTCAAGATATAAAATCAAGAAGGAACGCATTTAATCTGACTTCGTGCAAACACTGATGGTTTACATAAATTTGTGCTACTGGCAATTAGAAAAGCGAATCACCAAGTATTTCCTAATCCACTTCATTACAACTTTTCAAAAAATAATCGGATGACTTCTCGAATTTTTCATGAGAAACAAATGGTTGAGTTATTTTAAAATATGTTGTGGGTTCAAATAAAAATAATTTGCATCCGAAGGCTGTTTTATTTATTGATAACTTACTTACTCCGTTCATGCACCAATTGAGAAACTTCAAAATGATGAAGGTGGCTTCTAAGTTTTAAATCTTATCGCAATTGTCTAAATTTACTTAATTTTTTTAGTTATAAACAAATGAAAAACTTCCAGGAAATTAAATCATTCGTATATTAGACACACCTTAAAAACAAATTGATTATAATTTCTGAGCGTTGTTATTGTTGTTGTAACGGTTAACTAGTACCCGCTTGTGTGGTAAGTTTCACTTTGGTTGCCGTCGAGGTCATCTAACGGAAGGACCAGAAAACGAATTGTTTCGATGGGGTCAGACCATAGGGTGAAGGGTGTTAGATGAGTGGGGTGTGTTGGGCACGTAAAGAGGTGGTTAGTGTCATGCGGAGACTCATTGCTGCAGGACATGTATTTTGTATGTCGAGGTCGATTCTGGATAAGAAGGAGTTTAACCTGCTATAGTATCCAGAACGAAGTTGCGCAAGTTTCTGAGTTTCCGTTGACTGTATCGGTAAAACCGATAATTTTATAATTGGAAAAAGTGTGACTGTTACTAATGGCAATATCTTATTTTAAACAAAAAAATGTGAACACAAACAAAAAGGTTTTATGCTTTAAATACAGTAAAAAAACAAAACTATGCGCCATGTACAAAAAAAAAAAAACAGCGAGATATATACAATTTCCATAAAGCAAACGGGGAAACAGGATATTATTAGGACTGGTAGGTTAGTGACCAAATATTTTCCTCCTAAAGAGGTATTCACAGCCCTCCACACTAAATAGCTGCAAAACATATTAGCACCTAAAAAATTTAATCTTTCTGAAATAAACAAAAAAAAATTTCCCATTATTTAGAAAAATATATTTTATGTTATTTGATTTGGGAAATGTGTATTTACAAATTTCCATATACGTATTAAGCGCGAAGAAGTCTTCCTAGAATTAAATTTGTTTATTTCCAACAAAGTGGATAGGATGTGGGTTTCCCCTTCCATACTAACCACCACATCCTCCAGTTTTGCTACCTTTCTAAACATTCCCCAACCATGGCTACATATCTGTTACCATTACTATTATTCTTTGTAAAAACATAATACATACATACATACATAAATCATATAAAAGTATAGACACAATATTTTAAAAGCAAAGTCGCAAGCAGTAAAAGTACTCACGTTGCATTATCCTTGGGAACAATTTGTTCTGCATCCAGTTCTACTGTCTCCACTTCCATGTCCGATGATTGGTCCTGTTCGTTATCACTATCTAATACAATCACTTCATCCATTAAATATAAGTCACGTATTAGTAACTAAGCTTCGATGTAACAATTTGTTTCCTAATTACAATAAGATATTTTTGTTGGAGCCGAAAACGACTCCAACAAATATATTTATGTATAAAAGCAGAAATTCTGAGCAACACGCGTGCAAATCTTCGCCCCGATTTTAAGTACCGAGAAATAAAAAAATATAGTGGTAGAAACCACTGGAATAGAAAGACAGCACACAACGAGAATAACCAAATTGATTAAATAGATTAATGATTTTACTATTATTTTAAATAACACGCGTCACGATTTTTCTAAATTTTCTGGTTTCCGTCTTGTTTGAAGTATATGGAAGTATGTTCCACAATATACATATTTCCCTACCTTTGCACGAAAAATTTTATATTACCTACAGGGCCACAAAATAAAAAGTGATGAAAAGCAAACAAATGTTTCTCCTATCAATTTTTTATGCTTCCAATCCTTCTGATGAGTCACGATGCAACTCTGATAATTGAAGTATTGCCAGAGTTATGTGGAGACATTGCCTAATTAATAAACAAAAGATTTAAGTCTAAAAAATTTACCAAGTCAGATATATGAACAAATACATGTATGTAAAGAGACTGCTGCTTATATAAATTTATTTTTATATACGATAATTGTATATAGCACTTGAATTTCCAAATCTTAGCACTCTATATATTCATCCACTGCCAGTATGCCATCCAGCGGTTGATAGCTAAGATTTAATAAGACATTACAGTTTGTATCTGGTAACACTTCTTAAACGCACATGCTTTTGTTTAACAATTTTGCTGTTCTGATCCTAAATAAAACTTCCTAATTTAAAATGAGACCTGTTAAGAAAGATAGGATTTTACTTAGTTCTAAACCTTTATCAGGTATTAAAAAAACCAAGCCAATAAAGGTACTAAAGGCTGTAAAAAGAGTAAAAGATAGAGGTGAGAAAACAAAATTGACTTTTAAAAATGTGGACACAACCAGTAAAGAAGAATCTAAGGAAAAAAAACAGTCCACCTACAAAGTAATTAAAACGCCAAAATATGTGAATACATCTTTCAAATCTCACATAAACCAACTTGAAAATTTAAAAGATATCGATCCTGAGTTCTATGACTTTTTGAAGCAAAATGATAAAAAATTGTTGGATTTCAATTTGTTTGACAGTGACGAATCTGAGGATGATAATGAAAGTAACATTGCAATGCTCAACAGTAAAAGTAATTCAACGACAAACGAAAAGAATGGTGAAGAAACCGATGATAATGAAACTGATGAAGGGAAGTATCACACACCTAATAAAGAATTAGAAGTCGCAAGTGACGAAAGTGACTATGAGAACGATTATGAGGATTCTGTTCCTGGTGGCACAGAGAAAGTAACATTAAATCTATTACGTCAGTGGCAAATAGAACTTGAAAAGGAAAATGTATCAGTCGAAATTGTTCGCAAAGTTATTCAGGCGTTCAGTTCCGCTTTGGAAAGTATTTCTGCGAATGAAAGGAGTATAATACCAACTCAATATAAAGTGGTAGGTTCAGCAATTTTTAACGGGGTTGTGCAGCTTTGCGTGTTGCACATCCAACCCGCAATTCTTCGCATATTAGGTTTAAATGTGCGTTCAACAGCTCCGCTACATAAAACCAAAAAATGGGCTAAGGTGCGAGGCTGTTTGCGATATTATTTTACTGATTTAATACGATTGGTAGAACAAGTATCTAGTGCAAACATACTCTCAGTTTTATTGAAACATTTACATCAAATGGCTGGTATGATTGCCTCATATACATCTCTTGGAAAAACTATTCTTAAGCGATTAATTGTATTATGGTCGACTGGGGATGAAACAATTCGAGTGCTAGCGTTCCTTTGTATATTGAAGATAACTCGTAATCAACAGGTTAGTATGGGTTCAAATGTTTTCTTATTATTTTGACTATTTATTTGTCTTCCATTTTAGGATTCAATGTTGCATCATGTCCTAAAAGCTATGTATCTCTCATATGTACGTAACTCAAAATTTGTGTCCCCAAACACGCTACCCAGCATAAATTTCATGCGAAGATCATTGGTAGAAATATTTGCTTTGGATTTAAACACATCCTACCAACACGCTTTTCTTTACATCCGACAATTGGCGATTCATTTGCGTAATGCGGTCATATTAAAAAAAAAGGATAGCTTTCAAGCTGTTTATAATTGGCAGTTTGTTAATTCTTTGCGTTTATGGGCTGATCTATTAGGTGCTACAACGAATAAACCTCAATTGCAACCTCTTATTTATCCACTTGTCACTATAACATTGGGAGTGATTCGTCTTATACCAACTGCGCAATACTTTCCATTGCGTTTCCATTGCTTAAAGATGCTGATAACTATGGCTAGAGAAACACGCATATTTATCCCCATTCTTCCATTAATAATTGAAGTTTTGCGGAGTAATACTTTTAACCGTAAGCATACAGTTGCCTCAATGCGTCCATTACAGTTTACCTGTGTTTTGAGATTAAACAAAGGTCAATTATCTGAAAATGGTTTTCGTGATGAGGTAATCGAGCAAGTGAATGCTCTTGCTTTAGAGTACTTGACGCATGAATCAGCATCTCTAGCATTCAGTGATTTAGTAGTGCCAACAGTATTATCGTTGAAAAGCTACCTAAAAGCGTGTCGCAATGCGAATTATTCAAGAAAAATAAAACAACTGTTGGATAAAATACAGGAAAATGCTCGATTCATAGACCAAGAACGTCGAAAAATCACCTTTTCTCTTAATGATATAGCTCAAGTCCAATCTTGGGAGGCGAAGATATATAATAAGGGAACACCTTTAGCTATTTACTATGAAAGTTGGTTGAAGACACATGAAACAAAGAAAAGACGTCAAGCTGCTCAAATTGACAACATCAATATCGATTATAATATTCCAAGCATTAAGCGTTTAAGCAAGAATGGTGTAAAAGTTAGGAATGAAAATGGTGATGTCGAATTATTCCCGTCAGAATCCGAAGAGGACGAACAGTTATTAACCGGTATAAATAAAGACACTAAAGGTATCAAGAAAAAAAGTAATCGAATAAGTAAATTGGAAAATAGAAGTCAAAGTAAACAGGTAGAGCCGGAAGCTGATATACCACTAGAAGAATCGGAACAAGAAGAAATGGTTGACATAGTAAAGGAGCTTGATATCGAAGATTGGTGAATAATGAAAATACAGACTTTAAGTGCTAAATAAATAATAAATTTACATATAATGAATTAAATTCAATTTCGTAAAACATTTAGTGGATTATTTTTTTTCTGGGTATTTTCCTAGTATAATTTCATACTCCATAAACTTTGGGAATGTGCCGATCGTTTCCTTTTCCTTAGGCAGCAATTGTCCTCTATAATGTTTTTATAATTATTTTGTATATCTAATTGTTTTCCATTTTAGGAATCAATGTTGCATCATGTCCTAAAAGCTATGTATCTTTCATATGTACGTAACTCAAAATTTGTATCCACAAACACGCTACACAGCATAACTTTCATGCGAAGTTCATTGGTAGAAATATTTGCTTTGGATTTTAACACATCCTACTAACATGGTTTTCTTTACATCCGACATTTGGCGATTCATTTGCGTAATGCGATCATATTGAAAAAAAAGGATAGCTTTCAAGCTGTTTTAATTGGCGGTTTGTTAATTCTCTGCGTTTATGGGCGATTTATTAGATGCTACTATGAATAATTTAATTGCAACCTCTTATTCATGCACTTGTCACTATAACATTGGAAGTGATTCGTCTTATACCAAATGCGCAATACTTTCCATTGCGTTTCGATTGCATAAAGGTGCTGATAACTTTGGCCAGAGACGCATATTCATCCCCATCCTTCCATTATTAATTGAAGTTTTACGAAGTAATACTTTTGACCGTAAGCACACGGTTGCCTAAATGCGTCCTTTATAGTTTACCTGTATTTTGAGACTTCACAAAAGTCAATTATCTGAAAATGGTTTTCGTGGTGAAATATATATCAAGAACGACGAAAAATCACCTTTTCTCTTAATGATATAGCTCAAGTGCAATCTTGGGAGTCGAAGATGTATGATAAGGGAACACCATTACCTATTTACTATGAAAATTGGTTGAAGACGAATGAAACAAAGAAGACGTCAAGCTGCTTAAATTGACATCAATATCGATTATAATATTATTAGCATTGAGCATTTAAACAAGAATGACATAAAAATTAGAATTCAGATTCCGAAGAGGAGGAACAGTTATTAACCGATATAAATAACGACACTAAGGTATCAAGAAGAAAAATAATCGAAAAAGTCAATTGGAAAATGGAAGTCAAAGTAAACAAGTAGAGCCGGCAGCTGATATACCACTACAAGAATCGGAACATGAAGAAATGATTGGCGAAAAGTGAAAATGCAGACTTTAAGTTTTAAATAAATAATAAATTTACGTATTATCAATTACATGTAATTCAATTTTATAAACATTTAGTGGATTATTCTTTTTCTGGGTCTTTTCCTGGTATAATTTCATACTCGTTGTACTTTGGAAATGAACCGATCGTTTCCTTTTCCTTAGGCAACAATTGGCCTTTATCATCTTTTGCTCCATACGTTGCTTCGAGTTCTGCGGCATTTCGTTGCTTCATTTCCATTATGGATAAATTCTTAACTAACTCTTCACGAGTAGGAGGGTTATTACGCCGACCACGTAACCATGCTTCCCATTCAGCTGTAAGTTCTTGATCGAAAGCTTCTTTGTCTGTCGGTACAAAATATCGGGAAGGCCTCCTCTTTCCTATTGATGGATTTGCAGGTATTTCATAATATTTATTACCGAAATAATCTTCCCCTATAAAATTTCCTTTTATTTGTCGAGGCCGTAATGAATTAAAGAAATTATTGATTATTATTTTAATAAGATCGCGGGATGGTGTCTTTGGAGCCATTTTGATCTGGAAAATATATCAATTTTTTTGACATTTAATTGCTGTACAATTTGTATTGCATAAATAAAGATGTAAAATAAGCAACTGATCAACAGAACACAGTGTTGGGAAATAACAAAAAAGTGCTCAGGAAAGCATTCATACAGATATTCAATAAAAATGGTTATTACGCCGTGTTTCCGCAGGCAATACCCATTGTCAACCATCTTTCAAATACATTGCCATTGAGGTTGGCAATGTTTTTATGTGGGCATTTGCTATCGTGAAATAAACATTCTCGAATGGCGCCGGGTAGGTATGTTCGAGCTGATATAGCGCATGCAGAGAATGTCGATTATATATATTATATATTTTATATTCTCTGGCGCATTCTTGAGTTCTTAAACCGTTTAAAAATTTTATGAGGATGACACAAATGTATGAAGAGAATGAAAAAAGTAGAAATTTACTTATTTCGACAAATGTATTATTTGGAAAAATAAGATTTCATATTTTAAGACTTAAATAATTTTTGCATAATGTTTATTTACCAAGGCAATAATTAAGTATAAGCATTGATAATGACCAATGACCAAGCCGATCCCACGAAAGTCGGGTCTACGTAACCGGAACGGACCCGGATTTTAGCCGGCCAAGGACTGCAACTCGGCAGAATTCTGCCACTTCAACAACAACAACAACCAATGACCAACCATTAAAACATTTTCTTGCATGTGAACGCGAGATATATTTTCTAGCAGGTGAATGCGATGGGTAGGACAGATAACGTGCGTTTAAATATGTTCAACGTTCTTTATTTTATTACATTGCGAAAAGATGAAAAACACGCTGATGTCACACAGCTGAGTACTTCATAAAGTACTTCAAAACAAATAATAATAAGGAAACTGAAGAAAACAGTGACGGCATATGCAGAATAGTTTTTCAGTTTATATATCTATACAAATAGTTAATTAAAGCTTTAACAATACGCAAATATGTTTTTACGCAAAAAACCGGAAACGAATAAAAGAAGAGCTCAAGATTTATCACAGGTAAAATGAATATATTTATAATATAATTATTTTCTGTTTACAAATTGAATGAGTCATCAAAGCGATTCTTATATGCGTACCGTCTTAGTTTGGCCTAACGGAAATTCCAGATGACTTCGATCCAACGGGCGGTTATATGGAAATGGAAGATAATGATAGTGATTTGGAAAATGAATTAGCTGAAATTACAAATGGAATAAGTAAAACTCACAAGCCCCGAATTAAACGAGAACAGACTAATGATCTTGATAAAATGGTCGCTGAAAGTATGAGAGATATTGGCAGCGATGATGAAAATGACGCAGATTTGGAAAATGATACCCAACTTTTAAGTGAATTGAATAACATTTCAGGATTGGAAGAAAGTGTTGATTTAATTACGGAAAACCAGCTCCCAGGTACTAACGTTAATGCACTCGATAAAGAGCAAGATACTTTCTTGCCTACAACGAGCTTAGATATATTGCAGCTTATTCAGCAACGTATCCTTATGTACAAATTGGCTGAAACGAGTGCTAAAGAGACAGGAGAAAGTGCAAAGGTGCGAAGATTTGGCAGAGCACTTAAAACTTTATTGGAGCTACAACAAGCAGCCAATAAGGGTAAAGAAGTTAAATTAGAGGATATTCCACCAGAGGTCAACGTTAAGCCGCTACCTCAAAACGAAGACAACTCGACAAGCAAGGCGCCTTCACGATCTGCTCCTCCTCCGCCATTTAAATCTGAAATAGAAATAGATGCAATTTCTCCTCCAAAAATGCCTATCAATGAAAAATCAGATAAAACAATAATCTTGAATAAAATGAGAGAGCGGCAACACCAATATAAAACAGCAGCTCTACAAGCAAAACGGAATGGGGACACGAGCCTGGCAATACAGTTTCTCAAAGTCGTTAAAAAGTTTGATATGGTCATACAAATGACAGAAGACGGCCAGGAGGTAGATTTGAGTGATATGCCTCCATCCCCGGATCAATTTTTGGACTTCTTATCTAAATTGCAAAAAAATACTGAAGAAGACAATAAGAGCCTTTCTACGCTACCTCAACCATGTGAAAACCCTGATCAAATTGGTACCAAAGATAACAGAAGCGTGTCTCTTACCATGGAAGAAGCTCTTCAACAACGACTGGACAAATATAAATCTGTACAAGAATTGGCAAATGCAGAAGGGAATTCTAGCAAAGCTCGTAGATTTGGGCGCATTGTGAAACAATATGAAGACGCGTTTAAACAATATAAAGCTGGCAAACCGGTAGCATATGATGAATTGCCCGTTCCACCAGGCTTTGGTCCATTGCCTTCGGAAAATGCCTCCGCAACAAATTCCGATGGTCCGGTAGATACTGTAGTACCCAAACATTCGGAAATACCAAACGATGAAACCAATTCAAGTAAAAGATCTTCAGAGGAAACACCAACATCACTGACAGCCCAAACATCGCCGCAGAAGCTCGATCTAACCACCCGAACATCAGGAAACCAGCAAAAAAACAATTTAGCTGAGCAACAGATGAAAATTCTTCTTGAACGACAAGCTGAATTCAAAATTGCAGCGATAGAGGCAAAGAAAGCTGGTGAAATTGACCAGGCTAAGGAATACCTTAAGATATACAAAGGATTTGATGCTTTGTTAAATGCGGCTAGTAGCGGTTTGCCAGTAGATCTTACTTCGGTATGCTTAGGTAATGTCTATACATGCAAAGTAAAGTATGCAAATATTTTTTTAGTTGCCACTACCTCCATCTCAACGTGACAATCTCGAAGCATCATTTGCTATTATTAGTACAGAAGAATGTGACCCAGAGAATGAATTGTCTGATATTGGTATACGAATTGAGGAGCAATTAGCGAAACAATTAATGATGTGCAAAAATACAAGGTAAAAAATGTAGTAACAATATGAAACCGTATGAAAAATATTTGAATTTTTAAAATATTCAATAGGGATCATCATAAAGCCATGGGAGATGTAGCCGGTATGAATCGTTTTGAAAATTTGGCATTGACCGTGCAGAAAGATTTGGACTTAGTGCGTTATTCGAAGCATAAGAACCTCAGTTTACCCAAATTTCATTATGAGAAGCGAAGTTTTAATATTGTGCACTGCAACACAGACCTTTCTGATAACGAATTGGAAATCGTTGTTGTGCGTGGGCTCAACTATAATGTACCTAACTCAAAGGATGTAGATACTTATGTCAAAATTGAGTTTCCTTTAGTGAATGTAAGAAAGTGAAATTGCATTTTTTTCGAATTTTTTAACATATTTAATCATTTTAGGATGAGACATTTAAAGCCAAAACCTCAGTAATTAAGAATAGTGACAGTCCAGACTATGATCAACATTTCCAGATTGAAATCAATCGCGGTAACCGACAGTTTCAACGTATATTTAAGAGACATCATGTAAAATTTGAAGTATACTCTCGCGGGTAAGTTAAAGGTGTTAGGTATAGTAAAATAATATCTTGAATCTAACTAAACACATTTTAATTGACGTTTATAGTGGAACATATTACAAACTAATATTAGTTAATTAGTCAATAATTATATATTTTGGTTATCATTATGAAAAAAATAGAAAGAAATTTCATTATAAATAATGCTTCACATATAACAAAAAATTATAAATATACAGCATAGATTGTCGTGGACTAAGTTGTATACTGCCTACGTGTTGTTTCAGAGGCTTTTTGCGTTCAGATATACTCATAGGAACGGTTAATGTGAAATTACAGCCCCTGGAAACGAAATGTGATATACACGATACTTTCAATGTAAGTCACGAAAACAAAATATTTTACACGTCGTTATATGAAATAATTAAAAACATACATATATACATATTGAAATGAAAATGTAAATTAATTGGAAGTATTATCAAATGTGTACATATGTATGTGTCTAAATACGTATACAAAATTTGTAACAAATAACTTTTATATTTATTTTCTGATTGTAACAGTTAATGGATGGCCGAAAAGCGGTTGGTGGTAAATTAGAAGTTAAATTACGAGTTCGAAACCCCATTCTCACAAAACAAGTGGAGCATATTGAGGAGAAATGGTTGGTAGTGGATTCTTAGATGGTCGGTTCTATATATATTATAGAATAAATATTATTAAATGTGTTATTTATTTTCACTTATTTTTTATTATTGAATATTAAATGGTATTACTTATATGGCTTTGTTTGTTCATACCATATATAACATTTACATGTGTAAGATGGAGATATATCCATATTGAGATATACATAATACCGGGAAGATAAAAATTGTTCATACAAAAGTATCTTTAATTTGAAAATAGTTTATGCCAAAAAGCAGACATCTATTACCCTTTGAAGTTGCAATAAAATACATATTGCACTTAACAAAGCAAAAAAAAAATTGTATTATTTACCAAATTAAAATGTAAACCAAAAATTTCTGTACCGCAAGTTTGCTTTAATGGAAAAGCTACAAAAATTTAATTAAATCACGTTTGCAAAAAAAATATACATACCTACGTTAACATAGTTTATCGTCGATTAAGTAGAAGTAATTTTTAAAATAAATTATGTTGCATTATATTTTCTATTTGATTTTTTTCCTTTTTGATACATGCTTATGGTATAAACTGTTTTCTTATGTGTATACATTAGAGTTTGTTCTTACTAAAGTTATTATTTAAAACTAAACAAATATATCTAGAAACTCGTTTCAATATATTCAATTGTATCGGAAAAATTGCTCTTTCTATTAAAGAAGTCAATGGCTCGGACCTTAAAGAATCCTGAAATAGAAATGAAAGAGGATAGAAGAATGAGTTTACGAGTTTAACTATTGACTTTTTCAAGTTTACCGTTAACATAGGAATCAATGGGAGCATATTGAAATGATGGAAAAGGCAAATGCCAGTTTTCACTTATAAAACTCCATTCTGCAGTCTGATTTACTTGAAACCAAACTTCATAGGTTTTAAGACAATTAGTAGTGTTAGCAGTTTCACGCCAAGAAATAAATATTTCCCCAATTGTAATTTTTGTAATTGTTGGTGGTTCAGGTTGCTTCAGCACATGCGAGAAATTAGAACAAACGCGAAATAATAAAATCCATGGAAGCTGTAAACCACCAATATTTAAAATAAATTCAGACATCTGCAACAAACCGTAAGCTTGTAATCGAGGAGTTTGAGCGTATCGCATCGCTGCACGCTCTATTGCGTTGGGAAAGGGCCTTGATCCGGCTTGAGTCCTCCAAATATATGCTGGATCTGTTTTTTCTTGCTCCAATATTTCTACCACATAAGCGAAAGTCTCTACAGAGCAGGACTTGAAAGGTAATTGACGATGAAGTGTGAAATTTTCCAGTTTTTTTGTATTCTCTCTCGGTAGAAGCAGCCAACTTACGTACAAGGGTTTAGTTCCGGTGGAACTTGTTTTTAAAAGCCATAATACGTCGTTTGAATTACTTAGTGTAATTACTTCAATATCAGCAGCAACTGGTGCTAGCTTTGAGAGCATACCCAAGGCTGCATATACGGGTTTTTGTATAAATTGCGAATGCACTGGTTGTGAGTTATTCATTCGAAAATGTGCTAGAAGAGATCGTTGCGCGAATTCAAATGGATGATAACTGATAAAAGCATTATCGTGGCTGATAGATTCAAGATATTTGAATTCTCTATAATTCAATTTAGCATGCCAGTGCAAAAACACAATGTATACGAGTTTAGCCGCATAACGAACATCCTCGTAAAAATCCTGTGGGGTGGACCAACCAGCAATGGGATCCGCTTCACTTTAAATATATAAAATTTAATTAATACTTTTTTTATTGCGCCGATTTAATAAGCGCATAGGTACTTGTGTGTATATACATACATACAAGTAATATGCATATGGGCATAATCGATCTAATTTATTCAATTAGGCTTGTATTATAACTAATTGCATTATTAAAATTTTGTCTGTCAATTCACAACAAATGTATTATATGTTAAAATACCTTTAACGGCTATTAATGTATGTATATACATACAACCATATGTCCAAAATCTAGCTTTTCTGGAACTTACTCATTTGATACCGGTAACATATTAATATTAGCATAGTTTGTATAAAGATTCTTTAATAATTTACTAGATGCTTCTAAGACCTCTGTTGCTAGACCTTGACCTTTTCGATGATATGTGAGAACATTTATTGGACAATGACTTATTTGATCGTTACAATTTTTAAGTAACGACCAGCAGAGCGGATGTTTCCTTTTGGATTTAAACAAACCTGCTGGTCCTCGCAGTGTAAAATCTAATGGCTCATTATACATACGACCAGCTGATTTAATACCTTTCCGTAAAGCCATAGCGTATTCGATAAAACCTACTTTTTGGAATGTTTTATAAAATTAATTTTTAGTATGTTAGTATAGTTTTGCATCGAATAACCTTCTACAGTAAAATTTAATATATTGTAACTGTGTATATCCGGTTCATTCCAGGTCTCAAACCGCCACTTAACAAGATTCTTAGCACCCAATAAATCTGCAAAGTTAACTGATTTTTGTATTATTTCAAAAATATAGATGTATGTACATATATACTTAGATAGCGCTTAGTGACTTGATAGCTGAAATCTTCCCAAATATCATTCATGATATCGGAATTGTTTATTAAAATACCATCCAGATCAGTCATGAATTCAATAACCGGATAAAGTCCTAAATCATTTAAGTTTAATATGAATACATCAAGATCGGTAAAGTCATAAACTGGTACTCCAGCCTGAGTATATTGTACAAATTTAACAAGTTCCAAGAGCCAATGGATGCGTATGTGTGTTAATGCGCCTGTTGGTAGCGCTGCGAGGTGCATCAAATTCATTTGCACCGATTCAGAGAATAGACTAGATTTTAAACTTTCTCGTTTGATGTCTCCAGATGGACAAAAGCCTGTGTTTGTCCAAAAACGGGGTAATTGGTAATATGACTCATTTTCAATGTGGCTGTGATTTTGTAGCGGAATGAGTGCAGCTAAATACATCAGCAAAGAGCCAACCATCTTTTCAATTGAAATTATTGCTTTCTACCGATTCAACTTGTTATGAAATGCAATATATGTATATAATAGATATGTAAGTATGAATGCTATGTTATACATACGTACATTACTGTAGTCTTTGTTTTTCTAAGTTGACAAATATAATTGCTATGAAGTATTAAAATTGGTTAATAATCGCGACGGTTAAACGAATACACTTCTTGGCGAAACTAAGTTAACGAGTTACTCTTACTAAGTCATTTAGAATTGAACGGAATATAATTTCGTTTACTAATACGAGAACGAAGTCATTAAAACACCACTTAGCGTGATTAATTACTAAATTAAATTTGTTAAATATCCCAGTGTATATGGTACCTACACATTCCTTGATTAATTTACATTACTGTGTACTTCCTTCACAAGTTTAAGAGAATGAGTGTATTTGACATATGATATGTGTATGTATGTAGATATAAGCATGTATGCAAATCCAGTCAGCAAATACCAATAACCGTATTCGACATGCGAGATGTTCAAATTTTCTTTGTAATTTGTTTTATTGAGTAAACATATATGTGTATCAAATCTTTACGATTTAAGCATAGACATGCATACATCTTAGCTGAGGTTGGGATTTGTGCCTATTTGCGAAAAAAGGAGGAAGGATATTTCTGTTTTAAAAAACAAAAGTCTGTATACAGTGTCGTCCATGACTTTGCAATAGTGGACATTAATTATAAACGTGAATCGTTTGAACTAAAAAACTGTAAAAGTGTTGGGCAAGCTTCTTATATTAAAAAAATAAATTTTACATTTTGTTTGATCCTCTACATATACACAGGTACATATGTACATACATATTATTATATCCGATATATAATTTTGGTCTATAATATACGTACCTTTTGCATAATAAAAAGCACGGAGGCATTATTAATTTGTTAAATGGGTTGTCTTGCATAAAATCAATTACCGTTATTAGCTTCTAGCTACTATCTGTGATCTATGATTTCTGATAATCAATACATACATATATTCGATAAATGTTGTGAGTGAAATACACAGCACATACATTTGATCAAATTTCAAAGCCACAAGTATTTCAGTAATTTTAGCAGCTCCTGCCAATCCGTAATATTAACTGATGAAACACTACTATTTAAGATTATTAGTATGCCGTCCAACAAAGTGAAACCATCGCCAATACAGCGCCACCATATTGGCTTAAATCAATTCTTGCGCCAACCACAAACACATAACTCAATTTTTAAGGACATGCGAATCACATTATATGTTTTGAAGGCAACAGGTCTGTTACCAATCTACGAAGAGGTTTCTAGATATGAAGTTGGACCACCTACAAAGGCAAACATTTTCTATTCATTTTTCATTCGAGGGGTTGTACAAACCTTTACTTTATTCAACCTCTATAATCTCCTAACGCCTGGATCAGCACAACTATTTTACTCCTACAGTGATACAGATAATGTGAATAAATGGATTGAGTTTTTATTGTGTATGTTATCTCATTCGACGACTGTTATAATTTGTGGTAGAAATTCAAAACTATTTATAAAAATCATAAATGAAATATTGAAAGTGGATGAGGATGTCTTTGACCGATTCCGAGAAACTTTGGAAAATAAATGTGAATTCTCACTAAAGTACATCGTGGGCATATGTATTTGCCAATGGTATTTAATGGTACTACGCGTTTTAGCTGTTAAAGATACTATTAACGTTAACTCATATATATTTATATTTATCTACGCTATGCAAAATGGCATGACAACTATTTTCATTGTTTTTACGGCGGCTTTATTAAGAATCCTAAAGATGCGTTTCACTCACATAAACGCAACCCTCAAAAGTTACACGTATAGCGAACGGCGTAAGCTACGACGTATCCCAGGAGAAGATAGAGATGTAATTACAATGGACTCTTTTCCTGAGGATTCTTTATTTATATACCGTATTCACAATAAGTTGCTACGGATCTATCGTTTAATTAATGATTGCTGCAGCTTGATTTTGGTGGCATATATGGGTTATGCGTTCTACACTATTACTACTACTACTTATAATCTATTTGTTCAAATAACAACACAGCGCTTATCATTTAATGTGTTACAAACATGCTTTGTGTGGCTTGCAATGCACACATGTGTCTTGGCACTACTGTCAAAAAATTGTGGACAAGCTACAGATGAGGTAAATATACATGTTACTAATTACTTCGAATTCAGTTTTTATTATTTCTCTATAGGCTAATGGAACTTCGCAAGTTTTGGCACGTATCTACGGCGCAACTAAAGATCATCAAAATATAGTAAACATAAATAAGAAAAAATTTCATTGAGCAAATAATAATTAAAAATTTATCTGTAGGTGGACAAGTTTTTAACAAAAAGTATTAAGCAAGAGGTGCAATTCACTGCTTACGGATTTTTCATAATTGATAACTCCACACTTTTCAAAGTAATGTATTATAATAATACAATAAATTAGTACAATTGTAGTCAATTAATGTTTATTATTAGATCTTCTCAGCTGTAACAACTTACTTGGTAATTTTGATCCAGTTCAAACAATTGGAAGATTCCAAAATGGAAGATGATTCGAGTTAAATTGCGAATATATAACAAATAATTCCTTTTCACTATTACCAAATTATTAAATATTTATTCAATCATACACAATACAGCATTATTCATAGCTTTTGAACAAATATTATATATAAAATTTCAAAGTAAATGAAAATGTTTAAATTTTCACTGAAATATACAGTAATTGTGTAAACCTTAAATATTCTTCAATTTTCACAATTTATTTAATGTAAAGTTAAAAAATCTTTTATATTTTGAAGGTTGATATTATTTATTGAAGTCTTTCTTGGAAATAAAGGAATTACCTACATAATTTCTAGTTTGGCATCTTCATTTCAATCGACAAATTTTGGTTTTCGTCTTGTTTCTCCGAAAAGGAATGAGCACATTCTATCCAGTGCAAAAGCAGCTAAAGTATCCGCCAGCAAAATAAGCACAAGCATTTTACGAAACTAAATTGTAAAAAAAAAAAGATTATTTGAAATATCGAGTAAAAAATGCTCATCAAATTTTATTATGCAATCCATTTTTATCAGATATGACAATGTTATTGAATGTACTTACATCTTCGGGGAATGATACAATTTCAAAAGTTTCTGTAAGTTCGGATGAGAGGTCCAAAGAAAGAAATAAAACTAAGCCTGTTGACACTAAAATGGATATTAGCAGTGGACGATTTTCACGCAAACTCTCCATAAAAGGATGCCCCTGTTAAAATTTTAATTTTAAAATGTAACTATTGATTACATGATTGATGTTTTTCCAGTTTATACCTTGTGGTTAACAGCGAACGTAGATACTTGTAGAGCAAGACAAATTATGTAAACAGTGCTATTAATGATATTGGGTTGAAAAGTTTGCTTTTCTTCTGGATCCATATCTATATAAAGTTTCACTTTCCCTGTTCTTTTGCGTAATGATAACTACCACTTAGTAATGTTAACGGGTTAGTCAAAACCAATAAGCTTACCTTTCAGGAGCCCGATCTGTTGCCTCTTGTGTTAAATAGTAAAGTGCGCCAAAATGTACGGCGAATTGGCAGAGTATCGTTGATACACTATAGAGGTTAAATATATTTGGCAATGGTGCAGTTTTCGATAGGGTTTTCAGCGGCTAATTATTTTAAAGGATGTATGAATATTATTCAATAAATATTTGTTATAAATGTTTACCTTTGAGCGTGTTATACATAAAAAACATGCAGCTATAAAGAGACCCTGAAGAGTGGCTTGCATATCACTAAATTTGACTCCGTCAATATACAAAACAGATTGACAATAAGCAGATATGAGAGCGTTTAATGCTAATATTTTGAACATTTGTAAAGTAGTTACTAAGGTGCAACGTCCTTGTTTGATAATGTGATTTACTATGAGAAAAAAGGTATTAATAAAACGATTTCTAAACACTATACAACGTACCACATGCTATAGATGATGTCCTGCTAGTAAATGGTGCGGCTATACTAGCATCCCCCAATTTTACCACAGATGTTTCCTCATATATATCTTTAAGTTCAGATTGCAACCGCGATTGGGTAGCATTTAAATTTTCTCTCTGACGCAAAATTACACGATCACGCTGTGAGAGATTTACGCGCTCTATCGCATTGGGGGTACCTGTTACAGTATTTCTAACGCCACCTATGTTTCGAACATTTACAGCGGAATTACCAGATAAATATGCACCTGAATCGGAAAAAATTGATGCGGCTCCATTTGTGATATCACGTCTCTTTTTTGGTTTTGTTGGTACATTACTCAGCAGAGATACACCTACATGGGCATGTTTAAGGGCACCTACATCGTTGGTACCATCACCACACATAAGTGTGTAATAACCAAGGTGCTTTAAAGAGGTGATAACATATTCCTTTTGTTTAGGCGCAAAGCGTGCGCACACTGTTATATAAGGTAATATTTTAGATAAATATATATTTTCTTGTTCTCTGAGGTATTGTAAGCCTTCTCCAGTAATACATAGATCATTTCCACTCAGCAAAGCTTTTAATTCGTGTTTAAGATCAAAAACAGATTCTGTGTCAATTGAAACCCATTGCCATTTAGTATACTTTTCATTGGTATTTTCGTTACGAGTAAGAATTAGTAGTTTTTTACGAGTAAAACGTAATTCTTTAGCTACGTGGCAAGCTGTGAGTGGATTATCTCCAGTAATCATAACAACTTTATGTGAAGCATGTATAAGTTCCTTGATTACAAATTTAGAATCGGGCTTTATAGGACACGATATTATAACAAAACCAGCAAATGTTAAATTACTTTCTACATCTTCTCTTTTCAAATCTCGGACACGTTGCGCATCCATTTGGCCGAATTCCTTTATACCCAATGCTAAAACTCGCGCACCGCGACGAGAATACTCAAGAAATGTCTGGAAGTATCAAATATAATTTAGCATTTATATATTATGAGAAGCTCTATCTGCCATGGTTCTTACCTTTTCATAATTCTTAGGGATTTCTTTCAACATTTTCTGAATAACTTCAGGGGCTCCCTTTACGGTGCCAATATAAAATACTTCATTGCTAAATGGAACCAGATAGCCAGCTAATACCGACATCCTTTTTAATGCTGATGAGAAATAATAACGATGGAAAATACGAAGAGGTTTTAATTTTCCTCGTTTTGGAATAACACTGTCTTGCTTTGTTAAACTCCAATCTGCCGCTGTAAGCATAGCCTTCTCAAGTGGATCTCCGACCAAACCATCGTCAAGCATTACTAAGGCATGACATGTCGCAACAGCTTGTATTGTTATGTCTTCAGCCTTTTCCATTGGTACAATTACGTCGTCATCTGTCAAACCCGCGATCCCTTCAACCATCAAATTATCCGATGTTAGAGTTCCGGTCTTGTCAAAACAACAAATTTCCACTTTTCCAGCAAAAGGAATACGAAATGGTTCAGTGCAAAATACAAAGAGCTTTGACAATTGCATAAGTGATGTATTTACAGCCAATGTTAATTCAATTGGTAAATCGGGTGGGATAATAGACGTCAATATTAGAGTGCACTCTAAGAATAGTTTATAGCGGCTTCGATCTGGATCCTCGGTGCCCTTAATCCAAACATAACCAGCAGCTGCAATAGCAAAGACCATAAGAAATATGATGAAAGCAAACGTCTCTAGATTATTTTCCGTTACGCGATTTACACCAAAGAGAATGGTTCTTAATAATTTTCCTTGGGATGTATTGAACCCAGTACGTAATACGTAACCAATACAACCACTATCAGGGGCTCGCAATGCATCCTTTGTAGGAGCGGTGTGTTGAACAACTTTAGTTCCTCCAAAAAGAACGAACAATTTGCTTTCACCTTCCATATCAAGTTCTTTATCCAGATGATCCAACGTTTCTAATGATTCCTTCATTTGGGGCACCGACTCTCCTAAATTTTAATTGTTACATTTACGTATCCTTTTATAATATTTCCAGTTTTAAACTCACCTGTCAACATACTCTCATCAACTATACAATTACCGCGCAATAAGACGATATCACAGGGAACCAAATTATCGTTCTGTGATCTAGTTATAGATACAATATCTCCTGGAACTAATTGATCAGAATTTATTTGCCTCCACTTATTTTGCCGCAGAGCATTTAGCACATGTGGTTTGTTTCCCATTTTTCTTATCTCGGACATATTATGAAGTTGTTGTCCAACAAGAGTACACTCAAATATAATCATCATAAATAGCGTAAATAATGAATAGTACCAATATTCGTCCAAACACCACAAAGCCACTGAGAATATTTGAAAGACAAAAAATGGTGCTGTGGCACGTTCAATAAATAATTCATAGAACTCCGGTACAACCATTTTCATCTCATTTAGCCCATATAATTGTTCAGTTAATTTAACAGCGCTTTCGGTTTCGTGTCCACGACTGCGTGTATAATGGCGTAATGTTTCGTGTACAGGGAAATCTATTCCACGAAAACTTTTCCTTTCCTCATCCCAAACATATTTTGTTTTTTGAAAAACAAAATATAGCTGCTTATTACCGTTTGCTAATCGAATGCTGTTTATTTGAACTAATTGAGAGGACCCATTGTTTGCTGTTGGTATGACTTTTGCCAAAACGCCTACACCTGGTGTTTTAACATTGCGGCAATTAAGAAATGTAAGTACATGTACACTCCAATAGCAACAAAGTAATGCAAAAATCTGAACGAAAGCGATTACAGCGACTGTGATAAGACCGGCTTCGTAGTGTACATCAACGCCGTAAATAAAAATCCAAGCATAAAAGGCGCCCAAATATAAAATAACAAAGGGCATTACTATACCGCTTAGGGCTATAGGGTTCCGAATATGTAAAGTCACATTTTGTACTAAATCATCAAGCGCAGATTTTCCATTTAGTTTGACGTTATTAGCACCTGATGTTTTCGCGACCATCTCTAAGTCAGGTTTTTCCTCATATTCATGATCCATTACTATCTTTTAAATTCTCCTTATTTACTACCTATTGTTGACTATTAATTGTGAAATGTTTCTTTTTAAATCAAAATTAATTTTTTTTTAATTTTCAAAGCGTCACCACGATATAAATTATTATTTAGCCAGTCCTATTTATTTTATTCTTTCCGATAAGCTTTCGATTGTCATTTCTGTAAGTCAGACATGATATATGACGTGTTTTGATGTTACCACGTTGAAATAGTTTTATCCTTATTATTTACAATTTCTACAGACACTTGTTTACTCGATAATTTTGTCATAATGAAAATTGTTCCTCGTGATTGCTTGTTGGAAGTGGCTGGCCATAGTTATTAGAAAATGATACATGGTTAGCAACCAATTATCAGTTAAGACAGTTGTCAAATGTAAAATCTATCGGAAAAATCAGCTGCATAGATGTCGTTTAGACAATGGCTTTTTTGTTGCTCTTTATCATTATGATATTTTGCATATTTGCATTCATATATGCATAATTCATACAAAAAAATGGGTAATAACATTTAAATTTCCTAATATAATGTAAATGCATGAGCGGAATTAAGCGGCAAAACGATCCTCATCTGAACATGGACATACATGGCTCATGCCGTTTACACAATTTTGTGTGTTCATAATGCAAGTTTTGGGAACTGTTTTCCAGCTTTGTTCAAAATATTTACAATTGCTTTCTCCAAATGTTGAAATTTTCTTCCTGTCCAGAGTTGGTCACACAAACTACTTGAAAAATCGATTTAAATTGAGACTCTTGAAGTAGGCTACAAGCAATTTGATAATCAGTAATAGTTTCAAGATGATGTTGTCATGGAAACCGCTTATTATTCTTAAAAATTTTGCACGAAATTAATAATATAATGGATTGATATACTTATAATTTGATATCATGATCCATGAATATAACGAAGTGTTCATATTCCCGACAATTGTATATCATTTGTTTGCAAAACTGTGTATCAGATGCATTAAATTGATCGTCAACTTATCCCACGACTTGAATGGAAAAACTGATATCTAGACGTGTATTGCAACTTGGAAGCAATTTCTTGATCGTGTAACGTCCGAGTTTCTCCGATTTAGTTTCGATGAATAATTGATTTCCTTAATTTGAAAGTTACGTGTCACATGTGGTACAGATATGTCACATTTAATAAGAGTTTAACACGTGTTGACAGTATTTATGAACGATGTGGAAGTAAAGGTAAAAGTTTTTCTTTTAATTTTTTTTTGGTTTTTAGATGTAATATAAGCCGTTGTAATTTAATTAATTTTCTATTTCAGAATTATATAATACTTAGTAAAATAAAATCACACCCTGAAGTAAGCAATGAATAATAAATGCGTTTTTAATTTCTCTTTGAATGAAAAAATAGATGGATGTTTTCTAAGCCAATTATATGTTATAGGTGGTATGGAGCTTTACCAATGTCTCGGTTCTACTATATTCTACAAATTTAGGTAAAAATAGATTATAATTACATGCTTTTAAGAGTAGTGACGATAACTTATGATAGGGACATCTGAAAGTTAATGTATGATTTATCAACTTCTGACTCGTAAAATTCTCTAAATATATGTATATATCTTTTTTACCTTCACTACTAAAGACTTTACTTGCAGGTGTTGGAGTTTAAATTTGTGGTAAAAGATGCCAAAAAAATCTGCAACGTATCGTAATATCTGAAACGTTAGTGTGTCGGCAATAGTCTAATGATGACATTTTACAAGAACGTCTGAAAATCACTGGAAAATATCTAAATTTCCAACCCTGTAAAGCAAAAATGGTAAATTTTATATATATTATATGAATTTGATCTTTTATAGTATGTTTACTGATGAAATTTTACGATAGGGACATCTGAAAATTATTGGATGATTTATCGAAAGGAAATACTGATTATCCTATACACATTTGCAATACACAAACATGTTTTTAGCAGCATTCTTAATATACATATATATTTTAATATTTTGTTCAGATTAATATAATTGGTGTTGCATGATCAAACAATTGTCGGGATCAAACAAGGCTTGCAGATTCTCATACATGAGATGTGCATGAAATAATTTGAAAAAAACCTTCAACAGCAACTATACGTATTATAAAGCTTTACTTGAGCTTTGAAGGATGAAATCGCAGAAAACTACTTTGAAGTAGTGGAAGGACTTTGCATTAATTGGACTTCGAAGTGCTTCCGCTTGCACTGTTTTCCCTCAACAAGTCGCAGCTGCCCGAAACTCCAATCCTTTGAAAAAATATGCACGACAACTAAGAAACGTTGGAATTCATTAGCCCTAAGGAAAAGAAAGTTATATGCAATCATATAAACAGAAGAGCTTCAGGTAGTGTTGTCAATTTGGTCTTAAGATAAATCTTTGGTAGATAACTTATGATTTCACTAATAGTTGACTATCAAGTATTTCAAAATAATGTGTTTTTGTTTGTATTATCCTACCGTGAGTAAGAACAATAAATATAACACGATTTAAGATTTAATTTATCAAAAGCTGTAAACTATTGCTTTTCCTATAGTAAAACCCCTTTACGATGACGACTACTGAAACTTTAATGCAGAGATAATCCCTACTTTAATGCATTGAAAGAATTTTCATAGAAGCTAACACACACTTTGCAACCCGTTAGCGCTATTCTTAGAGTAAGAAAGGGACGGCCGATCATATGCACATAAAATTAGGTTTGGTAATTCGCCCTTAAGAAACTTCAAAAGAAATCGCTAGTAGCACTCTTGGGTAATTAACCAGTGATTTAAACGATTGTTGGCTTGCAGGGTATTTTCTTGGCAGGTATACGTCGACACCATTCGATTTTATCTGTGAATTAATATTATGCCATATGACAATCGCTTACAGATTAAACCATTTATTAAATTTACTTATTGTTTGTGTGCATGTGAGATGTTTTAAAACAAAGGAAACCCAGAAGCATACATACACTCAGGCAAAACTAAAGCACGAAGTTCACATTGTACACATTTATGGTAGTTTAAAACAAAATGTAAAAGTTTTGCAAAATTTTTAATTTTTTTATGAATATAATAGGATTATAAGTTTAAAACAAAAATTTATCAAGCTGAACCTCTTTTTATTTCAAATAAGAACAAAAAAAAACTTAACGTAATATGTATGTTTATTTTCTGCGACAAAACATAAGTACTAAACTATATTTACTTATTTATTGAACTTATTTTCAACAAGTCCCGTTAAAATTCCAACTGTAGTTAGAAACCCTTATTCGAACAGCGCGTTGAAAAAATTTCAATAAAAATAGATTAGTTATTTGTGATCAACGATGGTGTTGCTTCGTAATAAAAAATATTTGTGAAATGCCGAGTAGTAAGTATTCACCACTATATTGGGAAAAAATTATTAGGATTTTGAATACGGTGAATCAGTAACCAATATTTCGAAAAAGTTCTCAAATAATCACAGCATTGTCTCAAGAAATATAGGCCGTTTTCATTCTTTGGGCTACCAAACCACAATTCATGGAGGTAGCAGACCACGCAAGACTACTAGCCGTGAGGATATGGCTATAGTGCGCTCAGTATCAGCTAGATCAATTCAGAGCGAATTGGGCTTGAATATTTCGTGCAGGTCCAACTTCATTACATGCAGAAGTGCCAAAAAGCCATACATTTCGCAAAAAAATCAAAAAGCGCGGATCGAATTGGCCAAAGAACTGATGGATTTAAGTTACTACGAAGACCAAAAAGTCAACGATTAAATCCGCGTTATTCACAAGGCGCTGTGAAACATGGAGGAGGTAACATAATGGTCTGGGGATGTTTCTCAGGTTATGGAGCAGGCACATCCATCAAATTAATGGCATAATGGATTGTTTTATGTACAAAAACATCGTTTAAAGCCGTCATGAAAATGAAAGGAAACACTACCAAATATTAACATCAATGATAATGTATAGTTTTGTGAAATAAAAGAGAAAATATTAATTTTATAACAGTATATAAATGATATATTATTTATAATGATGTATGGTAATATGGTAAATTTCGTGCTTTAGTTTTGTCTGACACTGTACATACGTACATATTTTCTACTAAAAGTATAAATAAATACTTATGTTGAACAAAACTCATTCGATTGCAAAGCAATATAAATAATCGTAGGACAATTAAACCATATTTTTAAACATATACATACATGTATTTACATTTCGGTTTAATTTAAAGTATAGTACAGTTAAGTGAATAAAAATTATAAATATGTTGATTTGTATCATGAGAACATGACCATCGCTTAGTAATTTTAAACATACATTTTTAAAATATTTTTTAACCTGCGGGAACTCTGCCACGACCTTGAAACATCATCATCGATTCTGGTCCACGGATAACTCTTGACATTAGTTCCCAGCACACTTTCGCCGGCAATAGACTGTAAGGAGTAGTGTACGTGAAATTTAAAAGTACATACTAGAAATTTTTTTTGAATAACGTACCATTTGAGTGGAGTGAGTATCCGTATAGTATAGGGTAGCACGCACCATACTTCGTTCTTTCGGATAGCTTCAAGTATGCGGTCTGCAACATACTCTGGATCCAACATTGAAACCATTCGTGGCCGTACGCCAGAGAACATACCGGTATTGATATAATAAGGACAAATCAATGTCATATGTATGCCATCATATCCGTGTGTTTTTAAATCGGTTAAGAGGCTTTCGTGAAACCCAACGCAGGCAAATTTTGTTGCACTATAATCACTACAACCGTATGTGCCTAACATGCCAGTCACTGAACCCACCGTCACAATGTGACCCTTGTTATTTTGCATCATTTGCGGAAGAAAAGCTTTTACTGTCCAATAGTGAGAAATTATGTTAATGTTATATGTATTCTGTATAACACGATCAGGTAAGTCCCAGAATGGGCGGCAACAAACGACACCAGCATTATTGCATAGTATATCGACATTGCCTATTTCGTTGATAGTTTGTGCCGCTCGCTCATACACTTGGTCACGATCTGATATATCAACTATATATCCTTTACAGGTATACCCATTTCTGGCGAGCAGCTCCATGGTAGTTTTGATAGCTGAGGAGAAAAGTGGATTTACCACATTGTTTAAATTTTTGAATCTATTATGGGTACACATAAATTTTCCAATTAAAAATGTAAGCAATTGTATCAGAATAACATTTCTAATACTTCGAAATTTAACGTTAACTAATACGAGTTCAGAAATACATTGACTACGAACGTTTTGTTCATACCTTCCTGATTGATGTCCCATATGACAACACGAGCATTCTGTTTGGCAAAGTTCAGGGACAACAAGCGTCCTACTCCACCTCCACCGCCGGTGATCAATACCACTTGTCCTGAAACATTCTACAATTAGAAAAGGAATGTATGTATGAAAGTGGCCATAAATATGGATAATATAACGTAAATAATACACATACATAGGTATATATGTATATGGATATATCGATATGCAATCCTGCAATATGTACTTAAATATATACAACTATATGTAAGTAAATGTCTTAAAAACTATTAGTAGTATCAAATATTTAAACTTTATAATCCTAAATATATATATGTTTATGTATGCATAGCTCATTTCGATAGTAAAAAGTGAAAGTTGCTAATACAACCAGCGTTTTTGCTTTTATATGTATTGAAATATGAACACCCAAGTATTCATGGAAGTGATCGGCATTTCGTTATCACGTGAATTAACAATCGCCACTAAGATAACTGTTATGATATATGATATAACAGATCTGAACATAGAATTCTTATTGAATGTACCCGGTTTTAATGGCTGTTGGTCGATGTTTCGTGTTGCAAAGAATTTGCATTTTACTATTTTCATTTGTTTTTGAGGGTCGTTCTCGAGTTCGAAAAAAAAACTTTCACACCCATTTTTTGAACTTAAACGCATATATTTGTTGTTTTTAAGTGTTGGTTTAACGTATTAATCTTTTGATTTGAAGGAGTTTGCGCATATGTAGAAGCATCTTTTGTTTTCATACGACTAAAATATAACGTTAAATAATAATTATTAAATGCATCAATTTGATAACTAAGTAAGGTTTTCACATTCAGAAATAAATAAATTCTGCACTTAAAAACAAAAAAATATGGCTTCGTTCGTAAAGTTGAATTGCGTTTTTTAGAAAGTAAGCACGATTGTAGAATGATTTTGCCTTTTTTTTTAAATGTAAGCCTTTAGGTGAAGAAAACACATTTGCGCTCTGCTCAACATATTGTGAGTATTACAATATATATACTATTTAATATACAAAAGACACGAAACAAATTGGCTTACTCCGATACTTATGGAATACTAATTGATTTTGAGCATTTATATATGAATTATTTGCGTCTTTCCTTCCATTTGTGGTACCCGGATAGATATTGACTCGGCACCGCTAGCGTCACTATTTAGTATGCAAAATAACCAACATACGGTGTGATGAAAATTATTCATTCGCATAAAAATTTTCAAAAATCTCTATACACGAACGTTTGTATGCGCAGAAATTCTGGGCGCAAATGATAATTGAACTCACATTCCAATGTTTTTGAGTGAATTACTAAAAACCGAGAGGAGATACAAGTTTTCATTAATTATTACACTTTCAAATTTTCTTGACACAGAAATCTGTCACAAATTGATGCAATACATTAATTTTATAACTGATAGTGTTTCAAATTATAAGACGAAATTATGAGACGAGTTTGTGGCTAAACTCTTTTGTGTTATATTGGGTATAAAATTATGAAATTCTTTTTTGGAACATCGAAACATTTTATATAAAGTATATACATACCTTCATTTTCCTCAAATAAGATGGAAGTAGTGAATAATATATGGTTTGGGTGGTATAAAATATGGACTTTACGAAAAAGATGAGTAAATCCCAGACGAATTGCAGGATTGCGTAGAGAGGATTATCCATATGAAGAAGACGCGGCTGAGATGTGGAGCTGGCGCCAAACATTTTAATATTTCTGTCGTTAAATTAGCCGCTTTAGTTTTGTATTCTATTGATTAATAATTGCAACCCTGGTTTTTGCGATAAAGTTCCGAAATATGTGTGCAAATCCCCAGCAATATGTTAGGTGATGAGAGAAAAGCTTCTGATTGCGCTTATAATCACTTTGAACTATGAATCGTTTGATGACAGTTATAAAACATATATAACACGTTTAATTTATCTTCTGTTGTTTCAATACGCGTCGATATAATCCAACTCAATGAATTAAATAAAATTTTGGCGTGAATTGATATTAGCAATATTCAAGTTTGCAAAAAATTTGCTTTTTAGTATGCATGTTTCTAATAGTAAATTTCTCCTTAATGTTACCGAACTTATGTGTATGTATGCTTGAAGTGAGACGGCACTTTGAAATATTTATTTCCGCGACACTATGTTCGATGGCTTCAACATCTTAACAACGACTGAAGTTTAAATTTGACTTCAAATGAAATTCAACGTCAGAGTATCCACATTTACCGTAGAGTTTTAAGTTGGGCTTTACATATTTAAGTACATACATATATATGTACATACGTGCATACGGAGTGACTTGTGCCGGCTGCTTAAAAGTGTACTTTTCGAATGAAATAAGCACATTTACACATGAACACATAAGCACACATGCGTGTTTGAGTAGAATAGGAACTAATTAAAATTTCGTGTGATTGTGGTCAATTAAAAATGTCGCAAACGTGGTCCATTTAACATATCTTTGAATGAAAACAACTCATGCCGACCTGATCTCGACTGCTTGAGCCATGTAAGCTTCACTAATCGAGGGGTGGTGTAACTGTCTCTGGTTTCTAAACATTCGAATAAAAAGCGATTTGATATGTATATGAATGTATAGGCACATATGTGTATAGAAACTTATATATTTATGTACAAATACATACATATGTGTACATGTAATATTCATGTGAGCGGTTTAAACGTACCGTTACTATTATTTGTTAGTTTATGCGCCTTTAAACGCACATAGCAAATAGTTTCACATTTTGTTGTTACTTTTCGTTTCGTAGATTTTCACTGCAAATTAGCACATCTACATACCTACCATAAATACAAATAAGCGCAACTGAATTACAGACTAACGTCTTTCAGTGTTGAGTGTGTTTATTTATATGTATAATACAGGGAAATTATCTAAAATTTTTTCGATTGCTTGTAATGCCTAAAACCAATCAAGATAGTATAGAGTTATGTACTTATATATATATACATATGTTAATGATAATGATGACAAGACGAGTTGAATTCCGAGTGATTGTATGCTCATCTTTTTGTGGTAGCGATAACTAAGTAAAAATTGAGATATCGCGGTGAAAGTTGGTACACGTGTTCCCGTCTCCTTACGAAGGATTACAGGTAGGCGGAATCGGAGCATCACCACACCAAAAAATGACGTTAAGCGCAACTCTATAAAGTACCATAACTAAGCCGCAAATTAAGATACAAAACTGTAATTTTTTACAAAATATCGAAGTAAGAAGGGGCATATATGGTGTAACAGTTTTAAAAAAGTGGCTTTGGCCCCGCTCTTTAATAAGTTAAAAATACATATCGCACAAACCACATCCAATATATTTCAGGCATTGCACATGTTTTGAAACGCATTAACTCGGTAGTTGGTGCTTTTTGCAATTTACAAAGATGGTAGAGTCAGATTGATAAGCTTTCTTATTAATTCTTTTATTGATTTATAATAAATTTGCATTAAATTCAGATAATATGGCAAAAAATGTACTTATGATATCAATAATATAATATATTTCTATGTATTTGAATGATGTTTATGCCTCTATTTTTGATGAAACTGAATAAATTATTTGGTTTTAAATTTAACTTTTTTATCGATATACGCTCGCAAAACCAAAACAGCTAATTGCAAAAGTAAAATTTGTAAAACAATTATCCTCCTTGTGGTAGACATTTCTTTGATAATTTCGATAACACAAAACAAATATGCATATATTTACTTTGTTTTTCAAATTTCAATAGTTGCCTATCAAATTAGCATTGTGCATTTGAGCAGGAAAAATTTTCCCCACAAATTTTTGGTTCTCGTATATTAATTTGTCTATGAATATTGTTCGGATATTTTTCCAAAAATTCTATGAAACATTGAATTTTAAATTAAATGAAAAACGAAACATTTTAACTTTGTGTTTCCTTTTTATCATTTCTATTGGGAGATTTGAATGGGACTTTAATTGAGCTTTCGTTTGTTTCCATATGGAAAATTAAAACCTGAAAGTTTTTGAGTCATCTTCAGTCTGACTAAATAAGTTGTTGTTTTGTTTAGGGCATGTAGTGGGCAGAGGCACGGCGGGCAACAAGCAATACAAACACATTTGTGCAACGTGAAGCCCCTTATATTGGTACATGCGCATCTTGTCCCAGCACCTGTAAAAGCGTTCAACAAATGTATTTTCGAGTGCTTCTTGAAGCGTGGCTACTGTTTTTTGTAAACTTTCTGTTTCCCGGCGTAGTCGTTTTTCATTATCTGCAGATTTATCAAGTTTACGGGACTTCCTGTAAAAGGGAATGATATTATTGTACTTTTATCAGGGTGGCAACTTACTCCTTCAAATCATTCAACTTTGCTTCTAGAAGTTTAACCTTGCCATTGGCGCGCTCACAATCAATTTCTTTTCGCACCATTTCTGTGCGATACTTATCTTCGGTTTCGCGGCTTTCATTTGTTAATTGATATAGCTGGAAAGATAAAAAATATATTGAAATTTCTTTGTGATATACGAGTAAAAAAGGTTATATTTAACAGGTACAAATTAGTGGAACATTAATGTTCAGTAAAGTTTCCATAAGGGATAATACTTTTTATGAGTTATATGTTGTAATGTTAGGAAACACTATAATATTTTATTTGAGTGGGATGATTTTTAGCTCGAGGTCTGGGTGGCAAAATGACATTTTTAACTGAGGTTGGTAGAGACAACTTAAATTGATTATGGTAAAGGGAGAGCACGGTCTCGTTGACGTTTTTTAAACTTTAAATCTTCATATGCTATTTGCGTGCTTTGGGAGACAATATAGTATTGTATATGCCAAATATGAGTTATAATCGGTTACAGAACTACATAAATGTAAGTATTATTGAATACTACAGTTTTGATGACTTGTTGACAATTCTCCCGATAGCCGGATGCACGAAACCGGAAGAGACCCAGATTTTTTCCGGTCAAGGACTGGTATTTTAAATATGTATATAAATACAAATTAAGTCAATTTTAAAAATATTGCTTTTAGTTCAAAGAAATTTTAAAGAAATTGAGCAATATCACGAGTTAATGGATATCATTTAAATTATTAATTACATTTACGTATTTTTATTCTCAATTTGAATAATGACTTTTTGATCATACTATTATTTGTGTTCAACGAATGAAATAGAAGCCGCTACAGATAAGCAAAGGAACAGGACAATATTAAAGATTTTTAAATATGTGCTGTTCTATAATTGTTTTGGTTTGTTAATATTTTATTAAAGAAATTAAATTTTTAGCGAAATCGCAGTGCTTGTCATTATTTACAATCGTAAATGTAATACATAACCAAATACTGCCGATACATACCTCATTTATTAGCTTATTTTTTTGATTCTCAAGTACCTTCACCGAGCGTTGCTCCTTGTTAAGCGCAAAGCGTAAATTATGTTGATCTATCATTGATTGAAAAAGCTGTTCTTTGGTTTGGCTCAGTAAATCAGTAAGTGCCTCAAGTTCCTTGCTTTTAATTGCCAGATCTTGCTCAAGAAGTACACGTTCCGCTCTTAAACTAATCACATTGGTGTTAAGATTTTCACAAGAAGACTTTGCCTGCATAACGCTTTCCAACGAACACTTGAGTTGACAAGCGAGCTCATCATTTCGCTTCTGTTCGACCCGAAACAGTGTGTTGTAAACATGAATCTGATTTTTGGCCTTTTGTGACTACTCGAAGGTTATACATACATACATATAATTTGCAAAACACATTTATATGAGTTGTATTCTTACTCCTTTTTTAAGGTCTTCTACTTTCAATAACAAACGTTTCACATCCTCGCGACGGCGACGCCAGGCATTCAGCATAATCGTGGCAAAAATACGCATACTAGCTAAACGAAGCTCAGTATCCGCTGCACAGGTATAATACTCCCCATTTTTTGAGTTTGCACACTTAAGATATAGACCATTGGTCTGCTCAGCGACTATTGGATTATCACTGGGTGAAAATTCTATATGTCTCGAAACATTTGAATAATTATTAGGAAATTGCTTGGTTATTGAGAAAGTGCTGTGTATATTTTGAAAATTATCCTTTGACAAAGTCAATCCTTCCCTTCGATTGGAGTCTAAGTCCATAGTACTGGTGAACATTATTCCCAACTTGGTGAACCAAAAAGCTAATAAATATCATCCAAACTAGATGAATATAGTATATTGTTTACATACCTAGGCTTTGGGTTCATTCGCTAACGGAAATAATTTTTACTATGCACTATAAACTGCACTCGTATGCAAAATTGCATTAATTTAGTTATCGAAATTTCAAATTTAAATATATGTAGTTTACGAATATTTATAAATCACATAACCACTCCAATAGTGCGAATTTTTTAAGACTTTGACTATAATAATTTACTAAGACTAGTGGAAAATTGAAACAGTTAAATGATTTACCAAAAACTGAATGTTGCTTCAAAATTTTTCCGATTTTTATGAAATAAAGATATATTGAGTTTGAATGCAAATGTTACTTCTACTTATACATACATATGTACATAAATCAGAAATTAATAAACAAAGTATTTGACAGGAAAAAGCTTTTATATTGAGATTTTACCTCTTCTGGAAGAACTAAAAATACACCATAGATTTAAGTTTTGATCTGTCAGATAGAAATTTGGAAATATTTGAAACAATGTGGTTATTTAAAAAAAAAATCGTAGTTTCTCAGTCCCCATACCTCGAAATCCCCGCTGGATGTCGTCAAGGCGCTTGTTTTTCCCCTCTGTTGTACAATATATGTACGTACTCGTATATACTGCAGATTTTCGCCAATGGAATGAATCTCCTACATCAATATTTTCCGATAACACTGCTATTTTAATTTCTGAGGAACTTTCTGTAGTTATGAATAATCACTAAATTACAATCAGCTTTTAACGTTTTGCATAATTATTTCTCTAAATGGAAGATTCTTGTAAGCTTTGAATCTGCACCTTCTTGCTAATATAGAGCTGGTGTCTGGCAGACTTTATAAACTTAAACAGTTTATTAACACATACATAATTGAACTCGTTTCCTAACCATAGTGTAAGCTTTTATTATATTATTAATTTTTTTTCTTCTACCATGTTTTATTCCTTAATTTTGCCCTCTAATTATATGTATTTCATATTAAGCTTATATCATAATAATCATTATTATAATTAAGCAGATAAGACAATTATGTCTAAACTCTTATATTAGTCGACACCACTTTTGTATACTTAAATTTGTCAATAAATAAATGAAACATATGGTTGTTAAACTTTGGAATAACATAGAAAAATCTCGAAATGTATGTCTTTGTAAATCTCTAAAAGCATAAGTGGAATCACGGCTAATGTAAAATAGCACTAGCCATTGTTGATTTAAAGTAGATATGTACTGAGAACTATACGATAGGAGAAAAAGCCGACCTTTTCTCTTTTTCAATAGGTTCTCATTCACTTTCACCTTCGCATTGAAATGAGGTTCTTGTCCAATTCAAGGACATTGTTGTTTTCACAAAGTGAAAAATCAATAAAACCGTAAAACACGTGTTGTATTTCAGCTTACTAATGTATGTAGATGTTCTGTATGTATTTGTATAACATATTTCATAGCAATGAATAATCATATTTTTTTATACCCTGAACAGGGTATATTAAGTTTGCCACGAAGTTTGTAACACCCTGAAGGAAACGTCGGAGACCCTATAAAATATATACATAAATGATCAGCATGATGAGCTGAGTTGATTTAGCCATGTCCGTCTGTCTGTCTGTCCGTCTGTCCGTTGATATATACAAACTAGTCCCTCAGTTTTTATGCTATCGATCTGAAATATTGCACCTGTCTTTTTCTATCAAAGAAGCTGCTCATTTGTCGGAACGGCCGATATCGGACCACTATAGCATATAGCTGCCATACAAACTGAACAATCGGAATCAAGTGTTTGTATGGAAAACTCTTTCATTTGACGAGGTATCTTCACGAAATTTGGCACGGATTATTATTTGAGGCAACAATGTAATCTCCATATAAATTATTCAGATCGGATGACTATAGCATATAGCTGCCATACAAACTGAACAATCGGAATCAAGTGCTTATATGGGAAACTCTTTCATTCGACGAGGTATCTTCACGAAATTTGGCACGGATTATTATTTGAGGCAACAATGTAATCTCTGAAGAAATTATTTAGATCGGATGACTATAACATTCAGCAAACTGAACAATCGGAATGAAGTGCTAGTATGGAAAACTCTTTCATTTGACGAGGTATCTTCACGAAATTTGGCATGTAATATTATTTAAAGCATTAATCTAATCTCCGAAGAAATTGTATAGATCAGATGACTATAGCATATAGCTGCCATATTAACTGAACGATCGGAGTAAAGTGCTTGCATGGAAAATTTTTATATTTGACGAGGTATCTTCACGAAATTAGGCACGAGTTATTGTTTAAGGCAACAAATTATTCTCCACAGAAATTGGTCAGATCAGATCACTATATCATATAGCTGCGTTCGGAATCAAGTTCTTGTAAGGTGCCTTTGTATTTGTGAAGGGTATTATAGCTTCGGTGCAACCGAAGTTAACGTTTTTTATTGTTTTTGTATATTTTGTATATCTGGTCTTGGTTGTGCCACTCGATGATTAAAAAAGTCATATTATTTATATAAAAGTACTTTCATAAGGGAAAAAGGGGAATCAGGAGGAAGTCTTGTCTACAATAATCTTTTGACGCTACACAGTTAAAATGCTATGATGAGTGTAAACATCTTATTCCAAGAAACCAACAATGACTCATGCTAGCTTTTCGAAGGATAACGATCTGAAATGTGTGGAAATGTATGTGTAATTAGGTAGGAGACAGCCAAGAATATCCATTCGTACATGGCCGTCATTTATGTATGTATGCACTCATGTATGTAACCATGCCATGTGTTTTGATAGAGCCAAAAAAGCTTTCCATTCACAAAAGCTGCACCATTCGCTGCTACCCAAATATTTGCTTGTATCGTGAGAAATAGTGAGAGAATGTATGTATATAGTGAGTGTTAAAAAGTAAAGCCATATGGTGAGTTTTCGATAGTGTATTATAACCGCCATATCACGTATGAGTCACATAGTTGTACACATAATGTTATATTATATATCAAAGCTGTACAATTATTTGTTGCTATTGTACCATTAAAATATTAATACAAATTGTCGAAATTTTTAAGGATTTATATGGATAATATGTATATCGGCGTGTCTTCCCAATTTATAAATGAAGAGCGGGAAAACGTGGACTTTTATAAATGGTACCTCTTTGAGGTAATCCAATATCAATCAGAAAATGACTTCTGAATCCAATTAAGGAAAAGCTATATATATACGAAAGAACCAAACAAAGCAATTATTGAGTAGCGTAAAATATTTACAGAGTTTTCGTAATAATCATAAGGTCTAAAAAAAAATACGAAAATGTATATATTTCTGTCTTGTCACAGTTAAGGCTTTATTTTAAAAGGAGTCCACCATGTAGAACTGTATCTCAAGTATTTTAGGCGAAGTCATTTAGAGTCCATATAGCACTGTGACTCAGATGTTTGAGACGAAGTCATTTAGAGGCGGCTCAATTTGTTAAGATACTGAAAAACTGAGTCTTTATATGAGAAACTAGATTCTTACATATCCTCCTTATCATTATACATATTTGATAAATCTATAGTTTACAGTTTACATACATATTATGTATATATTAAACGAATTTTAGGAATTCATGTAAATTATTAAAATAAACTTAACTTTTACGCCACGGTAAATTATCTTTTGTGTCCGCAATCCCATGCCCGTCACTGCACCATTTTCACAGTGTGGTACTGAGTTTGGATTTGGTAAACTATTTCAAAAAGTGATAACTCAGTATAGATAATTATACTTTCAGTATAAAATTTCTTCAAAATTTCTGGTGCAATTTTGTTACTGAGGTGTTTTCTATTTCAGTATAGTTTCATATCTATCCTAAAGCATATACATATTTATTTCAAATATGTTTATGTGAGCTTTTGATTAGTTAGAAGTTATTCCATGGTTTAATACCGTTCAGTGAACAAACATTAGCATTCGACTCCAAGTGTACGAGCCGTCAACGATCGTGACTAGCTCAACTGACGAGTGAATTTACTTCCAAATTTATATACATGTGTACGTATAATAGTTATATAGTATCTACATCTACATATGTTCGTATAAAACGATAGCCGAGATGATAACCCTATGTAACATGTGACGTACAACAACAATGATAGTAATAAAGGGAGGTGGCTTAGAGAGTGTAGAGCACCGAAGCTCTGGAATGGACAAGACTCTCAAAATTTTTAAGAGATCGGTTTATTAAAAATTGTACCTTTAGTCCGCGTTTTGCTTTCACGCTGTTTCGTTGACGTTTGTTACTGAGTTCACAGTGGCGGAGTGTTTTAATGTCGTTGACGTGTTTTACAGTTTGTTGATTTGTATTTATCGGATAAAATTTTTTCATAGTTGATTTTGTGAGTGAATATACACTTCTGAAATGAGTAAAATTAAAAAAAATGTGATTTATGTAAGTTACGAGCAATATAAAGCAGAAAGATATTGATTAAATGTATACCACGCGAACATATTGCTAACGGATTCGTATACACACACATGTGCATATACGTATACATATACACACGTATGGAATATATAATATATAAAAAAATATGTGCATATATATATGGATATTTATATATGTTTTAGCAAGCTCACAGTCAGCCGACTGGCCCTTTTCCTATTGATGTCCAACAGAATGTTCATAAAATAGGCAACAAATTCTTGTTGGATTACAAATCCAAACCACTGGTATAAAAATGTTTTAAAATTGGTATAAATCTCATGTTTTTCAGTCTAATTGGATTTTATGTGTAGACAGGAATTTCTAGTTGCAAACTGGTGAATTTCCCGTCTCGTTTGATCAGAGAATGTTAATGAATAGAGAAGGCGCAAATGTTAAATCAAATCTTTTTGAGTACTACAAGTTATTTATAGTTTTCACATGAGGGAACAGCGAAAAATATAACATCGAAAAAAAAATACACCACGCAATGTGTGAAACGGGGGAAAACTATAAATAGACACATCGAATATTCTTAAATTGTTGTTTTTAATTTCCCTGATATGACAAAAAGTTCATAATTTATATTTACAAATAATCTCTTGAATTAAAATGGAGGATTATTAGTAAAACCGCAGAATAAAATAAATATTTAATATGTAGATAAATTCTTCAACTCATGTATGTGCGTATGCTTATTGAGCAAAGGATAATAATAAAACTGTGGCTAAAGCGGCCGCGTTCCCACTTTTGAGGTGGCTTATGTATGTCTCATTAACATTCTCTGGTTATATGTAATGTGTGTTTGTAAATACGTACATTAACATATACACATATAAATGTTATATTATACATTCAGTGCAATTACGGCTTATTTATACCGATCACGTATTCCCGTCAACGAAAGTTACCAGTAAATACTTAATAAACATATGTGTTAGTGTGCGAAAATCTACTGAGAGTAAAAGAATATGATATACGAATAAGTGAGAAAAAGTGAAACAGTGAACTAGGAATTAATATTTAAAATAACTACAATTAGAGAACTTGGAGATTAAACAGGATATGAAAAAAAAGGTAAATTTACACATCTTAAATTCGCCACAAAAATAATATTATTATGGATTCATATGTATTATTGAAAATTGTATATCCTTTCAATCTTAGGCTATTTAAGGGGAATTGTAGTCATCAACATTTATTTAAAGGTAAATTCTTAACTGATGATATTCATATAAGAACCTAGTATATGGAGAAATAAGTTAGTGTAAGCAATTACATATGTATGTATATAGACATGAGAAAAGCGGCAGATGAGATGGAAGTATTTTCACATTTTTATATTGTTCCTTATTTATGTGCGGATTTTGCAGAATTTGAGATATGGCTATGAATTTTGGACCAATACTAGCGCTTGTTACTTTCTAATGATTAAGACAATTTGGCAACATTTTATGTTTTAGAATATTATGCATTTAGATTTTGTATAATCCATAACAATGTGCTGTCTTTTTATGTTTTTATAGTTTTGATTTCGTAAACAGCTTTATTAAAACATACCCAGACCAAACGAGTTTTTGTTGTTATTGCTAAACGTATCAATACTATTTAAAATAGCGTCACCCACTATCAAAAACGAATACACTTGCATAAATATTTATTTGCATGCACGTTCCTAAGTCAATATGATAAATTTAAAAGTAAAGTAAAAATTATTAGGTCGTGTATTACTCTGGACTTTCCCACAAGTTTCATTATGATTGACTCACAACTCGGCAACACAGCTACATGCTGGATCATGCTATATATGTATATGTATGTGCATTTGTATATATTATTAGCTTTCAATTTTCAAATAATGTATGTATGTATATACATATCTATTAACAAAGTAATAGTAATATTAATATACATACATAATAAATATGTTTTTGCATCTCACAGTTTAAACAAAAGATTTTTGATTAATTTAGTAACATCATTAAAATTGCTTAAAACAAACCTTTTAGGTATTGTTTAGAAATTTGGGTTTGCATATAAAATCAAATGATTTTAAGTAAAAAACAAAAATATTTAAGAAATATTCAGAAATTGTCTATTTTTTCACACTTTACTTCGATCAGATTATTCGTTTTGATTGCGTGCCGAAGTTGTAACATCTTTGTTTCTCCTCGTAATCGAGGCAATCGTGTGGTATTAGGCTTAAAAGCTGAGTGCAAGACAGGTTTCAGCTTCCACAACGGACTATAGCAAAAAAAAAAAGTAAAACACAAGTACATTGTAAAGTAGCTATCTACATACATATGTACATAAAAAATATTCACGGTAAAATAATCAAATGAATATTGGTATATACATACATATATGTATGTAAATATGCAGGGTATGGGTCAAAATGTTATAATAATATACTCGTACTATATTTGCATGCATGTAATGGAACATACCTACATATTATAGAGTTAATACTAAAATAAAATTTATTCAAAATTATTCTTTAAAGTTTTTCAAACCCTCATCCTATGTAAAGGGTTTTGATTGTTTTTGTAATCTTTAATTAAAACTTTTATATGGTGAATAATACACCATTACACACAAAAGTAATAAATGCAGAAAATATTATATTAACATATATTTATTATTGAACCCTACTGTGTATACAAACGTATTTAGTCTTTCACACAATGAACGTTACTGAAATTCATCCGTTAATTCAATTGAATAACATAGATTACATAGCTCGGCGCATGTAAATAGAATGGTACTTATAAAAAATTCAGATGTACAATCCTTATTATTCAATGTATATTAAATTGTGAACCATATCAACCATACAGGTACGTGGTGTTGCAAAATTTAAACATTACAATGAAGGTGTACTACGATTATTGTTATTTATTAACGTTTTTACTTAAAATACGATCAACACCACACCTTTCGAGAGCAGTCAATGTAAATTAGCCAAAATACCTACAAATATAAAAACTTTTTACTATTACTCTCTTCTTCTTTTTAATAAAATTTATTAACATTCTCTGGCAAAACTTTGTTATCATGTGTGAGAAAGCTTTCAACAATTCCCTCATTTTTTATATGTAATTAACAATAAAACTGGAAAAGCTTTTCTAGGTTCAACGCTCACTAGTTTCGAATGAAGAGAACATTTAATGTGTGTTTGAAATGATTCGTCGCTTATCGGCGCATAGCGTGCATTAGGGCAGCATTAACAATAACAAAAAAAAAGTCAAATACTTGATATGCATATGCATACATACATATGTACATATGTGCATATGTGTATAAATGTTAATACCCTGTAAATAATTGTGTGAATAATCTTTAAAGAGAGTATACCCGGATTATTCTTTATTTCTTTATACATATATTAATTAATCTCGAACGAATTACTTTAGAATATAGTCAGAGATAAATTTGAATCTTTGTTTACATTTCTCATCAATGCTACCATTTACCAGAAATTGCCCTTCTGACCGATTTTTCACGTTAAGTCTTCAGGAAGTCAGTGGTCAGATATTCCTTTGCGAATAATCGCGGACTCACTCCGCATTTTTTGCAGGGTATTCATTAATATGTGGGCACATAGCTATATATATATATATATGTATACTTATGTATATATATTATATGAATAGACAAATGAGTATTACTCCAATAATAGCAAGTAAAGTTATTTACAAGGAATTGCTAAAACCAAACCGAGCGATACATCAACCGACGCTACTCGCAAGCATACCTACCGTATGTATGTATGTACATACATATATATCTGATATTTGGTGTGTGCATTCAAAATAGGTGCAAGAATTTCCAACTCAATTCATTGTCGACTTAACTTCAATGGTGAACGGTTGTGAGTGCGGCTTATTAATCAAACATACATACGATGTACACTCGTATGTATGAAGTTAGCAACTGCTATACGTCTAACGGAACGTAAACATCTTCGTACATATGTACATAAGTATGCTGAAGTCAAATGGAATAAATATAAGAGTATTTTTACTCACCACGTTAACGTGTAGTCCGATTAGATATTTGCAGTTAAAAGTGTTTGTGCTAAAAAGTGGCCAGATTTTAATTTTAATAAAATATTTAACTAATAAATGTACATAATATATGTATAACATACATATATTTACATATACATACATATAAACATACATACGTTTTCAATATTTTAACTACCATACAGATGTGAGAGCTTAAACTGCAGAAAAGCTTACAAACAATAATAAAAATATGTTTGTACACACTGTGCATATGTATTTATTAATGTATATCCTCGAATGATATACAGTGTTAGAAAAAATAATAGGGACAAAGGGATATGTTTAAAATTTTCACCTTCATGTTTAAATTAAACAATATGCAATAAAATAATTTAAATATTATCGTAAAATTATATGTTGCCAAATTTTATTATATTTAACGCAAACTATTATAAGCAAAGGGGATTCTTAATTGCTCTTTTATTAATTTTAATGGTGAAATAAAACCAAAATATGTATGTATGTAAGTAAATAGTTATATTATGTAATTAATCGATTTAGTCATACAAAAAATTATAGTATATACACACAATATTTGAATGAGCGCCTTTTTACAATAATTTATACCCTTGCAACATGTTGCACAACAGTATAGTAGTTTTAGTTACGAATCAAATTATCAAAATTATGCGAATGGTAAGACGGATTCATTCATGTTATTGGTCTGCCTTTATAATTTAAATACGTGTATATCTTATAAACTGTACGCTAACTCAACCAAACTCATTGGAAACTTTACATTTTACCACCTCATGCTACTAATTTTATTACATAAAATTCTTATAACACCCTCTATTTTGAAAGTATGCTAAATAACTTGATCTTAACATAGCTACTATGTTCTAAGGTTCGGAAATATACCTAAATAAAATGTGTATTTTCTTTATATACCACACATAGCTATAGTGGTCCGGTATTGACGGTTACAACAAATGAACAGCTTCTTGTGGAGAAAGAGACGTGTGCGAAATTTCAGATCGATATCTCAAAAACTGAGTGACTAGTTCGAGTATATACAGACATACAGACGGATGTGGCTAAATCGATTCAGCTCGTCTCGCTAATCTTTTATATATATATATACTTTATAGGGTCTCCGAGGTTTCCTTCTGAGTATTACAAACTTCGCGGCCAACTCCTTCTGAATACAATCCATTATAAGAGAAACGAACTGAGGTGTCAATCTGACATGTACATACAAGGTGCGTTCCAAAGTAAACAGGACTTTAAAAAAAAAGACAGAACAAAAGGTTGTATCGGCAAAATCAATTAATTTTATTCAAAATAGTCTCCTTCTGTGTTTTAGCTCGTTGCCCAGTATGGCCGCCAGCATGCCGGTGCAAGCCTTTTGAATGGCCTCCACGTCTGCATAACGCTTTCCTTTCATCGGAAAATGCATTTTTTCGAAAAGGTAGAAGTCGCACGGTGCCATATCAGGTGAATACGGGGAGTGGTTGATTGTTAAAATGTGATTTTTGGTCAAATAATCGGCCACAAGCGTCGATCGATGAGACCGCCAACTTCCATCTTCGCAATATTCGGGCCGAACACGTCAAATACGGCGCACCAAACGCTTCAAAACTCCAAGGTAGACTACCGCATTAACCTTTTGGCCGGGTGGAACAAATTCTTTGTGGACAATACCCTTGGAATAATAAAACCAAATCAGCATTGTCTTCACTTTTGACTTCTCCAGGCGCCATTTTTTTGGATTTCGGCTCATTTCTCATTGATGTCCTCACGACCACTTTGAAAACGTTGAAACCACTCGTGCACTCTGCTACGGGATAGGCAATCATCGCCATAAACTTGTTTCCTCAATTGAAACGTTTCGGTAAAAGTTTTACCAATTTTAAAACAAAATTTAATGTTGGCTCTTTGTTCGAAGCTCATTTTCGCACCGATGACAAAAACATACTGAAACTTAAAACGCAATAACTTCACTTCCAATAGATGAAATGTCATGAAATTTTTACTGGAAGTCGATAAAGGATAGCAGATTCTAACGCACTAGTCGACATGTAGATGGCGCCACTAGAGTTTACTTTGTTACCTTTTTACTGTTTACTTTGGAACGCATCTTGTATATATAAATATGTACATACATACGATATGAACACATCAAGTCTCGTAGCAAGTGTTAAATGCATTCGAGGAAATTTATATTTCATTAAAGTCAAAAGTGCTTTAATACTTCACATACCTAAGCAATAATTAATAAAAAAATTTCGTAAAAACATATTTATCGCATATCGCATTTTGAAAGAGTTTTTCCAACAGTAGTCGTTCGTCCACAGGTTTCCCGCATGGCTTATTCATCTTTTTGGCATGTTTTCATGGTATTTATGTTTTTGAAAATGTTTGCTCATTGAAAGTCGAAAACGTGAATCACTAATAAAGAATTAAAATTTTCTTTATTCACATATACATATAAGAATATACAGGTTGGTTGAAAAGTTGTTTGGACTCACCAAGAAATAGCACTACTAGCTCCAAATTTTTTTCCTCAAGTCGGTACATCTGCCGTGAGAACACATGCAAAGTTACAAGTAATTCGCAGTGGACCGAAGCTTGTTGTTCAGTTCCAAAGCAGGTGAAGTCACAACGATCAGCAAAGAAGGTTATGGCATCAGAATTTTTTTGATTGATTATCTGCAGAAAAGTAAAACAATCAACTCTGAATATTATTGCAGCTTTTTATGGATAAAATCTGATTTCGTACCAAAACCAGTATTTCATTTCGAGCGCATAAACTTTCCAACCAACGTGTAAATACTCGCCTACTTATAAATGTATTTATTGAGATATCTACCATACATATATACATAAATATATTTTCTATGTATTATTGAACCGATTTGTTAAGTTCGATGATATTTTAGCGTGTTATATGGATGCAAACGCATATAATAGATAGTCATTCAATCACTTACATATATAAATACGCTGTCGTAGAATAAATAAAAATTTTTTACTAACCTTATTATTAGTATGTCCCGCGATCCCAACATGTGCAGATTTTACTCAGAACTACTAAATACTAATTAGCAATTCCCAGTGTTAATTTTAATCTTAAATTAACAAATATAAAAAAGGAGTTTAACTAAACGACAATAATTTGTCTAAATGAAATTTATTTCATGGGGTATATGAACATGCATATGTATGTATGTATATTAATACTTATATTATTCTAAGCTAAACAGATACACAAAAGTCATACGTATACGTGTATGTTATACTGGCTTTAGCAATTCTGAAATATTTATTCTCTTGCAACATGGTGTAACAGAGTATATTAGTTAGTTAGCTTGCTAAGAATAAGTCATTTTATCACCTCTTCCTACTCTATGAAAATGGGTAAAATCGGATATTAACCACTCCCACTACCATACAACGGTTATGTTGAAAACTACTTATGGTACGATTACTCACTGAATAAATGAGCCACAAGCATTAAATTTAACAACCGGGATGGTAGAGAAAGGGCTTTATAGGATCTGATGTGAAAATTTCAGAAAAGGCGTGACACCGCCTACTTTTAGATGGTATCCTATATCTCAGGAACTACTCGACCGATTTCAACCAAAATTTGTGTGTGAGGTTTCCCAAATATTTCTATTAGACACTGCAAAAATGGGCGAATCGCACTATAACTTGTGTCAAAAATGGGTAAAAGCAGGTCAACACTTCCCTTAGCCAACATATATCCAACATAAATATTTCAGAACCTCCGGTTAACTTTATGCTGCATCTATCGGTCAATGTGTAAGAAATCTTACTGAAATTTAGAATACATCTTTTTCTAATAACAGTGTATCCTCTTTCCTTAAATCACGGCGGTACTTTCCTTAGTTTGATATAAAGTTTTGCCAAAACCTGAAGGTGTTCCTCCGCCTTTGTTTCTTGCAAATTGCAAGAGACTGAAATGTTCGGTTACATCCGAACTTAGGACTCCCCTACTTGTTTGAATTATTTTTGTTGAAAAATTCTCACATTCAGTATTCGACGGCAAAACATGGCGAACGCATTGCCTCGTTATATTTGCTAGGCAAACAGCAGTTAAAATTATTACATTTTTATTGTTTTGATCCAGAAATAGTACAATTCGGAAAACTAAAGTTCCAGCAACGTTTCGTGAGTATTGAAATCTTTTTGCGCCAGTTAATTAAAAAAACAATTGTTGTTAGGTATATTGCAATAAACCTGTCATTTTATTCCGGTATAATAATATTTCCAAAGAAAATACTTTCGCGCGCATGAGTTTGGTAAAATCATTTTCGGTAATTAAGTACTTCTTCCTCCTATCGACAGTTCTCCAAGTGCATTGAAGTATAATAAGTAAGCGCGGTTATAAGCCTATAAATGCATATATACATATATACATACATATGTATATGGTGATCAGTTTCAACAGCTTGTGTATTTTCTATTACTGTGCTATCGCAATTAATTTACATATGAGTTACAAGAAAAAACAGTACAATTCACATTTGACGAAGATTGTTAGGTCGGGTTGAAACTAAAGTATCAAAATCAAAATTAAATTAAAACTAATTATTTATCAATGCCATTGAGAAAAATTCGAAATTCATATGAAATGAAAACTGAACAAATGTGATTGCAGATAATACCAATCGCTCGTTTCTGTCACGTTACCGCCATACATAAACCTAAATCGAGGCTCTATCTAAATATGGGATTGTGTGTTATCATTTTTAATGGATAGATTGGAATTTACATAATTTACAAAATTATGGAGTAAAATGGATATCAGTATATGATTCTAATGTACAAATATTTTAAGGCAAATAATCTGCAATATAGAAACCCCCAGATTCACATATATGTGTGTATGTACTACATAGAATGTGAAAAGTAAATACATATACTACCAGTTGACAAGGTGCTGTCTGATGATGTAGAAGTTTTAAAAGGCCCCCAATCGCGATAATATAAAGATTTTTTTTTCGATTTAAAACATTGGCTTGGTTCCAAATAGAATATTTGTTCACATGTGCATTATGTATATTTACCATATATAAGTATGTATTTTTAGACAAAATGACGTTATTTGTATTCTTTTCTCCATATTTACTATAAACTTTGTTGAAAATTCGATCGAGAACATAGTTTTCATAAGAACATTACAAAAAAAGCATATGATTGCTTTCCTAATACCTCGTCTTTTTATTTGTGTGTATATATATAAGTATATATTTATGTACATATGCACATACATATATATACATACCTATTCCAAAGTAATTGACGAAAATCAAATGCTACCCACCGTACCCAAACGTATTGAATGCGCGACTATCTTTTAGTGGCACGTGGGTTCAAATACTAATAGCGTTTTCTTTTTCAACATTTTCAGCCCTGCTGAAAACGTAAGGGTGAGAGTTCCCAGGCGATGTTTATTTTTCGTTTTTGATTGTTATTTTTTCCAAATGAAATTTTCTACTAAGTATAATGAATCGATCAGTTCTGTTAAGCATAGTAATAGATATTGCAAATGAGTTGGTTTGAATTTTTTTTGTTCTTTTGTCATGTAAAAAATGAAAAATTTATATAATGTTGCCAAATAAGAAAGCAAAATTTTCATCGATAAAAGAAAACGCTATAAGGAGCGAAATTCTTAGGATTATAAAAAGAACTGCTCCCAAAGTCATCGACCATTTGGAGTCGGTGCAGTACAAGCGTATATTATAATAATTCAAGTGATTACATACATAGTTAGATATATATTCATATATAACGGATTATGTTTTATGAGTTTTAACCTATGTTATCTAAGAAATCGCTATTCAAACGGGCATTATGGCAAAAAGTCCCAGTTGTGATATCTGCAAATTTTGAATCTGTGAAGTACGCTCTTTATCGAATTTCTCAAATGACCCCTATGTAAGCCTTCTATGAAAATAGTATGAAGATAGATGAATTGGTGTGACGATCTATTTTTGATGATTTACGTAATTGTCTAGACTCAAAATGGTAGTCTTTGTAGATATAGGTACTTCTCATTATAAGTGCGAGTATGTACATGCATATACCTACACGCTAGATCGAGTAAATGGTCCCACAATACTAATGTTGTATGTATGAATAAACATACATTTGTACATATGGAGATACATTTGTCTGAGAAGTGACGTCGATTATGAGGACGTCAGAAGGCTATTTTCCTCATTCGCATGTACTTTAGGTACATATAAAAAGTTCTCCTTTGGGATATTATGCATTTTAATATGTATTTTAATAAAATACTATTGTGCATTTCATAATAATTATTATTGCGTTTGCAACATAATGTTTTAGGCGAGCTCCTTGTCCAATTTAGATTTCGTGTATGTACTTATGAACTGATCTCTCGACAAATAACAAACGGCGATTTATTTACCAATAGTAACACCGATTTTTCTACTAATACGATTATTAACGAATTCATTTAGCAATAAGTACATATGCTAAACCCATTTTGAACTAGGTGTATATGCATATACTTACATACAATACATATATCCATCCATAAGTAAAAAGCATCAAACTACTAAGTAAATGTATGCATGTACATACATATGTGGGTTAAATTCATATGTATGTACTTACATATATGCGTATCACTGAGAATATTGTTATTATATTATTGATTTACGTTCAGTGCAATATATTTTTTAATCACATAATTTTACAAAATTTTCAAATGCTATTCTCTAGATACTTTATACATACTATGACGACTACATGAATACATTGGCATATGTTTTAATATTTTCGCGTTAATTTGTGCTGTTTTTTTTTTCTCGGAGGTACAAAAAATGTATTTTTGGCTTTGTTGTCGATTCTGGTTGTCGGTTCTCTCTTTTGCACGATATACATATGTACAAAATTTGATTCGTTTTCGCGCATCCGCGGTCCATCTCTCGTGGACCGGAGATGGTTGAAATCGTTTTTGAAAATAGTTGAGATTTAGTATTTGCTGACTCCTTACATTGTGATCAACAGAATTTTTCGGAGGAAAAGAGATACGACTTGGAAAACTCGCAACATCTGTCTGCTTTGGGAGAAGTAATAGAATTTATTTTTGGTGTACAATTCACAATTTTACTGCATAGAGTGTTGAAAAGATCAAAGAGACAACGTTAGCAAAAAACTTGGGCTGCAAGAGTAAAATTAATATATCAAAAGCCTAGAGATTTGTATATTATATAGTTCTTTTGAAATTTCGTACAAATTTTTTGTTAAATAAATATGTAATTGTTAGGAGTAACCGTATTTTGACTAAATTCAATGTAAACTATTTTCTTTTTTATTTTCAGTTAATTATTTTAAGTAATTATTATGTATCCTAGCCAAAGTAACGCCAATATAGGCGGGGGCTCAAGGGTAAGCCCAAATGAGGAACATTTGCAACATCAATCCCCACAGCATCAGCAACAACAAAATATGAATTATAATTCGGATCAAACGAAGCAACAACATACGGACACCACTTCTTCATCTCAGCAGCAAATAAATCCAAATAAAAAAATCGCTAAAAAGGCGTACGTTAAAATTGTGGAACAACCTGCAAGCAAAGCATTGAGATTTCGTTATGAATGCGAGGGTCGTTCGGCTGGTTCCATTCCGGGCGTGAATTCGACCCCGGAAATGAAAACCTTTCCTACGATCGAAATTGTAGGTTATAAGGGGCGAGCAGTAGTTGTCGTTTCTTGTGTGACCAAGGACGCACCATACCGGTAAGAAACTGCGCATTAAAGGGTATTTTTGATTATTATTTTATGTCAATTTACTCTAAAAACCGACAAAATTTGTATTATATGTAGAATTTAAATATTTACCTTGATTGGGAGATTTTTTAAATTAACATTTTCTCCTTCAGTCCTCATCCCCACAATTTGGTAGGTAAGGAGGGTTGTAAAAAGGGTGTTTGCACCTTGGAAATTAACAGCGATACGATGCGTGCCGTATTTGGTAATTTGGGAATACAGTGTGTAAAGAAGAAAGATATTGAAAGTGCCTTGAAAGCAAGAGAAGATATTCGTGTTGATCCTTTCAAAAGTGAGTAAAACCGGATGTCGTTGTAATACTGGTGGTATATATGTATATAACATTATATAATTTTTTTCAGCCGGATTTTCACACCGTTTCCAGCCAACTAGTATAGATCTAAACTCTGTCAGATTGTGTTTCCAAGTATTTTTGAAAGGTGACATGGGTCGTTTCACAGTACCACTGTCACCTGTAGTCTCAGAGCCAATTTATGATAAAAAGGCCATGTCGGATCTCGTTATTTGTCGAATTTGTGAGTGTTCGGCCTCGGTTTTAGGGAACACAAAAATTATTCTACTCTGCGAGAAAGTAGCTAAAGAGGACATTGCCGTGCGATTTTTTGAAGAGAAGGACGGTGTTACAATTTGGCAAGCATATGGTCAGTTTGAGCACAGTGATGTTCATAAACAAACTGCGATTACATTTAGAACACCAAAATACCACAATACAAGCATAACAACGCCAGTCGAGGTGAGTCTTAAACACATTATGTAACATATGTATATATTTGAGTGTGCTCTGCTCATATGGTTACTAACTTCATATAAAAAATTGCTGTACGAAAACATACATACATATTTATATGTGCTTAAGTAAAATTTTATATGTACAACACCTACATATACAATACATACGTAAAGTAAAATGCAATGACTCGGATAGTTTGGAATCTTAAATAATAATTTGAAAATTATGAAAAATAAACACAAATTTTATTTTTATTTAATCACCAATAAATATAGTATTGTATTTGTGAAACGTTCAATTAAAATGTTTGCTTTCGTATTCGGCCCAAAATAATAATTGATTTCATAAAATAATAGTCAATCTAATTAATTATGTGTTTATAGGTATTGGTACAATTGCAAAGACCTTCAGATGGAGCAGTTAGTGACCCCGCGACATTTGAATATAAACCAGCGAAGTCGGGTAGGTATTCTTTAGAAAATTTGCGTCGTATGCTCAAACGGCCAGACGATTACGTATTTCAAGAAATATTAAAAACAGTTGATGATAAAAAATCAAGTTTTGGAGAGGCTATAAATTTGGACACATCAACTGCGGATTCGCATGAAGGGATAAAGGGTTATTTGGATAATTCCATTACAGTGGAAGCAGCAGAAGCCGATAAACGGCGTAAAGAGAATGAAATTGATGCGATAATCGATGAGAAAGTAAGGGAGTTAGAGCAACAGGAACTTAATATGAAACCAATTCATGCAAAGCTACAGCATGTTGCAATATCGGAGGAGTCTAAAGTGGAAAATGTGCAAACACAGTTGCAAGTTGAACAAGTTGCAAGTTCGCAGTTGGAAGGGGTCAAATATACTGCAGCGAAAGAACAGAAGCAACTTTCTGTTAATGATAAAATCAATGAATGGATGAAGAGCAATGAATTACAGGAGAATGAAGGTTCTCCGCCACCTGATGGTGCAGCATCCATTGCTTCTATTGACGAGGATAAAGTTCTTACAGCACTACTGGATGAAGCTGCTGAGTTAGACGAAATTTATACACGACATGTGCTTCAACGTGACACATATAAAGCTATGCTCAGTGAAATGAATGGTAAGAATTCTGAACTAGATGGTCAGAAGAAATCTATGGAAGTAGATGATAGTTTTGATGATGCAGCTACTTACAGCAGTTTGCAAAGAGCTTTTAAGAACCCTGTTAATATACCGTTGGGTGATTTAATGCCACCAACTCCTCCATCCTCTCAACTTGCTCCAGAGGATACACAGTATGACCGTAATGGAAGTTTTGCATTAAGTGCCGATGCTGCATTGGCTACACTGGAGCAGTTTCCTATACCACCATTACAACAACAGCCAAGTCAGCAGCAAAGAACCAAGCAAACCGTGTCACCCCCGCGTCCATTGCCACCAAAATATTTGTCACCGCACATGCACGTGACTGCTGCAGAAGAAGAGAAATTACCTCCTCTTCCACCAAAACGTATTCGAAAGCAAGATGGAATTACTGAAAGCAATTCTATTCAAGAGAATATCAACGTTGTAGCCGATTACCGATCTCGTTCGCCAGCTCCGATAATAATAAAAAAGACTCCAGATCAGTCGCCACTTTCAAAACGTTTGCCCTCCAAGCCGCTCAACGGCAGTAATTCAAATACTTTGCCTAAACAAAAGAAATCCGGATTTTTCTCGAAGATTTTTTCACGACGTAAAAGCAGGCCTGACCTCAATCAAAGTGAGGACGTAGCCCAAAATTCCAAAGGCACTACTCCAGATTTAAGTCGTGAACCAAGTATTTCCCAATTTCGAATGAACGATCCAAATCGCGGATCTGTAAAATCTCTTCAGCCTATATCTTTACCAACAAGCCCTTCTAAAACAGAATTTAATAAAGCAACTAAGCCAAGTCGCCCAGTTGGTCGCAGTGTAAGTAGCATTTCGGGAAAACGTCCATCACGTTTGACCGCTGATGTTATACACATACCATTGAAAGGCGACAGTATTAATAGTCTGCCACAAAACGAAGAGTACTCACATGCCAGTACCGTAACGTTAAGCAATACACTTGACCGTAAAACTGTTTCAGCCTTACAACTTGCTGATATTCCAATATGTGAGGGAAATATGGAACTAGTAGCGATAGCTGACCGCCAAAGTCTGCGTAACTTATGCGAAGGGGCTTTCAATGTCCAACTCGATCCCGATGTAGATTTAACAGAAGCAGAACATTTCGCATTATATACCAGCATACCGCCCCATGCAACAGCCAGCGAATTCGACGAAGCTTCTGCGTATTACGCCGCAGTTGATGCGGGGGAGATTTTAACCCCCGATGAAATCGCTAGGCGTTTGGCAGCAGCGAACTGCATCAATTGAAATAAGGAACAATCAGTAAGCTCTTCCGAAGCTTGGGGATTTCTATAATTAATTTGACGAAATTTGATCATCGATCTTACATTAATCGAAATGTGAAAATTAAAATATATCACGCTATGAAGTAGTGTCTTTGACTATCAATATGATTCAATTATAAAATTGGATCATGGACTATCAATTGAAAACTTCTGAAAATATATATTGTTGTTACAAAGAAACACCTAACGAATGATGAAAACACACTAATGTCCATACTTACATACATATGTATGTAAAAATTTGAAATGAAAACGATACCACAAAACAATGTCGGCAATTAGTTTTTGATAAAAAATAAAATATTATTGTGCAATTAATTGATTTTATAACAAAAACCCGGTATTGAATAATTGTAATATATTGATCTAATACATACATATGTTCCATATATTTTATGTAGAGTATTATGCATATACATACATACATTGAAACATATGTGTGTAAAAATCTATACCTACGCACATACATAGGTACATATTATATAATACTGAGACTGTTTGAGACATAAATGAAGTCCACAGGTGATGGTAATATCGGCATTAAAAACGCGACCGAACAGGCGTCAAAGTACTTACATATGTATGTATATAAAAATAATGGTTTGCTGTATTCAAGCTTCGCCCAATTTGAACATACATTAATTTATTATATATCTTATTAATGAAAAATATGGATTGGAAACCCGCGGTTTAATCTATTTATATCCATTTTAGCTTTTTTATAAAAACATAATATTAAGCCAGATCTATTAGATATTAAAATTACACATGTAACTGAAATATTGATGAAGTACTTAAAAGAGAACTTTGTACGAAATTTATACCACTGTTTGTTAAAAAAAAATAAATCAAGAAATAACTCTTTTGATTATAGGACCAGAGGAATTGAGACGAAAACGTCAAAGGACTGACGGCGATACAATGCATTTCTCGCCGCAACAGCAAAGTGATCACCCGGGTGGTCGTAAGTGCATTTTGTCTTTTTAACTATATTGTGATTATGAGGTTGGCAACGGTGTTGGTGTTATTTTTGTTTGATTATAATTGGGGTTGCAAGAATCTTTTGGTTGTGGTCCATATTTTCTAATGCACATGTTGACTTGATTGAATTAATATACACACGTATCATACATATATAAGTATGCGTGTGAGTGCCTTTTCACATAACTAAAAGTCTAATTCCATTTACTCACATTGTATCGTCATGTAATCGTCTTTAATAAGCTCTTGGAATATTGCCAATTTTATACCAGAAACATTTCACTTTAGCAATGTACTTGAACATTTTGCTGTAATTTTATAAATAAGTAATAAATTGTAATATTGTATATACCTGTGTGTATACATAGGCAGGTACAGGTATTTAAATACTGGTATTTACTTAGAAGAAATTCCTGAGAAGCGCTACTATATATGACCGAATCCTAAAACTAAGTAATTGAAATGCCATAACTTCAAAAGGAAACCGATTCAAAAGTACAATACTGCTCCACTATGTTTCTGAAATATTTAGGGCAATTAGCGGAAGGTTGAATTAATTAAATATTTTGAAATTGAAATGCAAGGGTCATGTTATCACACGGTAGTAGAAAATATATGGGTCGTATCTCATAGATGATTTACATTTTCTGATCCCATATCTATTGTGAATTGAGCATACCTTAAAGCACTAGCGTATTATGCCAAATGAAAATTGAAGTATATTTCTTGTTTCGTAAATCTTTTTTTATATTGTAAAATATTGACATGATACTAAAAATTTGCAAATTTTGTACGCTACGAAGTCAAATGTTTTAGTCACTTGCCTTACGTATATACAAATGAGTATATCGCTACTTTAGAATATGAAATTTTATAGTGAAGAAATGATATATAATTTATACACTTAAAAGATAAAAAAGAAATAATATTTTTAGTGGTAGAAAAATATCAAAATAAAGTTCTATTAAAAATCTTGGCAATGGCTTGAATGTTATTTGATTTCCTTCGTTCTAAAAAGGTAATTAAAAAACAATCTTTACTATCAGTAATTATCTTCTATTTGTATGCTCATGCACTCCCGTTTTATTCTCACGATATTTTACTGAGCTTACAGCTTTTTGCTTTTATATTTAAATATTGTTTTGCTTTTGCGCCATGCTAAAATAAAACGCTTAATAATCTTTGCATGCTTTTTTTTCATCCACAATATTTATGTAATACTCTCCATGTAAGAATGCACTGTCATGAATCGAAGCAACTTCGTACCAAAAGATCCGGATAGTTACATTTGCCTAAGTTGAAACTTGTTAATTAAAGCTATGAAAGTATACGTTATCAATTAACAATAATATTTTTAAAGATGAACTAATAAACTATCCTAATAAATTATCTTTTCATACCTTTTTTAGTCAGTCCCAATATTGTGTGTTTTTACGGTTCACCTACGTCTTGTGGTCTTTGGGTTCTTGCTAAATTACAGGCTGAACAAATCCAATTTCGATAGCATATTGTACAACAACCGTGTGACACTCACCATTCGTCAATATATTCAATATCTATCTTGAAATAAAAAACTTTCGATATGTTTTCTGATCATTCCGTGTATAAAGATAAATCGCCGTACATACTACTTAGTACTAAAATAGTTACCACTCGTGAAATATAAATATGAAAAGATTTCTAAAATTGGTGATGTTCCTAACTGAACTTATCCATTATTATACATTTAAATGTTTTAATATTTTGACAAAACGGTTGAAATTTTTTAAAATGAAGATATAGGTTAGAATATAGTATTTGCAGGCGCATTTTTTCAGTCTTTAAATGGGAAAGGTCTAATAGCAATATTGAAGTACTTAGGAGACGAAAACTCAAAAAATACAAAACTTTGTTATCAACTAGGAAATGATCTCTTTCCTCTAACTAATGTTATGTATAAAAAGTTTTACTTTCGAAATCGCCAGGGAATGGGAAAGGTCTAATAGCACCCAAGTAATATCAAATATTGAAGTACTTAGGAGACGAAAACTCAAAAAATACTAAACTTTGTTATCAACTAGAAAATGATATCTTTCCTCTAACTAATGTTATGTATAACAAGTAAGGAAGGGCTAAGTTCGGATGTAACCGAACATTTTATACTCTCGCAAAGTCAAATGGTATACTCGTTTGAGATTTCTTTGTGGATTGGCTGATATTTTCGGTAGAAGGTCAACTATTGGCACTGGGGTCCACATATTTAGTACTTAGGGGCTTGAACAGTTTTGGTTCGATTTAGACAATTTTTGGTCACAAGATGGCATACTTTAAACCTATTATTCACTCAAGTTTTACCCCGATATAATCATTGTTGCTTGATATGCATAGTGGCAAGTGAAAGAATCAGATGGAAAAATGGTGTTATATGGGAAGTAGGCGTGGTTGTAGTCCGATTTCGCCCATTTTCTCACTGTGGGTAGAGGTTATAAAAAAATTTGCTTCCAGTGAATTTTGTTATTATAACATTAGCGGTTTAGGAGATATGCACATTAAACCTATTAGAGGCGGGACCACGCCTACTTTTAAAAAAAATTTTAACTGCAGATGCCCCTCCCTAATGTGATCCTGTGTACCAAATCACAGTCTTATATCTTATTGCGGAGCTTAGTTATGGTAATTTATTTGTTTTTGATTAATGGCGTTTTGTGGGCGTGGCAGTGGTCCGATTACGCCCATCTGCAATACCAACCATCTCACGGTACCCAGAAACATGTCTACCAAGTTTCATAAAGATATCTCAATTTTTACTCAAGTTACAGCTTGCACGGACGCACAGACGGACAGACGGACGAACGGACAGACAGTCACCCGGATTCAACTCTTCTCTTCATCCTGATCATTTATATATATATAACCCTATATCTAGCTCGATTAGTTTTAGGTGATACAAACAACCGTTAGGTGAACAAAACTATAATATTATACTCTATAGCAACAGGTTGCGAGGGTATAAAAAGTTTTACTTTCGAAATCGCCAGTACCTTTCTTTGCTATCTTTACTATTAATTCTATGCATTTTTTATTTTTGTATTTTGTACTTAATCCTTTTTTTTCTAACAAATATAGGCATGACAAATTGGAATACACCCAATATACCAGCGATTAAGACCGAGCCAAGAGGTAAGAAATACCACGCCACGCAATATAAAGAGATACATATATGTACATATGTCGATTGTATTAAGTTAACATACACTAGGTAGAGTGAGTCTCCGCTCACCAATTCGTGGAATGTGTTTCAATAAAAATATTAATAAAATATATGCGTTTTTGAAGTTCTTTTCAGAATATCAGATGTGCATGCTAATAGCATTACAGTCGCCAAATTTCATGGAATTCCTATGTGCGTTTGCAAAGTTAACGGCATTTTTTGAATTCTACTAATGGAGAATAAACAGAAAAAGTATCCGCTCACTGCTTATTACATTAGATTATTGTACAATAGTTTCTACGCGTTTAAGACCTGATAATTTTTTGTGCGTTGTTGTCAATAATACAGATTTAGATAATCGAAGGAAAAATCTGCAATTTGTGAGTAAATTTTTCGAATTATTCAGCTTTAATCGAAATGAGTGGAAAAGGCAAAGAAATAAGTGTTGATGAGCGGAAAATAATATTAAAATTAAGGGAGGACGGTTAAAGCTTTCGTGAAATTGGACGAGTTGTCAACAGAATGGAGTCATCAGTGCGATACGTCATCCAGACTTTCTAAAAAACGGGAATTATTACTTCAAAGCTCCGATCTGGACGTCCGACTGATCGGGAAACACGCAAAGTTGTATCTCTTGCGAAAGTTAATACGAGTTTAACCGCTTCCCAAATAGCAGAAGATGTAAAAATACGATTTAAAAATCAATATGCAGCGACACAGCAAGAGAAATATTAAAAAGGGTTGGATATCATGGGCGAGTGGCACGCAAAAAGCCATTCATTTCCTTAAAAAACCGTATGAAGCGCATTGCATTCGCAAACGAACATATAACCAAGCCTATATCTTTCTGGGAATCATTTTTATGGTCGGATAAGACCAAATATAGTATATTTGGAAAAGGAAGACAGATGGTGTGCGAAAAACTGGTACGGCCTTTGAAGCTCGAAATCTTACTTCAACCGTAAAGCATGGTGGGGATGCTTATGGTCAATTGAGGAGGTGTATGGCAGCAAGTGGAGTTGGTGGCATTGAGTTTATCGAAAATATAATGAATAAATTTGTTTATCTAAATATTTTAAAACGACAAATGAAGAAAAGTACTGACAAATTACGATTGCCAAACGTGTTTTGTTTCTAACAGGACAATGACCCTAAGCATACAGCGGAACTTGTTCGCCTTTTGCTTCTTTACAATGCTACAAAACAGCTACATTCACCTCCACAATCACCTTATGGGCTCTATTGGAGCGCAGAATTCGCACACACACGATTACCAGCAAAGAAATGCTCAATACCGTTATATTGGACGAATGGAGTAAAATGTCAGCCCAAGATACGAGAAAATTAGTACTTTCCATACGTAAACGTCTAGCAGAAGCTCTAAAATTTCGAGGCTACCCCACCAGCTATTAAACTTTTTATAATTACTTGATATTATTGTGTTCTGGCTGATGAGCGGATACTTTTTCCGTTTAAGTTAATTGTTTTTAAAATGAAAATGAACTCTGTGGCTTTTGTTTATTGAATAATTAGAAAAAAACGTAACTTTTTTTTAAGCAAAAAGATATGATTTAATAACACAAAAAAAATTTTTCTTAATTGGTCAATTGATCAAACTTTTATTTTAGTTCAAAAGATTCTACCTAGTGTATGTATATTTGGACACTCAAACTAAAAGTTTATTGTGATTTGCAGAAGCATCACCCCAACCATTTAACTTATATCGTGGAACTTCGGAGATGACTCCATCTCCCCAGCCCTTATCACCGCCGAATAACTACAATCTTCCAAATACACCATCACCCTACAACATGGCTGCTGGGGGAAATACACCATTGATGTCGCCTAGTCATCAATATCGAGGGAACACCTTGGTAGGAGGAGTTCCAGCAAATACTGATACAATGCCCATTCCACTAGAAATGCATAACGAGTTTAACTCATATAGAGGTGGCCAGCCACACCCAGTACAACTCCATTCGCGGCAGTATGTGCGTCAAACTGAACTGCCACAACAGCAGGATTTACATCAACAACCACAGCACAATCAGCATCAGCCACAGCAGCAGCAATATCATAATCTTCTTTATGGCAACACAGAGGCAACAAATTGGGAGGAAAAGTATTCCAATGTCCTACCGGTAATGGGCAATATGAGCACAGCAGCTATAGCAATGAATAATCTTAATGCAAGCAACAACCAGTTCAATTTGCAGAATTTGTTAACGGCAACAGCCACTGCTATGTCAGCTGTAACGCAGAATCCGCATTGGAATTTTCCGCCAAACCATGAGGTGATTGAAGAGATACCACTATTTTTTAATGTGAAATACATTTTACCCATTTAAAATCGCAGCAGAATGCCCAACTGCAGCAACAACAACACCAACATCACATGCAGATTCAACAACAGCAGTCACCGCAATCATCATTCGAACAACCACCCAATAACAACCACGATGCGGCAATGGTAAACCTGTCAAGGAGCAACAACGCTAACATTGCGAACATCGTTGATACCGTCGGAGACGGCGATCAGGGACCAACGATAAGTAACTTATTGAATTTCGATAGCGGACAGCTCGTGCACATCAATTCTGAGGAGCAGCAAATGCTTCGACTCACCTCCGAAGAACTCCGACTCTCCAATTTGTCTATATCGTCGTGACGTTAAAGTATAGTACATCAGTAGATTAAGAAAAACCCTATTATAGCATATTATTTTTGGCGCAAACCGCACCAACTCACTTAAGGGTATGTATGGGTTGATGTTTAAGGTAATTGAAAAAATAAATGCCATACGTACATATGTAGGTAAATATCACGTAATAGCACCTATTACGGGCACGCTTATATGCATATATGCTTATGATTGTACAATTGCGAAAAGAAAAATATAAAATATTAAAAATTGAAATATAAATTTATCAATGCTTAGTCATTAAGTTGTGCTTAGGTTTCATCGATTTCTACAAGTATTGTATGTACACTTATACTTCGCTTAACGGCCTAGATATGTTACGTGCCACAAAACTTGGCCGTTAAACGAAAGCCGTATAAGTAATCAATTATTTTAATACAAATTCAATAAGATCGGTTCCAAATTTGTTAAACTAAAAATGCATTTTTAACCTTTTATTTCATTTAAACATAACTAGTACATATATTTATACATAAAAATGGATAGTGGGCGTGGCACCGCCCACTTTTAGGTGAAAACCCATATCTTGAGATCTGCTTAACCGATTTCAACAAAATTCGTTACATAACATTCTTTTCATATTTCTATGTTATAGTACGAAAATGGGCGAAATAGGATTACAACCACGCCTATTTTCCATATAACAGCATTTTAAATTTCATCTGATTTTTTCAATTTCCACTATCCAAATGAAGCAACAATGATTATATCGGGGTAAAACTTTGCGTGAATAATACTTTTAAAGTATGCCACCTTGTGACCAAAAATTGTCTAAATCGAACCAAAACTGTTCAAACACCTAGGTACTGAATATGTGAACCCCAATGCCCATAGTTGACTTTTTACCGAAAATATCGGTCAATCCACAAAGAAATCGGTTACATCCGAACTTAGCCCTTCCTTACTTGTTTTAATTGATTTTAATCTGAATCATCATAATTTTTCGCTGGTAAAAATGGATCTGGCTTATAAAAATTGTCCAACATTGTTCGTCTTCTCCTCTTGTCGTTTTTGAGCAATTTATAACAGCTAATGGCTGTGTTAACTCCTCGAGAAATCATATCACTACGTTCGATGTCAGGATCGTTTTCAAGGAGGATGTTTCTTGTTCGAAATAGAAAAAAGCTTTCGATATATTTTTTAATGTTAGCTGTTTTGATACAAAAGGCTCTGTCTCCTCATCAAATGACGATTCTGCTTGCAACTGCATATTCCGTTCGTTCAAATCTTCAAAGCCGCATTCATGTGCTAGATCCAAAATATTTTGCTTAGCTTCAGGAATGAAAATTAACTTCTGTACTTCAGTAGCAAGATATGCCGCTAAGAAAATGAGTCTTGTGTGAAATGCCTTACGAACGTTTTTTGCTGTCATGTATTAAATTTAATGTTTTAAGCAAGAACCGTAAATAATGATTATTGTTGCAATTTATAAATGAAAAAATCAATTACTTAGAATCGACATATAAAAAAACCTGATTATGTTAATAATTTTTCGACGATCCCAATATTTTGGTGACTTTGTTTTTATTTCGGATTTTTGCAAGTTTCTTCACCGATAATTATTGATTTTATAATAAATCATAAATAATTCTGAGCATAAAAAAATAACATTAAAAATTAATCATTATTTTTGAGCAAATGAAAAAAAAATACAAATCGTAAATAATCAGTATTTGTGATTTTTATTTTTTTTTCTTTGCTCAAAATAAAACTCATTTTTATAACATAATAATAATTTTTATAACACAGGTCCTTTTAGAACACATCTCAAGGATGAAATGTATGGTATTGTATTGCCATGCCTCCTTTCCCCACCGCCCCATAAATAAAAAAGCACGAAAAGCCTGTTCACTGAAAGTATAAAAAGAAACTCTCAAAATATAAGATATGGATATGTTCACTGTCGTACAATTTTTTTTGCTGCATAACGAACGGCCATTAAACAAATTAATAACAACGCAAAAGCTCTTCTGGCTTGCCTTTAAACAGCGTCAAAATCTTTTCGGAGTGAACAAGAGCGGTACCTTTCGCGCAGCCTTCAGAGATGCTTACTATGTCAGCTGATTCGTGCACTAAGTGAACTTTTGCCAGGGGACACCTGGGCGTAACTTATCAAAAACCGATTTTCGACCGCGATTAGATAAGTTAAACCGAGTTTCCGGATCGAAGTAGAAGAATCAACGTATACAACAACGAAGCGCTCTATGATTTCACTGCGCGATTTACCTTACCTTAAAAACAAGAATCGAATCAGCAACAAAACCAAAATGTGAGTCCCATTCTACTCACGGTAGCCATTAACGAGATTGTACTATACAATGGTAGATTTCTCTTGCAATAGTCATTGGCCGATAACGCCAAATATGTATTTATTGGACCATCTTCGTATAATGTATTTTCTTGCAAAGAAAATGGGCGAATACGGCCGTAAATTATCTCTTATTTCTTTTTTAAGAATAATTACTACTCGAGATATTAACTCAATATCATTATTTATTTGTTTTGTCCAAAGCTTTTTGTATAGTACATATACCTACATACGAATGTATGTACTTACGATTTTTTTACATTTTGCTATATGTACATATATACACATATGCAGCTTCTTTTCGTCAGTTCAAAACAAAATATATAAAATAATAAAATAAATTAAAGATTATCAATTAAAAGTAAAACGAAAATGCTATCTAATCATTGCTAACGTTTAACAATATTTAGTGCCTTTTCGAGTGTGAGGCCAAACGGAAATGTAGTAATCTTCGGTGGTGGTGTCGCGGGTAGTGTACAGTAAGCAATCCAATGCACCAGATGCAAAGTGGCACGCTGATATGCAATCGAATTGTTCCAGCAACTACGTATACGGTTCCCCAACGTAGCAGCCAAACATTGTTGCAGAGTTTCTACTTCTCGGGATAGATTTGCGACTTCTTTGCGCAAATGTGACTCCACTTCCAAGCTACTGTCCAAAATCAGTGTTTTCCTTAAAAGCAGTATAAATGAATAGAGAACGGTAATCAATGTGATATATATATGAAATATCGCAATTTTAAATCTACTATATGAGTATAGTACGATATATAAACATTTGTATATACCTAAATAAGCCTGTATATGTAGCGTATAAGCCTTTGAATAAAGGTCAAAGGTTTTAGCACAATTCATAATATACTCGTCTCTGCTGTTCAACCTGGTGTTAGTAATGGACAACAAGCTTGGAGTAAAACTTCGCAGCGAGTAACTGAAGTTACTCTGAGGCTATATGGCTAGTATTGAACAATGTTAATTTGTTTCAAAATAAGAATTACATACAAACCAAATTCGGTTTTAAAATCAATATCTTAAATCAGTTACAGAAACTGTCATCGCTAACAATTTTGATGATGGCAAGATGAATGTCATTAGTGTTAGTGTTATTGGTGCACAGTCCGTGAAAATTCTGTCATTTTTATATCTGATATTGAATACACCGCTATATATGTATGTACAATGTATATAGTTTTCAGTGCACTTACTAAATGTCACCATTTTCAGGTATTCAGTACTAAAATACTTAAAATTATTAACAGAAAAGGCAACTTACAGAATTTTAAAATTCTTAGTTTGTTTCAATTAATTCGTATAGTTGCTTTATGATCAAATTAAGAATTCATCTTATTATTATTCACATAATACTTACTGTTTCAATTCATTTATTTCGCATTCAAAAGACTCCAGCTTAGTGAGCGCAGTGCTTAAAGCATCGTTCTTCTCCTTAATTTCATTGTGTAACTTTTCTTCCTTTTGCAAAGATTCATTATTAACTTCACATATCTAAAATAGCACATTTTCGAAAATAAGTAAAGTATAATTTACAGTATGCATTTTCAGAGTTTTACTTCATTAATTAATTCTTTCTTCTGTGCTTCTAGGGCTTGTACTTTACGTTGCTCACTGGACAAATTCGCCTGTAGCTCCCTCTGTTGAGCCATTGCTTTAAATAGGTCGGATTTTGTCTGAGAAAGTATTGCATTGAGACCGTCGAATTCTTGTTCCTTGATTTGGATTTGCTGTTCAAGTAGCGTTTTGTCCGCCTTTAAGCTGATGAGTGAAGTAGTAAGACTCTCGCAAGAAGATTTGGTATTGCTTATATCTTCTAAAGATCGCTTCAGCTGAACACTGAGCTCATCATTGCGTTTTTGTTCAACTCGAAAGAGGGTATTGAACACATGGAGTTGGTTCTTGGCTTTAATTGACTTAAGAGTAGAAAATTTAATGAAATCCATGTTTAACAAATAACTAGCAACACGATCCTAGACTTACACCACGTTTAAGGCTGTTTACCTCCTCCATAAGGCGTTTCACTTCGTCGCGCCGTTTTCGCCAGGCGTTTAACATTATTGTTGCAAAAATACGCATTCCAGCTATCTTTGGATCGCGATCTTGAATAACATAATAATAATTGTTCTGATCGAACATTTTATTTACCAACGAAGATTGACTGGATACGCCCATAAGACCAGTTATATCAGAGGTTCTATTCTGCATTAAAGCACTGGGATTTGTAGAAAGCCCACGCAGCGATTGCGATTGCGGGGAAGCTAATAACGAGTAATTATTGGCATTGTCCCGATGAGTTCGCTTTAAATCCATTTGCGTAATCGACTTTCGGATACGGAAATTCAAAATAGCTGCAGTACTTTGACGCCGCAAGTATAATTGAGTTGCAGATGAGTTAATTGTTCTCGTTGCAAGCTCGAGCTTTTGAGAAAAATGATTTCTACACTGCTTCAGTTGCACCAAATTCGGTGTGGTCAAAGGTTGCACATCAGTTTTAGGTATTGTCGCTTTTTTTGTAACTTTGTTTTCAGGATTGTCTACCTGAACTTGTAACCTTGGTGATAAGTTGCAGTAGACGTTTGTTTTAGATAAAGCGGATGATGGGGACGGCTTTCGTAACGGGACACGAGGAATTTGAGATTTCAGACAGAACGCAGTGCTGCTCTTTTGCTGCAAACTGTGTAGATGTGTTTTGAATCGAGGGCGTGGCCGAAAAAACATAGGATGAATCTGGGTTGAGACTAAATGCTGATTTTTTCCTTATTTTATTATACACGTGTCTTTTAATTCGATGTACGCTAATATTATCTGATTAGCGATCTAATAGCGAAATTTTAATGCAATTCTGTTGCACAAAGAAAACCCGAAAATTTTTATATTTACTGCTTTTGAAATTTTCAGTGTCGAAAAACTGTATGTACAATGAGAGAAGTGACTGAAAAGTCGTAGCTCAAGTTGCTATAAACATATGTATGTGCATACAAATGTATAAAAAATAAGTGAAGTTGTACGAATCTAAGCAAGTAACCCTGTGTATCAAAAAATGGATTCGAAAATAATGTCACAGACCTGCAATACTCACCCAACTTTCAAAGCCACTTTTTTTTGATTTCGCCGTCCAATAGATTTGCGCGACTTAATAATCTTCCCGTTAAGCATCGGATTTTTTTCACACCTAGTTGAATTCTCAAGAGGGCTTCTAAGCTCTTCACTAGGACTTGGAATTCCATTACTAGAGGTTATTGATCGATCAGTAGAGACTCCGTCCGTTTCGCTTAAATTTTCATTGGCCAATGTTAGAGGTGGAATGGTGGTGAGTATTTCTGGCATATTGAATAATAAAACTTGAAGCGGTGGAAAGTTATAATTTCTTAAGATGAAAATAAATGCAATAAATAAACAGATACAAATTCAATTGAGTTTGACACAGTTTTATTTTTATGTTTTAAGAGTTTTTCAAATTCCTCACTATGATCAATTATAATCGTAATTGTAAAGTGTTTTTGTTTTAAAGTATTTTATATCATTCTGACATCTTTGCAAGTAAGAAATTGTGTACAAACGTTCCGGGTATTTTTAGAGGAATGGAAGTTGTTTCAGGTTAAACGTAGGAAGATTAATAGATATTGTCACGGCGACTGAGTTTATGAAGATCATCCGGGGAAACTTTAGTATACAATCTCACGATTGCAGGGTTAAAATTGGTATGGTTGGATAGAGGAGATACTCCAGATTAAGAAACTTATAGTTTTCGAGATATTCGCATTTTAGGTTAAAAATTTTCACAAATTTTTTCTTGCAATTTCCCGATTTATATTTAATTTTTTATATAGTAAAATTTGTTTTATGTCCATTTATTATTGTGTTAGTTCACTACATTGTTTCTACATATTTAATTTATATCAATTATTTTAATACTTGCTTTAAATAAGCAATTTACTCTAAACACAATTTTCGGTTCATGCACAATAACAAAAGGGTGCCATGTTGACAAATAATAAGTGTTACCATACCCTCTTTAACATTACTTATTTTTGATTAGATTTCCTTTCTGCTTTGGCGGCCTTCGTCAGCGCATCAAAAAAATAAACCCTGGCCGATCCAGCACCTGGGTGGTCGTATATCCTTTCCAAATTTTCCAAGAACGCTGTCGTAGCGTTGAATTGACATTCCCCATTCCTACTATAGTAACATTTATAAGTGAACCTAACTACGCCTCAAGCATTAACTTGAATCTCACCATAATTTTTACAAACTGATCTACAGCCACCACTTGTGATCACTGATTTTCAAATACAGTAAAGTAAAACCTCCACAAAACTATTCATACCTACACCTACGCATCCAAACAGTCCATACATATGTATGCACATACGCACATACATAGGTATGTACATTCATACAGGTGGAATGTTACATAAATGCTTTCTATATGTACTCGTATATACATGGTTACTATGTACATATGTTTATTGAGCCACAATACATGTATAATCATTAAAAGAACCGTTCTTACACTTCATTAACGGCGAACAAATTGAATAAACTTTATAGTTAGTAGCACAAAGTTTGTACGTATGTAGATATGTGTTTTCTTGCACATTGTATATATGGTATGTCTGTATTTATGTATGCACATACATACATATGTGTATGTGGAGAAAAGCTGACAGCTACTAAATGGCTGACTGGACCAGTATACTTCAGTTAGCTTAACCGATTTAAAATATGTTTATCGTATCCATACAAAACATACTTGTACACATGTATGTACATACGTATATGTAATTGTTATATTATGTTTGAATGACAGCATATGCATCTCGTAGATGTCTGTTTAAAGTGTCTTCATATAAACAAGAAAATTCGAACCTACATATGTACCATATAATAGGCCATTGGCCTTTATAAAAATCTATGCATAGAACAAAAGGAGTTTTCCATGCTGACCTAGCGTTGATAGGTATGTATATCAAAGCACTAATAGATGAAATTCCACCACACATACAGTAATGCGTTTGCGCGGATTTCCTTTTTGCTTGGATGACTGTAGGAATCGGGGAGATTGGCAAGAACACTGAGTTATTGTCATTAACAGCACCCGTAGTCGCTAAACGCTTCATTGTCTGTTCGGCTACGACGGCAATCAGTTGATTTGAAAATATCGAACGGAAAATCAATTACTGTAAATACTTACGTACTTAAATACATATATATGTAAATGGAATTATAAAGAACTAGTGCTACCGGTACTCCTGTAATTCACGTTGATTTTATACAAACGAATTGATCGAATCGATTGGACAAATTGGATAAATACAATACGGTTTAAGTTCGAAAAAAGTATATGATAATATCTACGTATTTGTTATAATACAATAAAATTGTGAAAATTTAACATTATTGTTTTTCAATGTAATTGTATTAAAGGCAGACACAGGTTAACGAATATTTTGGATATTAACTACTTTTCTGTAATAAAACGACGTCACTGTGCACTTGATAGAAAACGATATTATGGGTAAGACAATAAGATATAACGTGACATGTTTATAAGTCTTGTACGTATGTATGCCCACCCAATTTAATTTTACTAACAACTAGTAATTATAGTACATGCATGAATATGAATATGTTTATTCATATATATGTATGTATATATGGTATAAATTCCTTGACGGAATCGGAATTAGAACTTCACTGCATTTTGATTCCAAAAAAGTGATCGCAATCGAAGTTCAGAATAGTATTGATAAATTTCTTCTAATCAATAATTGTTTCTCAATACATGCAATCATATACAATTCCTGTCATCCTAATGCGTACGGATTCCATTTTATATAAGAAAATTCATTTCGAATAATTAAATTGATTTGTAATTACAATATACAATCATTTCATAAAGTGTATTGGTATATTTAGGATGTTGTATTAGTGTATTATATTTGTGGTTATTTTTTATTCCGGAGATTTAAGTGCAATGAATGAAATTACTTATAATAAAGCAAATATAAGGCATAATATTCTAATTTACTTCATTATTATATTCATCTCAAAATAATAATTAATACCTAAATCGTAAAAATATTTCAAACCAATTAACAATGTATGTTTTCGAAGATAAATATATTTGCATATATCTATGTATAATTTATCTATATATAAATGTACATACATATATAATTGACGATACATTAAACTAGCACATTATTTACGTTTTTGCTTTATACTTGAATACATAAAATAATAGAATTCGATCGATAGACTATAAATAGCAAATCTAAGAATATTGTATATTGGAGTGAAACCCTAAAAACCTCAAAGCAAGAACTATCATGACAGTACAATATTGCAGTTTTTGAATGACCTAGATAACCTTTCAAAAATTACTTTCTTATACACCCATTGATTAATATACAAAATTTGTATGATTGTTTACTGGCATATATCATGCCATAAAACTACTTAATAAATAAAATGAGTTATTTATTGGCGTAAATATTTCAAAGGAAAAAAATCCCAACTTGATTTCTCAACATTGTTTTTGTTAGAAGTCCACGAATATATAATATGTACATAGTTATTCTTGACCTCAAGTATCGTGTGCGCTTATTAATTTCCTTTTGAATTAACCAATTCCTGGGTCCGATAGTTTTGTTTAATGCTGGCTTTTTCCCAAATCTTATAATAACTAGGTTTAGATGTATTTGAGTAAGTAGCCTTAGTAGTTACGGTATCGGGCTAAATGGACACATATCACTTAAACGGTGAATTTGCGTGCATAGCAAGCTAATATGAAGATTTCTATCTGTTGTTACATTCGACGATCCCGACAAGCTAACGAATTTCTACGCTCGTTGTCTCTCTAAAAATTACATAACACAAGAAGTTGAGGTGTAACCGAACATTTTATACTTTCACAACTTGCAAGGATCAAAGTCGGGGAAAATTCTTCTCGCATTTAAATAATATATCTGACAGGTTGGCCGATATTTTCTGTAAAAAGTTCGCAGTCGAAACTGGGGTCCACGTATTCAATTTATGGTGACTTGAATAGTTTTGGTCCGACTTGGACAATTTTTGGTCTTAAGGTGGCACACGTCAAAGGTACAATTTGTGAAAAGTTTTATACAGATACGTTGATTGGTACTTGATTGTATACTAATTTAAAATTGTCTTATATGGGAAGTAGGCGTGGTTTGTATCTGATTTCGCCCATCGCACTGGAATGTAAGAATGTCCGGATAACATTTCCTACCGAATTTGGTTGAAATCGGTTAAGTAGGTCCCGAGATATGTGGTTTCCCCTAAATGTGAGTGGGGCTACGCCCATCATCCAAATTTGTAAAATTGTATGTCCCTGGCGCATTATTTATAGATTTATCGCACTTTTAGTAGTTTTTAACAAAACGTTATATGTTATTCACAGTAGGGGTGGGGGTGCCAAAAATATTTCCCTTGAACAAATTTGGTTATTATAGCTTGAGTGGTTTAGGATATACTTGTATGTACATTAAACTTATTAGATAGCGGATAAGTGCCTCTCGCTAATGAAATTTGTGGTCTTGTGTCCTATTGCGAAGCTTAGTTATGGCACTTTATATGATTTTCGATTAATGGCATTTTGTGGGCGTGGCAATGGCCCAATTCCAACCATCCGCCCTTGGGTGGCAGGGAACATGTGTACCAAGCGTCATCAAAATATCTAACGTTTTACTCAAGTTATCGATTGCACGGACGGACAGACAGACAGTCACTCGAAAATCAACTCATCTCGTCATCCTGATCGTTTATATATGTACCATATATATAACTCTATATCTATCTCGATTAGTTTTAGGTGATACAAACCACCGTTAGGTAAACAAAACTATTATACATGTTGCTACAGAGTATGCCTAAATATTCGATTTATCACTTGTTCGCACAACTCACTTGTTTATTCGTTATATACTAAGTAGTGTGTGCTTCAATAGTCATATGTGCATGTGTTCCAATTCAACTGTTTTAAAGAGATGCGTCAGGGTTACTTTCAATGATGGATGAATTTGTAGATATTCCTCGATTCAGCAAGTATAACATACTATACCAAGTAAGTATATGAGTATAAACAGTCATACATATAACCAAACCTACTATTTTCTCTTTCGCGAGTACGAGTTTTGCAATCTTTAAATGAAACTGATCGTTTAGGTTCGCACATAGGACCACAACAGCTGAATTACGTTACGCTTCTCTTACGTAATGAGCTTATGTCTTTGCGATTTAATTTCGGAATAAGGCGTGAATGCGGAGAAGCAATGGTTTGCAAAGTACTAGTGTAGAAACTGTTAGAACTGAACTAGTAAGTTTCCTTAAATGCTATGCTGTTGCACATACTTGTATGTATATGAACATAAAAATGTATTGTATTTAGATTAAGTACATTTGCTCATACATTATATATACATACATACATATATATATAGTATAATATATAGAATTAGTAATATTTTCGAACAATTTGGTTTGCACACATAAATATGTGTATGGCATATGTATGCAGACGGTGTGCGAATATGCCAAAATAATACTGAGTAAGTATACGCAGCGTTGTACCAAACAATTGTTAATAAATATTATATAATATATATTTATTGATGTTATATCCCAATCTTATTCTTTAAAATCATGCTATTAATTAAATTAGAAAACAATCCAAAAATAAAAAAATTTTGCCACAACAAATAACTAGGAAACCTTCTTATGAGCCTCCTAAGCCCGAAAGTTCTTTAAAAATATTTACAAAATATCTATTCTACGACATAAGGTTTGGAATCTACCGCACTTTAGCATTCTCGAATTCAACTTTTCTCTATATAGCGGGGGCAAATAATTTTATCTAAATTCTTTCTAGGAGACACTGAAAGACACTTTCTAGGAGACTAGAAGACACTAAAAATTAGTAGTACCGTGCACACTTATTGTTCCAAATCAAATCATTTTAATTACTAGGCTCGTTTTCAATTTTGAATGTATAGCACGTCGCAGTACGGCTGCAGAGTGGTTCTTTTCATTCCTTCAAAATATAGGTTTGTATATATGTAAGACTTTGAAGAAATACATATGTATATACCAGAAAAAAAATATATGGATTAATACCAAAATCGAGTAATAAAGGAGTAATAACTTGTTCATCCAAAATGTAGTAATAAAGGATCAAGTATGGCGAATATATACAGTTGTTAAACGGCTAAAAAGTTTATTAAACTTAATTAACTTATTAAAAATGTGTGAAAATTTATTCTAAGCGAAAAGCGAAGCGATAAAAAATATGGAAAATATTCTTGATGGCCTCTTAGCCGAATTCGGAATGTTCAAAGAAATTAGAAGAGCTTATGAAACCAAACCGGAATCCGAAGTGGTAAGACAAAGTTTATCAATATTTTATAAAGAGAAAAGTTGTTTGGAGTTTTTAATGTTTTTCAGATTTCCTATATAAAATCCATGTTCGATAAACTCAAACTTGAAAAGGCCTTACCAAAAATTTTTCTCAACAACGTGATCAAAGTCAAATGGGATGGCTCGAAAAACAAAACAGCGATAAATAAATACAGATTGTTTAACTTTCTAATTTTCGGTAGAATCTGAGATTTTTATATTATATTATATATTAAGTAACTAATATATATTATCAATTTTTTCGTTAAAGAAAACTTTACAACATATGGGAGTTTTGAAAAATGTAGGACAACTTTTTATCGAAAGACCTATTCACTAAAATCTGCTTCGACTCAGAACTCATCGTAAATATTAAAATTACCTCTACTATTTAGCAACTAATAACTTTATTTTGAATCATTATAACTATTTTTGTGAAGAGAATTACTAATTTTTATATTTCAAAAACAAAAATAAAATATTTGAAACAAGACAAAATGCATTACTCTTTTCGTACTCTTCATGGTGACAAAAGACATTACTATTTTTATGCTCTTTCTGAAGACAAAGAAGATCACTACCTCTGCACTCGTTTCGGAAGTCAAAAAGAACTTAAAAGAATACTCGGTTTGCTCTTCATTAGGAGTTCAAAAGGAGTGATCTCTCGCAAGGACATGCAATTTTAAAAAGGAATATTAAACGCATGGGGCTCGGAGATTTGTGGAGTAATCCATTGCTCGCAAAAAAGCGATTTTAGATTAATCATTGGATAATCCGATTTTTTAATGGGATAGTACTTACTACTTTATTAGGTATCTAATGCAAATAGAAAAGTGGCGTTTATTTGCTCGTTCCCTCTGTGGTGGCATACTCTTCATAAGTTAAAAGTGACAGATATAGTTGCAGATATAAAAGTTATCCTTTAAAATTTTTGAGACTGTTACATTGGTATTATTGAATTATTCTCTTAGTGACTATATATCCCTCACGACTAAAATATAGGTGAATCACATTCGAAAGCATGCCATTTTATTGGTATGGGTATAATCACTTGCTTCAGTTTATTTACAGGTCATTATTATGCAATTTAAATGTTCCGCAACTTGAAAACCAGTTTAGAGTTCGACAAAGTTATTGCGTCACACAGTCCAGCAAAGTATCTACGCAAACAACAAACTGTTGACCAAAATCGCCAACAAAGAAACTTTTCAACTGGTTTTATATTACTATTACGATTAATAATTGCAAAAACTCAACAGTTAACTACAAATACAAACTCTATAACTGGCTGCGTCTTAGCATTGTAAAATTTACTCTCTTCCTCTCAATCTCAAAGCACTATTCCGCAAAATAATAAAAACAACAACTGAACTTCATTATTTAACTAGTAAATAAACGTGTTTGATTTTCAAAATAATACAACGTGAAAGCTTTTTTAAGCTCTAAACTTATCGAACAGAACCCGAAGCAAGGTTTTGTAACGGATTGTGACAAGCGACCAAACTAAACACAGCTAGTGAGAGAACAAATGTTAAGAGATCGCTTAAATCAATGTACCGATCAAAGCAGCATATGCATTGTTGAAGATTTAGTATTAAATTATCAATAAAAGTAAATATTTGAAGGCAACCAATTGAACAGATATCATTACATACAAAAGCATTATATACAAGTATGTACATATGTATGGTATATATGAGCACATATGTACATACAAGTATGTAACCACAAATAAATATAAGTATATGTATGCACGGGAGTAAGGGAAGTGGTAAAAAAGATTGATAATATTGCTGTTCAGCACTAGCTTACTGCGGGTCGAGCTCAGTTGAAAACGCGATTCAGTGCTCGGTGGACAAGCGCGATTAAACAATTCGAAAGTGAAATTAGAAACAGTAGTATTAAAATATAATGTTTAGATTTTGATATTGTACAATTTACTCTTCTACCTTTTCTAAGTGAAATCGTGTAATAGTGTGCGACTTTAGCCATAATTCTGTACTACAAAATCGAAGCTAAATTGAATTCATGAGTGTAAACCAGTAGCGCAAATTATCAGAGATAATTTCTTATACATGCATATGTTAGCCGGTATATATGTACACATACCGCATGTATTAGTGAAAATAATCTGCCATATTTATTATAAGCACATATTGTATACAGATATGTACACTAGTGTGATGTATATTGTGCAAAATTTCAATGCAGTGAAGTATTAAATGAACAATTAAAAATTATTCAGCTACGACTTAAGTGGAAAAAAGTGTGTTGGCAATATTAGCATAGTATAGTATTTTAAATTGAAATTAATACAATCGCCAAACAGCAATTTTAACAAATTTCAATAATGACATATGTACTTCTTTAATCCATACTAATGAAAACGAAAATAATAGACAACATCTATGAGATAAAAAATACATTTCATTGAAGGTACAATATTATTGTATATGTGCTCGTATTTCATAAACTTACTCAGAGTATTTAATGACTTTGCTTACAGTAACATGAAAGCAATTCTCAACAAAATCACTTCTAAGCAAGTACATAGATTTATAATATTATATATACGAATGTTTAATAATAGATGTTTTCATTTTCTAATGAATATGTTAAATTCGTATGAGATCTCGTGTGTATTTCCCTGCAAACAGTCGTCGTAGACAAGAGCGTTAAATGCGTAATGTGATCATCTTTCCGTTTCAACTCCCGTTAGGATCCTAATCAATTAATATCAAACAGTGAAAAGGTAGAACTAGTAGTGTATTTACATAGGCATGTCATGAGAGAAGCCTTTCATAAATCCCAACGGCCATTTGGAGGCGACCCATATTCATATAAAAAATTAAATATTTTATTCAAACTTTTTATTATTTTAAAGATACATATTTTACAAAGATTTTGTGAAGTATTCAAAACATTCTCAGCAAAAATGTTTTTTTAATTAGTAGTAATAGAGCAAATCCTTCGTTCAAGACCTTGTAAATTATATCTCGAAGACCTGTGTAAAAACATTTTTTTTTTTGAAGCCGTGAAACCCATATAAACCTAAAACCCCATATTTGTTTAACTAGGTTTGTGATAGTTTATGTATTTATGAACATTTGTAAATACAATGTATGTACATATGTATATATTTTAAGATGCTCATAAAAATAAAGTCGCAATAACAGATACTGATTGACATATGTACAAAAATGTTTCTGTACATTATCAGTATGTGCTCTTATAAGAGAGTAACTACAAGCGCCAGACTAATAATGCAAATACTATATTATATATTTAGGTATGTTCTTTATGCTGTATAAGCTTTATGTCATAAAAAATCATTGCTGAATTGTCACTGATGCAGCTGATGGAATATTGTTGCTTTGCTTATAAAACAGGTATTACCTTATAGATGGCATTATTATATCTCAAGAAGTAAATAAAATTAATTTTACGGAAACAGTACATTCTACGACATTTTGCTAGCCTTTGAAAATGTTCAAAATCTGGAATTACCTGAACTCACTTCCCCCTTTTGAAATACTTTTGGGCTTTAATTGTAATTATTGTTCTGATAGGTACATATTTAATCTACGAAGAGCAACGGAAAACGAAGCAAGTTCTTTGGGACAGAATTGTTAATCCTTAGTTAATGGCTAACACAGCAACATACCTCCCACGATCCTTCTTGAAAGTATATTTACCACTTTAGTTAAAAATATTACTAATGCAAAAATGAATATGTACATAGTATGTATTTGTGGAGCGTGGATTTAAATAATTTTAAAAATATTCTTAATTTGAATTGTGTTATGGCAAATGCGTCTGTATGTATTTATGTATGTACACTAGTTTACACTTGTGTTGTTGTGTACGTGTGAATAACCCAAGATTTGCTTTATTCAAGGAAAAAATGTTGAATATTTAAAGAAAGTTTTAGTTATATGGTTCTAGGTTATGGTTGAAGTATCGAAATTATAACCATGTGTGAGTAACTTTTAAGCCATTTTTGTTTTAGCAGCGAATTACATATATCTTAATTCGAAATTCAAGAACTTGACTCAAAATATTTAACCGATCTCTATATTTCTGTGAAAACTCGTAATAGTTTGAGATGCAAATGCAATCGGCAGCCATAAACAACATTTTGTGTATAATTAAAAGGGGGGCTACCATTAGTATTATCGATAACTTGTCAGCCGACTGTCATGTTCCCATAAAGCAACTGATATGTTTAATGATTTGATATCTTGTGCTATTATATGGGCAGATTACATTCAAAAACATACCAATCTCACATGAGTTCAAAAAATACAAGTTAAATTATGAAGCAAAATCATTAATAAAATAAAATAATATAATGATCTGATAGTTTTCTGTGTAGTTGGAATTTCTAGTTGTGAATTATTTAATTTTAGACTAGTTAGATGCTTTACTGCAGGGTACTTCCAACCGATGTTATTAAAGACCGCTAATTGATTACATCTAAAATGCCCTCATCTACAGTAAAGTTGGTTTTTAAAAATGAAAGGTATTTCTTTGCCGTCATCAACTTACTTACATATGTACATTATTCTTAGTTTAACAACTTGGTTGTTATAATTCTCAGAATTGATTTTGATTTGTACCATAATCTTTTCCTTGCTCATATACCGATATACGGGCTATGTGGATGGAGAAGAACCGCTGGAGAAGAGGCGCAGTGAACTTTTGTATGTATAGGTCGAAACTAGAGGGGAAGATTGGAGCGGGAGTTTTCTGTAAGGAGCTCTTCGTCAATATCAGCTTTAGGCTTTTAGACCACTGTACTGGTTTTAGGAAGAAGTGGATCCTATTAAGTTTACGGTAGGCGTACTGCCACGAAGTGCAACCTCTCTTGGGGAGGTGAGAATTCACTCCGACAGCAGAGAGGCAATACCAGCGTTGAGCTGGCTAACTGTGCGCTCAAAACTAGTTTAGGAGTGTCTGTTCTCACTAGAAACAGCATCAAGCTACCTCGTCATCAGACTCGTTTGGCACCTGGTCATAGCGGAAGCGCTGGCAACTGCAAGGCCGATTGTCTAGCCAGAAGGGAACCCTTATCTCACTCACATCGGAATGGGACCGAGTTGGAGCTCCCTTTGCGTCTTACGTTCCAGCACTAGACCAATGGGCCTGTGCGACTGCGAGATCCTTTTGGCCTCGAGTAGAACGCAGGAGATCTACTGACCTACTTATCGTTTGCAAAGTTCATCTTGTCACAATCGTAGGGGTTCTTACTGGATACTGTCCAATAGGCATTCATGCTAGTTGTCAAAGTTGTATGGATGAAAGTGAGGTGGAAACATCTAGGCACTTTCTCCTTCATTGTCCAGCCTGTGCAAGACTGAGGTAGAAACATCTTGACTTGCAGTATGCCTTACGCCGTTTGGGAAATCGTTTTAATAATATCTAATCTAATTTTTAATGTGTCTTCTTATGTCTTTTTACACTTTATATGACTGTATCGCTAAGTAATTTAAAAAGTGTAAGCACCTGTATGTCACATTTCATATGCACAAAAGCCGATTTGTTTATTCCATAACACTGCGTAACATTAAAGGTACTCCTTAAAGCAAGCTATCATTTAGGCAATCGATTGGAAAATTACACCTCTCAAGCGAAAGTAATTCATAAATAAAGCAGTGAACAACTGCCTTTCAACTTAAGTGCAAACATGTACAAAATACCACCTAAATAACACATAACTGTTAATATATGTACTATATATTCGTCATACCTATTTATGTAGTCTGGTAACGATTTTGACTACATGCTATTTTTAAACTTATTCATAACAGAAACTGCCCGAGTAATGTAAAATATGAATAATATAACATACATTTTGGTTTATATGTGATCTGTATATATATTTAGATATGAAATTGGTATACATAAGTGGCTATTTTGCAAAAATGTCAAGATATTTGAAAACTCTGTAATTATATAAATTTCAGTTTTTGTTTTAATTGAATATAACATAGATACCATATGCGCATCCGACTGTATGTATGTATGCTTGTACCCATAGATAACTTTATTGCGATAAATAATTTCTAGTTTAAATATTTAGCGAAATGTGTAAATAAAACTATACATATGCCAAACTATTTCATTTCTTATTCCATAGTACGAAATTAAAATAATGTATGTACTTATATATGCAGATCCGTATACAGATTCACGCATACGCATTTGTTCATTTGTTTAATTGCTGGAAATAAGTGTTTACATACATACATACACATGACCCTCAGTGCAGATGCCGAGAAGAATTTTTCTCTATTTTTGACGTTAAGAAAGCATACATTTTGTTTTTGTTAAAAGGTGTTCTGGTTCAAAATTAAAATTCTAAAATATATGTACTGTGAAAATCACGGTAATCGAAACAATAACAACCTGTCGAATGTATACATGTGTGCGTGTGATTGTAGGTGTATAAGAGTCAAAATAATTTTCCTTATGTAGGTGCACATTCATGTACATAATACGTATGTAAACACTTACGTAAGTATTTCGTTAGTAAACTTATGTCTTGCACATTCGCCCCAAAAAATCATTTGCAACCGAAAATTCCTCTCCACCACGATTTCGTTTTAGTTTTTGTTTTAATTTTTCCATGACCATCATCTATACAAATTCAATCAATATCTATCAGTTCAACAATGTTTTGAGAGCATTTTAGTTTACGTACATATGTATGCGGATTGTGTGATTGGAGAATTCGTACGTATCCGAAATTGCCGCAAATCGGATTCAACAAGAATACATAGTATCCGGCATTCTGTTGACCTGAAACTTTCGTTCAATTTTCCGTGGCATTGCTCCAGCAGGTAGTAGAAGTTTATTTTCTGATCGACCACCACATGTTTTCGAAGACAAATACCATAGAAATAAAACAGATGTAGTCGAATCTATAAACATACTTACATTATGTTTGTAACGCTTATATTTATAAATATGGTGGCAAAAATCATCAAAGTATCCCTAATGATACTTGTATAAGCAATGCTAAATTCAGCATTCTATGAAAGGACAGTAATTCACATCGCTATGCTTTTGAAAATTTCAGAGCGTTTCCAAATAACCATATTATATAATATGTGCCCTGCAGGAATATACAAACTAGCAAAGTTCGAAGTTGTCATGTGGACGAAAGTCGTTAAGGTTCAGAACAGATGCATTTTCTAAATTAGAAAGGTTTCATTATATTCATATTTGTATATGTATGTAAAGAAATTAATTCATACTCAGAGAAATATTAGTAAAACTTCGTTTATGCACTGCATTTATAAATTTCTTTTGAAGAGTTCGGTTGTAAAAACATTTAGAACTGTATTATGTAAATATTCGAACAAAATTATAATTTTATATGCTTAGATGATATTAGCTTTGAATTTATTGAGCATTTCTACAGATCGCAGGAAGACATTTAGATTTTTTATGTTCTACCGGAGCACGCGCGCGGATTAATCTACAAGTATTTGTGTATAGAAACATGTCCATTGGTAGATAAAAGGGATTACATATGTGTAAGACTAAACTGAACAGCTAAGCAAGGTCCAGATTAGCATCAAAGCTCTCAAAATTCGATCCTGTATGATTTCATATTAGTAAAAATTGTAGAAATCTTTACATGTCAGATTTAGAACGCCTCCATATTTTTACCTTAGCGGAAAGTAATTTGTTAATTTTCTACTTCAGTAAGTTTTTCAATTTACTATTTAAATAACAAGCTTTATTCGATATTACTCTTAACACGATAAGCTACTGATACATAAATAGGTACACGTATACTTTTGTTGCCCTCTATTTTTGTGTGCGTTGTATATACTATATACGTATGTATGTAAGAATATGATTAATATATTAGGAATTCTACAATTAATTTTAGACTTAAGTACGGATCGATTTCATCAATTTTGTCAACCCAATTTAATGTATCCTGAATATATCCTCAAAAAGGTAAAGCAGAAGGACGTAAAATGTTATATTTAGTATACTCTTATGAAAGCTGGGCTATAATTGGTGTCACCAGTATTCATGTAAATGAAATTATATGAAAAATGGGCGCTAATATCACAATTACAAATTTTCGTACCTTTTAATTTGATGTACTAGTATAAGACAAGCTTTAAAATTCCTTAAAACCAATCTTAAAAACTTATATTTTAACGCAAAAATTATAAAAAGTAATTGTAGAGTACTCATAAATCATCCCAATCAAATAAAAGAACTTGTTAATTATTAAATAATTAATAAAATACTTAAATAACTCCATGTATCAAATTGCAGATAACAGCCGAATTATGGATACAAGTGAGCACGAATTGAGTGATATTAGTAAGTTTTACAAAAATAAATTACTTTATGTATGGGTTACGATGGGTACACGGAATTTAATTGCTATGCTCGTGTACTTGCATACTAATCCAATAATAACGTACAAGAATAATATAGAAATATAGAAACTCAAAAAAAAATTGTATACTTGCAGTTGAGATTATATCGCCCGAATTGGATGATATTTCATCCTCTTCCAAACCTTATCTTCGCGTTGTAGAACAGCCTTCAAGAAAACCGATGAGATTTCGGTACAATAGTGAAGGTCGTACAGCCGGAAATATACCTGGTGAGAATTCATTTCAGGAAACCAAAACATTTCCTACTGTCGAAGTCGTAGGCTACGAAGGAAAAGCGCGAATTCTGGTGTCTTGTGTTACAAAGGATAAGCCTTTTCGACAACATCCACATCAGTTGGTAGGTCAGGAGTGTAAACATGGTTATTGTATTAGATATGTTGGACCCGATACACCACTACGTGTCGAACTCAGTAATATTGGAATACGATGTGTAAAGAAAAAAGAAATTTCGGAGTCTTTAGAGAAGCGAAAAAATAGGAAAATTGACCCTTTCAAGAGTAAGTGATACATTTAAACAATTATGGAACTAAAGCAATTAACTGGAATATAACAAATTGCAAATTTTTAGCTGGGTTTGATCACATAACTGATCCGAACTCAATTGAATTGAATTCATTACGTTTGTGCTTTCAAGGCTTTATAAAAGTTGGGAACGGTTGGAAAGCGCTGAGCCCAGTGGTTTCGGAACCTCTCTATGACCGAAAAGCAAAAAGTGAATTGCTTATTAGTCGCCTTTGTAGCTGCGCAGCCACTATTGATGGAGGAGATGAAATAATTTTGCTCTGTTCGCAAGTCAATAAAGATGATGTGAAAATTCGCTTCAAAGCGATCGATAACAATCGCGAAGTTTGGCATGCATACGCCGATTTCGAACCGTCCAATGTACATAAACAGACAGCAATTGTATTTCGCACACCACGCTATCCTCAGGCGGATTTGCCAAAAACTGCCAAAGTAAAACTAAACGATCATATATGTATATGGTGTCTCCATATATGTTTTAACAATATAATTTTCTTCATATTTTACAGACATACATTGAGTTGGAAAGACCCAGTCTGGATAAACGGAGTGACGCTTTGGAGTTCGTGTTTCATGATCCAGGTACGCTATCCTTTGCCAGTATGCGCCGCAAACTTAAGCGAAAACAAGAAGTGGATATATTTCAACATATATTGTCCATGGATAGTGAAACGACTGCAACAAAATACTCTTGCCCCCCTTCTGATATTGATTTCGATTTGGATGATATTGCTACCTTATCAACAGAATGCACCGAGAGTGCCGTTAGCAAGCAACATAGTTTAGATACACTTAATGAAACCGAAAGTATAGCTCGGTGCAAAAGAGAAAGTATTACCGACGCTGATGAAGATATTAAATTTTATAGACCCAATGATATTGAATACGACTTCGAAGCGCCAACCATGAATTGTCAAGCTGTGGATACAGACACTCAAACATCGACACCAATTGATCAAATACTTAATCCATCACAGATCGAATCGCGTTCATTATCCGCAGTCGATAAAATCACTGAATGGATGTGCTCTAATGAGTTCGAACGAACCGATAGCTTAACAGTTGAGAACGGTGATACAACTTCAATCAGTCCAATAACAGTATATACCAACATGGCAAGTTTATCAACCAACCACACGACTATATCGACTGCTACTGACGACGACAAAACCATTACTGATCAAATGGATCAAGTGCCCGAACTCGATGACATGATTACAGAAACAAAATCTCGACGGGGCACATTTGACAGCCCTATGATACAGAACTTGTCGTTAGGTGGGTCACCGATTTTCGACAATAAATCAATTGAAACAATGGTAGAGGTGGTCAACACAAGAGGAAAGGAGAGTTTTGATGAGGCCTCAACATATACAAATTTACAAATTACTGTAAAAAATCCATTTTCCATTGATTATTTAGACACAAAAACGCTTGGAGGAGTTACCAATGACGAACTTGGCATGGTGGTATTAAAAAATCCCCCTGCACCGAAAATACGCGTAAATGTTGCCCAAACGCCTCCATCACCATCTTCTCCCCCACTACCTTTACCACCACGTACACCCTCTCCCGGTCCTGAACAAAGCCTTCCTCCAATTCCACCGAAAAGAAAAACATCACAAGAACTCTGTACAAACTCATCGGTTACACATGATTCCTTAGAACTTTCTCGCACGAATAGTGTGTCCTCACGACATCCGTCACAAATAATCATTATGCGAACACCAGATCAAAGTCCAACCAAACGACAAACTACACTCACTTCATCACCAAAGAAACGTCAAGGATTTTTCTCTCGACTTTTTTCACGACGCAAAAGTAAAACTGAAATAATGACTAACGATAAATCCATAAAAAATCAATCAAACAAAGTGACAACACTTTTTGACAGTAGGGAGCTTAGTATTGGAAACTTTTCTATCGGGGAACCAAATCGGTGCTCCCTACGCTCGATTAATTCTGCGACGCTACAAGTTAATTCCAACTATTTAGATTCCCACAACAACGTTGCTGAACGAAATGAGAGCAATAGAAATGGTAAACCGGTTGGTCGCAGTGTAAGTAGTATTTCTGGCAAGAGACCGGCATATTTAAATACAGACGTAGTTCATATCCCTCTAAAAGGTGAAAACGCTAAAAGTTTACCCTCCAACGAAGGTAAAGCTTTCACTTTTGGTCAATATTTGGACCGAAGAACTCTTAGTGCTCTTCAATTAGCCGAAATACCCGTTTGTGATGGGAAGATGGAACTATTAGCTATTGCCGATAGACAAAGCATAAAAAATCTATGCGAAGGGGAATTCGGTGTCACACTCGATGCGGAGGTAGACTTGCAGGAGGCCGAACACTTTGCACTATATACGAGTATACCACCAGAGCGTCAATTCACTGCAAATAGTTCCGATATTGAGTTGAAAATCTGCACATCTATGGACGATGTACAAGTAATAACAGCTGACGAAATCGCCAAACGACTGAATGAAGCAAATAGAATGCCAATTTTTTAATATTTATTCACTAATTTTTAATTTAGGGAATGGCAGTGAAAATAGTACATATGTATGTATATGTATATGCATATGTATATTTTTTCAAGATCTGAGAAGATTCATATTAAACCCCTTTTAAAGATTCGAGATGTCTCATATATTTCCATTATAGATCGTTATAAAAGAGAAAGAAAACGTCGGAAGATTAGTGGAGAAAGTCTCATAAACCAGATGAACAGAGATATGGGCTTAAACTTAAATTATCAAAGCATTTGTAAGTTGTATTATATTTATTAACTGCACACACTATTTAAATAAATATCTTGAAAAATACCTTCAAATGCCCATTTCGAAGCATACGGCTAGGCCAATAACTTTGTATTTAAAACAAACAAGCATCTAAAAATATCCATAGACATTTAACACTGGTACTCGGTGACCATCCATTATGTTCTCACCATCTGTAGCATACATATTGCGAACATGCATAAGCATCTAAACACTTACAGGCGCAAATACTTATGTATCAAATTCGACTCTAACTTAAATATGCTAAATATGTAATGTCCATAGTATTTTATGTACTGCATTTATAATTTATAAAATAAATGTATGTAATTGATGGCGCCAATTTTAATATTGTCATTTCTAATTTTGTCATAAAAATAAATTTTTCGATATTCGCGACAGATATACATATACATAGCCAATAAAGTTTGCGTTCACCCGACACATTTTTTTAAGTGAAGTAAAAAAACAATGTAAATAGGTAATTCAGTTTAAAATGCAAAAACAAAAATGTGTATTCTTGTTGGTACAGTTAAACACTGAGGTGGCGGAATTATGGTGTGAATGGAATTATGGTTCCATGGCCGCTGGTGGTGTGGGTCAGCTTGAATTTATTGAATCCACAATGGATAAGTGATATTTGAACATTTTAAAAAACAATTTGAAACAAAGTGCAGAGAATCTTGTATTATCTTCGACGTTTTGGTTCCAACAAGATAATGACCCGAAGTATACTGCGGAAATAGACTTTGGCCGGCCAGATCGCGGTTTTGACGTTAAAATTCCGGTTTTTTTAATTGTTTACGACGCGCTGGACAGAAGAATACGTTCTTCCAATAGTTTGCCCAATTTTTCTGAAACTTTCGCCATCTTTTCACAGCTTAATGATAATTTTTCTTTCCGACAGACTAATTACTTTTCCTTTGGGTTCCATTTTTTAAATATTATTAAAACGCGTCACGAGCTCTTTAAACGACTTATTATATTAAAACACAATAGAATCTACGTAAAAAGAAGGAACAAATTCATGAGAAGTAACGGTATTTCCAATTCAAGCTAACTGAACGCAAACTTAATGGTGCCTATGTTTACTTGTTCTTACACTAAAATCCCGTTATCACAAAATTAAAATAGGAATATACATTTTTGTTTTTGCATTTTGAACTTAAGAATATAAAGAAGAAATACATGCAGAAAATTTAAACTGAATTACCTATTTACATTGTGTTTTTACTTCACTTAAAAAAATGTGTCGGGTGAACGCAGACTCTATTGGCTATGTATATGTATATGGTATACGATCATCGAAGGTTTACCGAGTTTAAGGAATTGTTAGACAAATCTTAAAAGTTTATGTACTTATTCATTACTTATTGACTCAATCATAACCGAATTCTGAATAATGAACCTTATTATAAATAAATAAAAATAAACTATTGACTCTAGTGAATATATATTGTTGATATACTTATGTATCTACATTTATAAGTACATATTTTATTTATTATATCAGCTTCGCATATCAGAAATGTATTGTATAATGGGAAAATAAAGCATATAATCATTGAAAAATAATTGCAATGAGACTCACTCCTTCATACATATTCGATAGGTAATTAGCAAGTTGATTGAGTACGATTAAATACGTTACCGTTACATTTCGCAGTAAGTCAGTATATATGTCCTTCTATGTATGTATGTTTGTATGTTATTAATATGGCATTTTTTCAAATATTAATATGTTTATAATTAAGTATCTTCATACCAGCATCCGGTATGTACATACATATAAGTGCACTTTATAAATACACAAACCAAAGTGACTTCTAGTAATTTTATTGTTATGTACTCACACATTTATAAATCAAGCACTCTTTATTTTGCATTTTACTAATTTGCAAGGTCATTAATTCACAAATGTACATGTACATATCCCTTTCCTGGCTATTCAAACTACTTTTTTATTAATATTTGATGTTGTAAAACTTGGCATCGAATCAGCGCGGAATTCTAATTGCATACGCTTTAATGTAGTTTCTTTACTCTTTATTTAAGCAATGAATAATACTTTCAACTTGCCTGTCACCACAGTCACACACAACTACCAAATGCCACCGCTGTCACAGTTATCGCCAATACCACCACAAAATTGTAATGCAACACCATCGCCGATCACCCCTTCTTCCAAGTATGCAGATCAACTAAGCACACTAATTCAGGATACTACTTGTACAAATCAGGCAGCAAGTTGTCAAACGCTTCATACCATATTAAATGATCGAAAAAAGCAAGAACTTGACTACAACACCATAGGCAACGTTAACGTTTACAATGACAACACAAATTACCAAATTACGAACGGCCACTATTTAGGTACTGTCCGTAACACTACCAGCGGTGGTTACTTTCAACCTATTAAAGAAAAAATTGAAATGGATACCAAATGTGACTTATCTGGTAATTTCATTGTTATATACTTATACCTTTATAAATCAAGCACTCTTTATTTTGCGTTTTACTAATTTGCACGATCATTAAATTGAAAATGTACATTTATATATTCCCAACCTACCATTCACACCATTTTTTTTATTAGTATTTGATGTAATTTCTTTACTCTTTATTTAAGCAATGAATAATATTTTCAATTTGCCTGTAATCTCAACAACACCACCACATCCAGATATCAAAGATGAGCCAAGTGAGTTACACTTTAAGGTTTAAAATATTTTTGAAATTACGCATAACATTTTATTTTTTATTTTTGTTTCAGTAGGAGCTGCAATGCCAATAAAGTTTACAGCAGTTGAGCAACATTTTGATCCATACAGAAGCAACTACCTAATGTCACCGCAGTCACAGTTGTCGCCAATGTCACCACAAAATCGTAATGCAACACCGTCGCCGATCTCACCTTCCCCCAACGGTGCTTATACGGACCAATTGTGCACACTAATGCAGGATAGCACAATTGAGACAACAAAATGTCAAACGCTTGATGCCATATTTAATGGTCGGGAAAACCAAGAATTCGACTACAACGCCAGAGGCAACATTAACGCCTACAATGACAACACAAATTACCAAATTACGAACGGACATTATTTTGGTACTGTACGTAACACTACCAGTGGTGGTTACTTTGAACGTATTAACAATACCGCAGGAGTATGTACCCCTGCGATACATAATGTACAGGTTACAGAGCAACAGCTCCAAAATTCTATTTCGGATAAGGAAGAGATTGAAAGAATTATATTGGATCTCATGCAAACGCCTATGACGCAATCGCCTGCTCAACTAACTGATCCCAAGCAAAACAATTGCCAAGACAATGCAAATATCGATTTTTTTAAATAATTATCACAAATATAATGAGATAAGAAAATTTGTTCCTGGGGTTAGATTTAAAATCTTTCTCTAGTTTTTTACATTTAAAAGTTGACCGGTTAGAATTAGTAATTTTCTTATAAACATATGTATATATCAATTTATTGTAAGATTCGAACAATACATTTAAGTATACTTCAGAACTTAACTTAATGAAAACAAACATATATTTTATTAAGTATAGATAAAACCTCTGTAGTTGATATAGAGTTAATATGCAGACTAGGGGTTTGGCTTCCAACATAAAGATGATATCGAAAGACAACAATAAAGCAAGAGAAATGTGAATAAAGTTATTTATTTGTATATAAGTACAAATATTCAACATTTTCATGATCATTTAGTGAACCTTTTTACACTTTAATTTGATTGCAAATCTCATGATAAATTTTAATTTACTAATTAAATATAACTGGTATACGATAATTTTGCATTATGAATTAAATTGTTTGTATATTGACTAAAAATGTAAAGTCCGGAATGTGATATAAAAAATTGGAATACTGAGTCGAATATATGTATGTTTTTAGATGTTATTTGTGTTATAAATTAGATATGTATGGTGCAATGCTTTGAAATTTCATATAATAATTCATGCTTAACGGCAAAGATATGGTTGACCCAAATCAGCGTTTTTTTCGCTCCGAATTTCTTGGAAAAAACGATTGATGTCCGCTTCGGTGACAACTTTTTTGGAAGCAGCAAATGTTTGTAAATATTCTTTTAGTTTATCTTTCATGCGGTTATACTCTGTTATAGCGTCGATTTGTTGCACTCGACCAATGGAAGCCAAAGCGCGTATACCTTGTTCATATGTAGATTCAATTGCACCACGTTTTTTACCTCGCTCTTCATAAGACTTGGCAGAATCTTCTGGATCTAACAAATACTCTACTTTTTCAGTTTTATAGAGATCCAAACAATAAACACATTGACATAAAGCCTCACGCCAGTCACATCTCCAAAATGTAGCTCCTGAAATAATTATAATTATAAAAATTTATACAAAATGCATATGTCATATATTCATATTAACATCACACAATTCTCTTGTGAAGTAAATCCAGAGATCACAAAGAAGGAAAAAAGGGAATAATATATTCACACAAATTAATTAAAACAATACCGTGGGAATTAAAAGTCTGGTTCGAAATATAGAATAAAACAAAAGAAGTTTAGAAAATAAAAAAGCAGAAATATATCCATTTTTAACATAAATAAATAAATACCGTAAGATGACTTCATTGACGACCAAGTTAAACCTTAACACCCAAGCTAGAATTAGAAAATTGCTACAACAAAAACATAAATAATTTCTAAACAAGGATTACTAAAATAGTGTGGACTAGGTATTCGTTATTCGAATGCCAACTGATACGATATTAACCACAAAAAAAAGGATGGAAAAATATTTTACTATTTAAAAAAAACATATAAGGGAAGTTGGAAGCAAAATTATTAAGTCGACAAATCGAAAAGATGCTTCGTCTAAAATCTCAGCTAGCCTAAACTAATCTTTAGCATTTTGATGAAGAAATCGGCCCTAGGCCTTTTGTGGAGAGATGCGTGTTAAAGTATTTTACGAGTACTATTATATTTAAAATTACTTTATACAAACTTTTGTCTTAAATATCTCTAGTAAACGTTATTTTTTCAGTCAATAATATGTATAATTTAGATAAACTTAATATTTTTTGATGTATTTTTTTTACTCAGAGAAAAAATGAATATAGAATATTTCAACGAAGGCCTGGAAGATCTAATGTATTGCGGACAAAAACTAACACCTGAGCAAAAGGTTTTGATCGAAAATTCGCTTATAGTACTACAGAATGAAAATCGATTCACAGGCATGTACTTTTGGGGTCGCATTAATGCAATAACTAGAGACTATTACATAGCTTTCGGATATACCCAAGATTGCTTAAAAGACCGTAAATTCTTTTACACGCTTGATGGATATCAATGGATGATCTTGCCTTTTGTGCATAGTCCGAAAATTTTTCAAGCTACTATTTTATGTCGCGAACCTTTTTTAGGAGACCCGTTTCTTGTAACAACAGTAGAACTGGTAAATCTTATAAATATGTGTTTATTAAAACGGAATCAATTATAGTGTTTTTAGGATCCTACATTCGAAATCGATGCTAACCAAATAATCTCAGCGAATTTACCCGAGAAAGTTAAGCTTAAGGAAGAAGAACGTCTGGCTGCTATAGTATTTATTATTACTGAGGAATGTGCAGTTTGCCCACGTGGAGCCCTTTATAAGCTTACAGATGGACGTGTAATACCCAACCAAATGTTTCGGGGCCTCAACGATCTGCAAGTTGAAAATATTTCTAACTACCAAATCCTTCGATTACCACGAAACGATTTAAAGCACAATTTGCTAAAGCGCAGTGATTACAACTACGCTATTGATTTCTTAGACTGTATAGCCGATGTAATACCGTTACGTCAAGTATTCTCTTTGAACTTAATGAGAAACGAACGCTTAATTATTATAAAATCTTGTCTCTGGCCCGGTATGACCTTTTTCCACAAGTTAAACTCTCGAAAACATGGTTTTCTCTATTTTGGAGACGGCAAGAAAAACTATGATCTACTTTTTATGTACTAGCAATCTCCAAAATGAACACGTATAAACAATATACAAGTCCTACAACAGTACTGAAGAAACTTACGATATCAAACTTACGACCAGTCAAAAATATGCCTCACTATACATGACATATTTATTGATTTCGGCTAATATGTTCGCAATTACCTCGACGGTACCTCAAAAATAATTACTTGTAGCTTTAGTTTTAAAAATAAATGAATGCATTACCCTACTTTAATTTAATTATATTTTTAATGACTAACTTGTTTTGACAATGCAACGAAATCATCTCACTATTTTGTCACCAAAAGATGGACGGAGGGGGACAATATAATTTTCATGCATCATACAAATCCTTTGTTTTACGTGAAAACAATAAAATCATATAGCGTAAAATGGTGTAAATATATGATACAGAAAGCTATTATGAAGGTTACCTCCTACGTAATCCGTTTTTTCTTTTGGACGACGGCAACTTTCTTTAGCTGTCTTCATAGGGGAATCACTTTTGATTTTCTGTCGTTTAACTTCTGGACCACCATTAAATGTATTTTCATCAGCATCAACAGTAGGTTTAACTTGTGATTCCACAATTTTTTCTGACGACGCTGTTTCGGCCGCATTCATATGCATTATATCCGAAATGCTCTTGTCTAAATCTGAACGTAATTTGTTGTCGTGATCTTCACCCAACGAATTATTTTCTGCTGTTATATTATATACAGGTTCGTCAGAATTATCAAATGCATCAAGTGCCAGCCCAGTGTAATTTTGCAGAAATATGTGTTTCTTCATACATTTTTCACAAACCATTTCTGCACAGATATCAGCGCTATCTATTTTTTTGGCGGATCCACCCATATCTAAATGAATCAAATGAAACCAATCTTCGCAAACTGTGCACTGCAACATCACTTCTTCCGTGGTTCGCTCCGGATCTGGGTATGGCCTATGACATTTACAATATAATCCTTGAAAGTTTTGATTATACAAGTTCTCGGAATTACACTTTTGTGGCAGTGTCGTTCCAACATTAAGTAAACATTTTTGGGTAGATATTTTTTCCGTGGGGCAATCGCAACGAAAATTACGTTTTGTATACAATTCGACCAGTTCGTGATTTTCGTGGCAACGATATGAACATGCTAAACAGATTCCAGCGCATTTATTCAAGTCGGTACGAGCTTCAGGACAGCAAGTTAGACAAGAGTAAAGAGCCTGGCGCTTAATGGCTCCCTGAGAATATGTGCAACATTTCTCATCAGAAGCGCCTAAAACAGCATTGTATTCCTCTTCTAAATCATGCTCCTCTTGCAAGACATCAACCATTGTAACACTGGACTCATCCAAAGAATTTTCTGTGTGTTCAGGATTCATTGTAAATACACTTTTTTTCAACTAGCTTTGTAATAAAACTTTTATACAGGTCTGCAACAAATACTCAAAAAATTTAGAAAATTGTTTGATCAATCACCACATATAATTAACATAACTTGGCGCGCGCCCAGACAATCTTTTTCTTTACAAGTTATGGAAAATGCTGCCAGATGTAATAAGAATTGTTTTGAATAAAATGACATTCGAACTAAATCCTAATCGCAAAGGATTTATATGAAAGCATTTTATATAAATATGAAAATGTCAAGTTACCATTTTTATTTGAATTATTACATTTAATACCACTATATGTTATTAAAAATTTGAATTGAATATTTTTGAGTATCTTAATTTTTTCTTCATTTACAATTTTTCAAAATGTTTCTATTATTCTATGCATACATATTTGCACATTACATATAAAATATGGATAACAGAATTCAAATTTCTGAACGAATAGTATATATTCATTTGAAACCGAGCGCTCTTGTAACCATTAAAAGTCTTCGAAAGTGAAAAGGAATGTTGAAAACGGTAGCAGCGAGCTGTTACGAACAAGAACACAAAGCGTGCCACCCGAACACGAGTGGCACTCTCCCTTCGACTTTCCTAGTCGTCCCCTCGCCCACAAAAAACCGGTTTGGGTTACAAAAGAGTTAAAATGTACTAGAAGTTGTAAGCTCGAAAAACGAGCAATAAGTGTTAAGTGGTTGGAATCTCTTGTAAACAAAAGGTTTGTAAACCTTATGTTATTTTTTTTTTAACTTTTTGTAAATTTGTGAAATAAACTCCATTTATAAGTTTATAGTTAAAAAATTAAATAGTGATCAAAATATTTCCCTGAACCGTTATTATATTTATTTCAGTAAGATTTTTTCCTTATAAAGTAATAAATTAAGTCTAAAAAATTACGTAACAAGATGGCGGTTGGCGTAATCTTGTATTCTATCATTCTTGCTTTACCACCATAATCCGTTTTCATTTCTTATACACATATGTGAAACACAAAGATTTAGCCAGTGAAAATAGCTTTTTCAGGAAATAATTATTGTCAGCGGAGCTGGGGCAAAATATCGATAAATAATCAACAGATGCAATGCAATTTCGCAAATTATTCTATCGAGAAGTGTTGCGAGCAGCAGCAGGCCTGCTTTTAGTGCCAAAAAAATTAAAATATTGTTTTGGGCATTTATTATTGAAATTGCCGATAGCTTAATAACAATGGCTTACAAATAAATATTGCCTGTGAAGGTAAGAGTTATTTAAAAAACACGAAAGAACGACCTTTTATATATTTTGTTTGCAAATAATGTTAAAGTTGCGTGTCACTTTCTTAAATTTTTGTCAAATATTCTAAAGATATCTTTGTGCTGGTAGACAATAAACTTTTTGCAGTCTATCTCAGTGTATTTGTGTATCTAGCTTGTTTATTTTTTTTTTTTTTAGAAGAATTACATATTTTCTACAAAATGAATGCGCCACCAACGTTCGAATCATTTTTACTGTATGAAGGTGAAAAGAAGTAAGTTTTTAATGTTTAATAAGATATCTTATAAAGAGATTAACCTGTTGATTTTTAGAATCATCAAAGAGTTGGATACTAAAGTTACAAATGCTGCGATATTCACGGTTAATAAGGAGGATCACACACTTGGCAATATGATTAGAAAGTATACAATAATGAAATTACTTCAACTAAAATGTAATATGTTTTTGTTTTAGTCAACTTTTAAAGGATCCCAACGTTCTTTTTGCTGGGTACAAAGTGCCGCATCCATTGGAGCACAAATTTGTTATAAGAATACAAACCACTTCTGATTACTCTCCGCATGAAGCATTCATGAATGCGATAACCGATTTACTAGCAGAACTTTCATTGTTTGAGGAGCGATTTAAAGTAAATTAAGAATTGTGTTCATTAATTTTGTTGATACTAATCAAGCTAATATTTTGCCTATAGGAAGCTATTAAAGAAAAAAGGGAAGGTGGCGATTAAATATTTCGTTTCGAAAATAATGAATATTTATGTATGTATTTTGTAAACACAAAAATATGGATGCTCACATCCTAAGGAAAAGTCAAACTTTCTGATTAGACACAATTATTATATGATGGACTTGATTAAGATAATAAAATAAAATAATAACAAAAAAAGCAAAATTTTAGTTACAGTAATAAGTTGATATATTTGATAATATGTAAAAATGTGACCGAGTAGTATAAATTATTACAAGGAGAATATGTGTAGAATTTTTCAGAAACTTTTTTGTGCTATAGTGGTCCGATATCGGCGGCTCCGACAAATGATCAACTTCTTGAACAGAAAAGGACGTGTGCAAAGGAGAAACTATCGATATCTTAAAAACTGTAACTAACTAATTAAATTATAGACAATTATTTTAATTTAATTTTGGAAATTATTAGCAAATGATACTCACATTCCAACAGAAGCACTTCATTTTGGAACGTGTAGGATCTCAAACGCTCTATTTGCAGATCGCGGGCGTAGTGCTCCAACAGTCGTATAATGCAATAGTTATTGCTTCCGATCCAATCATAATAAAATTGAATTTCCAGTTTGTCCATGAGTAAGTTAATTAAAATGCTTAAAAATATACCGCATATTTCTATATCAAGACGATATAATTTAATTATTTGTTAACAGTATTAAACACTCTTTTATAATACAAATTGCAAATAGTTATAAACAAAATTACAGTGTTTTTGGTTATGCGCAACTCGTTTAGACCGCTAGCCACCCTGACTCACCAGAGGCGGCCACGTTCGTTTTTTTGTGAAACGTACTCTTTGATAGTGGGAAACGCTACTCCCTTATACCATGGTATATCTATGCACTGCACTGTTTCGCTCTTAACGTCTTAACTAGCGTTATTAATATTACAATATGTAAATTTTATTGTACATATTAAATTTTTCCCCTATCTACATATATATTTTAATTGCAAATTTAAATAAAGTAAATCACAACAGAATCGGCGATTAACAACAAAATATATTTTAATATATTTACATACATAAGTATGTATGTACCTGTATTGGATAACTGTTGCGTGCAAAAATACAAATAACAAACTAGTTGTAAGCAGCTATTTTACAGTAATGTAATGACACAAAGAGTGTCTATATTTCTTTAGTTCCTTGCCAATCTTTAATATATATTAGTTAAAGAAATTATAAAATTATATTATAATTAGCAATACATATAAATTTTTGCTATACTTCTGTACAAGTGTTTCTATAACTAAGTGAAAGAAGAGAGTTATGTACATATGTACCCGTACATGAGTAGCAAAGAATGATTAAAAACAATAAGATCCTCAACTGTTTATCACAAACGCATAATATTTAAAAATATATATGTATGCATATTGAAAAAGTTGAAAAGTTCAATATCATTAGTTAGTAGGTAAACATAAAATACATTTGTATATAGTAAATAAAGTTTTGCTACCACTCGTCCTCAGCGCATTCACCCGTTACGTGGCCGAAAACTAAGAGGGGGAATAATATAATTGATCCTAGCGTAATCTCATATAATTTGGCAAACATTTACCTTCACAGGTTTCACAGTATTTTCGTGGTTCTGGTAATTTCCGGATCTTTTTTCCCGTCTCTTCCGTCAGAGGTGGAGGTGAGTAGTCTCGGACATCGGATGCTTGAAGAGGGCAGTCTTCGGTTTCGTGTTTATCAAATTCATCGCAAATATCACAGAAAACACGAGGAGCTGGTTTGCGTTTAGCGATTAATTCAAAAGCTTTGGGCCTAAAAGGATCATAGATTTTTACAATTTCGTTTCGCCTTATAGTGTTATTATTAATGGTAATAAGTTCTAATAATAAGTAGATAAGTTCTCTTGAAATAATAAAGTGTTGTTTTAAAAAAAAATTGTATATAGTAAACATTTTAATTTTCTACTTACTGCGTAAAGTCCGTGGGTAACGCTTCGAGTGCTTCGATCTTAGCCTTTAAAGAATCATTTTTCTTTTGCATGTCCGCAATTATAGAATTCAGAAAGTTGATTTGTGCTAAGTTGCCTTCTGGTTCTTCACCCTAGAATAATATACTTAATTTTTATGCATACTCAGTGTAAAATACGAAAGGAGCAACTATATATTGGCCATTTAATAATAGACTGCCGTTAGGCAAAAGCTATTGGTTTTTTTAAATAATTGAAAATTAACTGTATAAAAAGAAAATATCGTTCGTAAATTTCATTTCCGAAATATGTACATAAATATGTACATACATACATATATTAGACATAGGAAAATTATTTAGGAAAACATAGTAAAATTATAATCAGAATTTGATTGGAAATTATAAATTACATTTCTTTTAAGGTTTTATTTATGTCAGTCTTTTATTAAAAAAAAAACATATGTATGTAAGAATTTGTCTGCTAACCTCTTTTGGGATATCACGAGTTGATGCACTATTTGGTTTGAATACTTTCAATGCCTGCAATTCATTGATACGACTTTGTGCAGCAACTATTTCACGAGTTTTCTCCAAATCAAGAATCTCAAGTTTTCGTTGTATTTTAACGTTATCACTATTTAATCTTTCTTGAGATTCAATATTGCGCAATCTTTCTTCTTCTAACTCTTTAACACGTTCCTGCAGTTGTTGCAGTGTTTCGTTCTTAGCCGTGGTTTCATTATCCATTTCGTTAACTACTCCTTTATATTCATCGAGTTGACTTCGCAAGGCTGCTTGTTGTTCTAATAAATATTTTTTTTCAAAAACTAGTTTTTCCAATTCCGTATTTGCAGTATTCAATTCAGAGATTTTTGTGGCTTGATCTAATAATGTGCTCTGTACACCTACTAAAGCCATTTGTGATGCTTCAAATTTAACCAAGATACTCGACAGTTCGCTTTCTTTTTCCGTTATAATGGCCGATTTTTGTTCAATATGAGCTTGCGCATCAATCAATTTCTGCTTCAAGTGAACAAGCTTTTCACCAAGTTTTTCTATATTTTGATCAGATTCCATTTCAAAGAGTTCGAATATATGGCCTGTTTCACATTTTTCTTGTTCTAAGGACTGCAGTGCATGCGACATCTCCGCATTGGTTGCTGAAATATTTGCATTGACTGTTTGCACCGTCTCCACCATTTTCCGCAATTCCTCTATCTTATTTTTATCCTCTTCTGCCATTTTTGTTCTAAATTGAGCTTCAGTATTCGCAACATCTAATGCGCTTTTCAACGATTCAATTTGATTTTGGAACTCCTTGGCATCTTGAAGAACGCTTGACTCTGCTTCTTTCAACTGTTCGATTTCACTACGACTTTTTCTCAGTTCGTCTTCGATTGTTTTCAGTTCTGATTGCAAACTCTCTATCATCTTGTGTAGTTCCAGCTTTTCTAACTCCAAAGTGCTGAGTGAATTTGAACCATCCAATTGGGTTTGATGTAATACTTCACGTATCTGTTCAGCCTCGTTGCATAAATTAATGATTTGTTTACCTAGTTCATCCTCCTTTGCTTTAAAATCTAGTTGAGATTTTAGTAATTCATCTTGTAGAAGTTTTATTTGTTGTTGTAGACTGGAAATAGCCTCATTTAACTTGGTCTTACTTTGCTCTGCATCCTTTAGCTGCTCTTGGAAATTTTCGATAATTTTTGCCTGCTCGGTCGATTCTTTCTCCTTCAAATAATTTAACTGATATGTTGACTGCGCTTGCATTTCCAGTTTCAATAACTCAAACTCTTCTGCCTGTTTGTCTTTTGATTTTATTGCTGCTTGCAGTTCACTTCTTAACAGATCCGTATCACGAAGTTTTGCTTCAAGTTGCTGTTCTAGTTCCTGCAATTGGTTGCTTAGTTGCAAGCGATCAGCAGCTGATTTGTCTGTTAAGTCCTGCATAGTTTTCTGTTTTTGAGTAAGGTCCTCAGTCAATTTGGTTACAAGTGCGCTTGAAGTGGTTGACTGGTTCCGTAATGTTGCCAAATCTCTTTGAAGATGCTCATTTTCACTCTCTATTCCCGTATATTTCGCAGAAAGTACTTCAAGTTTGCGTGATAGCTCACTTAATTCTAGCTCCTGTTTACCACATTTTTCTTGTTCCAGCTTAAGCATTTCTACACGCTTGATATTCTGCTCTGTAGCACTTTTCATTTCCTGCGTAAGCGTCTCCACCTGGCTACATAATATATCTAGGCGTTGTTGACTGGCCTCCAACTGCCCTTCGAGGTTAATGCGGTCCATGTTGGTTTTATCCAATAGTTCATCGTAAGCTTTTTGTTTTAGTGTCACCATTTGTGACATTTTTAAAAGTTCAGTGTTTGAATCTGTAGATGACGTACGGAGGGTGTTTAAATCTGTTTCAAGTGTTTTATTCTGCACAACCATAGATTCATATTTGCTTTGCAAATTCTCCTGCTGACGCTTCTCGTCACTGAGTGTAAGCTCTAGTTTAACACTCTTTTCCTCAAGAACAGTCAATTGATTATTTTTTTTTGATATCTCGCTGCGAGTTTGCTCAGTGATTGCGCGCTCTTCTTCCAAATCTTTTGATACATTTCTAAATTTCTGATTAATCTCTTCTATCTGACTTTCTAACTTCAATCGTTCATCGTGGTTTTTTCCTTCAGTTTCGAGTAAATTCTTTTGATGCATAGCGAGTTCATCTTTAAGTCTACTAACCTCATCCTCAAGTTGAGAAATAATTGAACGGGAAGAATTAAGCCCATTTTCAAGAGTCTCATTTTGAGTTTTTAGACTTTCACATTTTGTATTGAGGCTATCTAGCTTGCGCGTTAAATTTCCAATTTCAAGTTGTTGTTGAGCACATTGCTCATCTTGTATTTTATTTGCGATGTTTAAATCAGAACATTTGTTTAAAGTTAGCGATAGTTCCTGCTTTTGTTTATTTAAATCATTATTTGCGCTTTCAAGTGCAGTCATGGTCGTGTTAAGGCACTCTATTTTCTCTGCTATTACGCGATCGTGATACGCACATGCCTCCGTCTGAGACTTTAAAGCATTTTCTTTAGTTCTTAAATCTTCGAGAAGGGTTTGCTCCTTTAATTTAAGTTCTTCGATTTTTGAATTTAATTCTTTTTCGGTAGTCGAAGAATTCGATTCAAGATGATTTAAGCCTTGTTTGAATTGATCGACCTCGATGTTAAGAGCCTCAATCTTTCTCATTTTCTCATCTAAACATTCCTGAAATTTTCGTTTATCACTTTCTAGATTTTCTGTCAGGTTTGTATTCGATTTTTTTAATTCTTCTAGGCTAACTGTATATTTTTGTTGCTGATCTATTAAAAGCCTTCGAAGTTCTCCTTCTGTAACAGCGGCAATAACTTTTAATTCTTGTTCTTTTTTAAGCTCTGCATTTAGACGACCATTTTCTGCTGTATGATTATTTAATTTTTTTTTCATATCTTCTATAACGATACCCAATTGTGTAATCGCATCGAGATGCTCGTGATCTGCACATGTTGCAGCCGACAACAGCTCTTCCAAGGCTTTCTGCGATTCAGTCAATTTTCTCACGCCTTCATTGACAGTTCTAAGCTGTATTTCTGCAGAGTCTTTAGCATTTCGCAAACTTATTATCTCATCTTTAAATTTCTTGATTTCTTTCAAATTTTCAGCCACCTGGTTTTTCTCCTGCAAAAGCTTATCCTGCTGTATATTTACCAGTTCCTCCAGTGTCACATTCTCTGCTTTTTGCATACTTAATTCCGATTTAAACTTCGCTAGTTGCTCATTAAGATCCTGCAATTGTGAATCACGATTTTTGCATTCTATCATTAAGATCTCACGTTCATCTTGGTTATTAGATCGTTCGATCTCTACCGTAGATAGAGCATTTTTCTGAGAAGTAAGTTCAGAGCGCAATGTGTTTAATTGTACATCCTTCTCCTCCAGTTTAAGAGCAAAATCGGTTTGCAATTGCTGCCGCTCCTTCTCTGCTTCTTCTTTGAGCAGATCCAATTCATGACTCAGATTTTGAATGCCACATGCTGATAATGAGAACTTTTCAAGACTCTCATCTTTGTACACCAACTCTTTTAGCAATCCTTCATTTTCCTTTCGAAGATATTCTATATTTTCCTGCAATCTTGTTTGCTCATCTCCAGCATTAGCCAGTCGTGCTTCGTACTCCTCTTTTTGTTGTTGTAACTGTAATGAAATTTTGGCGTTCTCGGCAATGGACGTTTCAGTCGGCACATTAATGACAGTAGAGGTATCTTTACCGGACTCTGTTTCTGTAGGTGGTGTAAAATAATAAATTTATAGTAATATACATACATATGGAGTGTTATTTTTTTAGCGATATACTCGTAGTGGTCGGCTAATTGTTCAACATAAAATGTTTACTTTTATACATATGTATAATTTTATAGCAATATACATATACATATTAGGGTTCCGATATCACCCAAGTTGATTTCTTTTTGCTGATGCCCATTATGGTATACCATGTCGTATGAGCAACACAGAAATATTTATAAGCCACTTGTATGAACATTTGATGTTTAACTTTAACTGTGTATAACTAAATAATATTCGTTTTTTAAAGTTGTAGCTTTATTTGCTTAGTGCAAAAAATAAAGACGATCCCATGATCCCATCACAGTTGAGTAAAAGTAACTAGATTTAGACACGGTTTAAATTGAAAAAAGGGCTTGTTTCCGTCAGATAATGTTATTTAGAAAAAAAAACTGAAACTTCTGGGAACGTCAGCAATAAAAGATCAACTTAGGAAGTAACGGACACCTTAATCTATATGTACATAAAAACATAAATATTTTCTCACATATGCTAATTAAATTAATTGTTTAATTTAATATTCTTACGCTAAGTTTATGCAGGAGGTGTTGAACATACTTATGTATGTATATAGTACACATATCTATGTATTCTTGGGCTAAATATTCAAAGATTCTTTCGAATGGCTTTTTAGAAGAGAGGAATGTTAATATTTTGTTGATTTTAAATTGAAGTTTGCTTACCTGTCGAAAGATATGTTAATTTTTTCTCCAATTCCTGAATTTTATCCCTATATACATGAGATTGGACCTAAAACAGAAAGGATGGGCTTTGAGTTGTAGAAATTATTTATTCAATTTAGAAAATTAATTCCAAAAGTTCAAAGGCACTGATTAAATTAATGCATACTCCGTTCGGAACCTAGTTGTTTCGTTTTAGAAAAATTTGTATTTGTGATTTACGATAAATCTAAAAAATTTTAAAATTGCATTGAAAAAAAAAATTATAGTAATGTTTAATCTGGTACAGTGGAGAACATTTTTATATTTGCATGAAAAAAGTATTATTTATTCATATATATGTCAATTTTCCTTAGCACATTTAAATATAAGCGATTTCCTCTGAAAGACTTTGTGGTGGATCATTCAACAAAGATCCATAATTTTTGTGATATGGGTGGTAAAGACAAATAACCATAAGTAGCAAGTCTAACATTCAGAGGGGCATACCGAGAAATATCTAGCGCCTCACAATTAAGCATTTTATATGTTTAGTGTGATGGATTTAACTTTTATTTATTGCGCCATCTGTTTAATAGTGAACATACTAATGCTTGTGAACTTTTATTATTCATTTCTGAATTTGCTTTTACGACTTTCTTACATCGTTACCACAGTATGTAGCCTCATCAATAGAGAATTGCAAATCTTCCGATTTTTTACGTTCATCATCCAGCGAGCGCTCCAATTGAATTATTCGGGACTTCAGCTAACGTTCAAATAGGAGATAAAAGGAAAATAAAACAGTTGAAAAAGGCTACAGCAACTTCAATTTTATTAGAAACTTTAATTTTACAAAAGCAAAATATATATAATATATGTATAGTCACATGAATATTAAGAATATTCCATATTAGCAACAAATATATTGCATAATATATTTCTAAATACACCTCCAAATGTGCGGTTGAATTTTATTAAATACAATAAAGTAGCATAATAGTAAAAATCGTTATTTGAATAAGCAAAAAAATTCGCTCAATAAATCCATATATACATATATGTGTATGCATGCATATTTATCACATGGCTACCCTTGCAAATTGTAGCTAGTTTTGCTTGCAATTATAGTTAACTTTGATGATCGTATATAATTCCTAAATTAGAATGCAGCACCGTAACAAAATAGATCATTTATGTTTATATTAAATTTTGGTGTTTTTAGTCAGGATTCCATATATACAGGTACTTCTCAGATAATTTGAGCACCGTTTACATCTACTTATACATATATGGTATGTATGTATGTAAGGTATAAGTCGACAATAACCGAGAATCCTATTTGATGCGGAGCGGTGTAAGGATAGTGTGTAGGATGCAGTGCCGTTCATGATTGCCATACCAGCCTCGAAATTCACGACGAAGTTCAGCCAGACGAAAACCTCGACGCGTGATGAGTCGTACCCAACGGTCTGAACCATTGAGTTTATCCTATATTAAATATTGTGATAGAAATTTGATTTATATTGATGTATTTAAATAACTACATACGAACATAGGTATTTGAATCTAAAAAAAGTTGAATACAATAGCTTATTTTCATATCTTTCCCTTGCCTTCACCTGCTATTTACACGCGTTTGCGTAAAAACCGTTATAATTTGAAATATTTTTAAAACCTTTAATAAATTCGATAACTACTATTTAGATACTTATAACATATACGCACCTACAAATATGCATGTATGTATGTACATATGTACAAACATATATTTTGGAAGCATGTTATAATTTTTTACTAATTCAATTACATATGTACATACACCAATTCATTGCATCCTTTTGTAGTCGAAAACAGTATTTTTCGTAATTAGTGGCAATTAATGAAACAAACTGCAGTCTTTTCAATATGCAAATGACATTGAGTTATTTATTAAAAATTAACATATAATCAAATATAACAGTAACGAGAACAATAAAAGACAACATCAACAAATTATTTTTAGATATGAAAAAAGCATCATTGACAATGAAACATCTGCATAGAAAGTTTATTAAAAGATCATAATCAAGTTTTCAAATGTGCAAAACTTATGTATAAAAAAGGCAATTAATGTCATATAGATGCACCAATAGACACAACGAGCTTAACGAGTATACTTGTGTCTTTAAAAGCTATATACTCAAGAAAGTGAAAATTTCTATTAATTCTTTGTCATTATTATTAATGTAGTAAATGCTTCAAAATAAAATAACAGTTTTAAAGTGCTGTAGAGTGTTAATGTACGATATTATACATTTGTTGAGTTTACTTGCATGCTATTAAAAGGATAAATTAAGTAACAAAATAGCAGTTTGTTAACGAAAATATATATAAAATCAAGTACAGAAATATGGATTAGAGATAAAAAAAAATTCGATAGTATTCGAATGATCTGTGTATTCAAGTACTTAATGACAAAAAGTAGTTTAAAGAGAACAATTCAACGGAAAGCAAATCAGCAAATATCATCGCTTCTATATATGAACGCCTAACCATCGGAACGTTAGCAGGTTAAGGTGAGTAAAAGTGACTTTGTAGGTGTGTATGTATATATGTATGTATTGTATAAGACCTCATCTTATACACATATTTGCATGTATGTGCTTATGTGTACGAAACCCCAATTAGCCGAAAAATCTCCAATTACCGTATATATTCCTATAACTATTTTGCAATTAGAATCTAGAATGCAAACACTTTATTTGTATCCCAAAACCACACTTTTTTCGTTGGTGGTGTAGGGGAACGTGAGTACGTCCACTGTTGCACCAATGAGGAACGTTTCTTCGCAGGCGAAGAGGGCGGTGATTGCGAACCGCGTGATGAACGCGACGACGGTCGTGGCGGTATAGTAGGCAACCGTTGCCGCGTCAAACGGAACGGTCGCTTCTTATCGGCGTATACGACCGGCGCATATAGCGCGTCTTCGTAGATAATTACCTCGTTTATATTCTTCTGGTATTGTAGCGCCTGATTCTGGCAATCCTCACGATCCAACTCTCGCTCGATCATTAACTGCTCAATGTGCTTCTGCTTCTCGTGTAGTAAATCCTAGCCGTGTCCATATTAAAAGGAAAAAATTTAAAGAAAATAATACAATTTATTCACCTTAATGAACGGAACTTAGACTTAAACATGCCACTTAGACTAAATCACATTGTCACATGCAACTATGGAAATTCGGGCAAAAGTGCAATATATGCATCTAGATACATAAGGGGGCAAATACCATATACTTATAATGGTATATACGTATATAAATATGTAAAGGCATTTACAGTTAAAACACACAAAAAATGAAAACAAATTTTACATATATTTCTTTAGATACAAGTGCTGTAATAAAACAATAAAAACGGCGTTTCTGGCCGTATATGTTCGGACATATTTATTTGAGTCTTATGATTGTTGAAAGTTACCAGGTTAATTACCTTTTTATTAAACCAAAAAACCATAATAACTCAACACTGTATGTACTTGCACACAAATCCGCATACATATGTACTAAACGTATACAACCAGACCCATTACGATTTAATATATCGTTAAAGTACTTAATAGCACAACTCTAAAGATTTGCCTATATACATACATACATCCATAAAAGCAAATTGTAGTAGTAGTTCAACCTATGTGTGTATATATGTATATTGTGTTGGATAATGGTGAAAATTACATGTAGTGCACGTAGTCGAATTTAATGCTAGCAAACAAAATTTGTAACTTTATTTATGAAAGATCAAAATTCGTCTTTTGTAAAACAAGGATCCACCAAAAAAAATAATAATAACGTGCATAGAGTAAGTGTTGGTTTATTTGATTTATAAAGACAAAATTATAACAAACAAATAAATAAAATACATACACATATATACCTATATATACATATACATATGTACATTTCATTCATTGTTAGCACTTAGAGAGTCTTAAAATTATATTTTAGTTAACAACACGCAAGCAATAAGAAATAAATAACTACATAAGGGTATAACGAAAAATCGTCGGATTGGAGAATATTACAGGTGTATTAGTTGGTGCAATTATTAATATTCATTTAGTATTCACACAATGAAGTTGTATTAAGCCACTGATAAATTGCGGTAATATTAAAGATAAATAATTTCAATCATACAAATATGTACATATGTATGTACTCATTCTGGGCAGAACTTTTAAGGGGTTCCATGGGTTTCACGGCTTCAAAAAACCAAAAGATTTTTTATTATCTTATTTAATTCTATAACATATTCTCGTTCAAGCGCGAGTTTATGGTCTTAACTAAAACACATATTTTTTTTGTTTCATTTTAGATTATGCTGTCAGGAGTTATGATGACAACGCGGACGCACCTTTTTTTCGAGGGGATCGGAATCGGAGTTTTAAATTTTTTTTTTGAAAATCTCAGAAATTATTCTTTAAATGTGTATCTTTAAGACAGAAAAAAGTTTGAGTTAAATAAATAATTTTTTATATAGAAAAAAAAATTATTGAAAATAGACCTTTTTTTACCCAACGAAACCCATGTAACCCCTTAAATGAGAAGTTTTTCATAATTCCAGAAAACTTCTTTGTGCGAATACTCGGGAATGTGTATGTATGTACGAATGTATGAACATACATATATGTATATCTACAATTTTGGGCTCCCAGCCCCATAGAAATATTTGGAATAAAATGGTCAAGCATGTACATTTATAATTCTTCTCAGCTTTCATTATCCATATACATATGTAAGATGTAATATAGCATACCTGCATGGAATATTGCGATTTAGGAGGGGCAACGACCGGCTTGATTGACAAAGATTTGCGCTGTATGAGAAAATAATTTAATTTCGTTTCTGTTAATTGATTCGATTAGTTTGGTTAATTGTCAGATCTTATGGTTATAAGTTGTGAAAATAAATATTAAAAAAAAAATGATTTCTTTAAATTTAAGATAATTTAAATTAAATAAACATTCAGCCAGTGAAAACTCGGTTTTAATGTTTGGTTCATAAACGCCAACAGAAGTTCATCATAACGTCTTATTTATACCTGTGCATTCATGCGCAAGCGAGATGTATTTGTTGTTGCGATGCTGTTTATAGTACCAATTGAGTTGAGAGATTCTCGAGAGCCTGCTCTGGATAGACGAGACTTTTTTGATGACGGCGAAAGTGAGACTTTGGCAATCGGCACGAACACTCCATATTTCGGCTTACATTCGAAATACCTGCGTAATTAGGGTATAAATATCGATTTTGTTTTCAGAACGTCGGACAATTTTTAATTGTTAATTAAAAAATATTTTTTCAGAAAAAATATGTGATTTGAAAAAAAATACGAATCTCGTTAAGCAGTAATTTATTTGAACTTACTTTATACCATCGACAGAGCCATCGTTTTTACCAGAAGGCTCGTCTAATTCCACACCACACCAATTGCCTGAAGCGAACTGCGTTTCACCCAAATAACGCAATATACCTGGACGACTACCGAAGCCAGACGACACAATAATGCGATCGCCAACTGCCAAACCATTTTCTTGGTTACGAAATGCAATAAAAAATTATAATTAAATGAATATTTAATGCGAGAGAATATACACATACTTCCCGGGCTGCGTAGAAATGAACTGCGTATGCTGGCAGTTGGTGACACTGTACGTGAACGTTCTGGAGACATTTTTGCTAATGGCGAGGTGGGCGTATTTGCCCCAGAAAATGGTGCCAATGTGAGACGTGTTAAGCGCGAGAAAATACCACGCCTCGGTTCACACTGGAAATAACGTTTGCCAGCGACGCAACCATCATTTTTACCTTAAATAAGTATACGCAGTGTGTCACTGAAATTACTCATCTCATCCGATGAATACTTACCATTCGGTTCATCCAATACAATTCCAGCCCAATCTCCAGGGGCAAAATGAGTCTCGCCAATGTAAGCAATTTGTCCGGGGCGAATGCCGCCTACCCATACTTTCTGACCAATTATAAACTGTTCTGTATCTTGTGTTAGAACGGCACCATGATCTGAGGAAGAAAAAGGGGATCAATTGTACAACAATTGAACAACTGTGTAATTAAATACACAAAGAGGAAGAGTTATGGAAACTTTTTGAATGTAATGGTTTCTTGTGGCCATTTAGTTGCAAACTACAAATATTTAACTTCTAATGATTGTTACATACACAATGTTATACCAGTTTTATAAAAGCAACTTTCAGACAAATGTCTCCAAGTATTTGTAGTGGTTCGATATAAGTAAATATTTACATAGTTTTATAAAATTGCACTCTTAAGTGAGAATCGGCAATTGTTGCGTCACCAAATGTTATATTCATCCTAATTGTAAAGAACGGTACAACTTGTAAGACCACAGTAAGCTTGTCAGTGATAAAATCATCGATAGTTGTTTCGAATACAAATGCAGTATATGTATGTATGTATATATCTGTGCATATCTATGCCTAATGAATATTTTTTAAAAACTTTCCTGTCATTTTTTTCAATTGCAGGTCAGATTATTACTTTTTTATTTCAAGGCCATAATTTCAGCGTGTACAGCGAACTACGAGCGGAACTAACTGTGCTGGTGCATCAATGCATTTGGATTAAAAGCGGCCAAATTGAAAAAACTCTACCCGACGAGAAAATATGAGCAGTAGCAAGCTCAATAGCATTGTGACCCTACATACATGTGCAAGCTGGTAAGTGTTCTCATGGTATAAATACATATGTATGTGTGACTACACTTGGAACAACAAAGACGTGAGGGTGTTGCAAATCAAATTTTCCAGCAATATATAAGTACGTAAATAGATACTTGCATGTATGAATGTGTGTGTGTATGTATGTGGTGTGTATAAACGTGTACAGATCAATTGATCACGAATCAACTCTCAGTATTTGGTACACACTTACACTTCGCTCTCACATACTTATAAGTATATACATATGAGCAAGCCGCTATACATATATACTTACATATAAATATGGCGTTCTAATTACGCCATTGCGAAACAAATATCGCCAATCTCCGATACAATATCTAAAAAGATGGGCGGCGGGCGCTGCTGTTTTGTAGACGTATACCGCCTTCATGAAATGTGTTTTTAATCATCAGTAATTTGGTGTTGATTCCTGCACTTGCAGTAAAATGATTGCATAGCTCCGAAGATGGCCTTTTCACAGTCTATTTAAACAGAGTGTAAGAAGGACAATATGTCTGTATTTTCCCTTTTAATATACCTTGCATTTCTATTATATAGAAACTTGGTACACTTACATAAATATTTATAATCAAGTTTTGATTCATACTTGTTGATTTGGTGTCAACTTCAGCTAAACAAAGACAATTTGTTATGCTAAAACGAAAAACTAATCAATACCAGTTTCTTAATGCATGCGCTTTACCCAATTAAGGCAGCAAAAAGTAGCACATATCTGATGCATCAAATGCAAATACGATGTGAAGGCGCCTACACCCGCGCTGCGTTACGTTAACATTGGCAGTGTAGCGGCGGAGTAACCGGGAAATACTTACATAATTGCAACAAAAAAAGCACTGAGCACAAAAACTCGCCTTCATTGCCGAATCATAACTGCAAATTGCGCACTATTTATTTGCACACCCCTCACGGACAAATCCCCAACAAAATGTTGCAACAGTATTGGCTGTTAAATAGATTTTAAATTTCATAGGATGTGTATGGGTTAATTTAAATTAATATGTATTTTGTGAATTTTTAATAGTATTTGCTCGAAATGTACATGCATAAAGTACATATGTACACATGTAATATGTATACATTTATAAATATGTTTACTAGTAATTAAAAGTTAGTACAGACTTGGCATCTGTCCAGGGAGTTAAGTGATCCATATGCTTTTCAAAATATAATATATCAGCATACATACGAAACAGTTAGTAGGCGAACTGCTTACCTGAACTACGGCGGCGCCCAGTGGCTTCAAGATACAAATCGACTTTCAACGCAAAGCACAGAAACAACAACGAGGACAAACAATGAATTACAAAAGCAAGAAAACAAAAGAAAAATGTAAAGAAAAGATAAAAACAAAAAATGAAAATCGTGAGATACATATGTACGATGTGTATGTGCAAAAATAGAAAAATTTTCAACTTACGCATACATGCATATACAGATATCTTGTAAGTGAGCATTAAGCGGTTGCTCAATATGATGAAAATCACGACCAACACTTGCTCACCAACAAAATATTTTTGACGGAGATATATTAACTTACAAGAGGTGTGGTGATCACTATCCCGAGATTTCAGGGATGTCGTAGTAGTTTTAGATGAATTACGTGACGATAAGTACTGATCCATTTCAGGGGAAAGTGAGGAGCGTGTAAAGCGCTTCACAGTCTCCTGGTACAAATCTGTCGAACGTTGAGTGATAAGTAGAAGCAGATAGGCAAATAAGTACACATGCATATACATATACAAGTTTATGTTCGTAGAAGTAGTTGGATGAGCAGGCCACGTCATTTTGGCATTTCACATCGGCAGCAATTTTGATCGAATATATCACATTCGCCAACATTGGATTAACATATACATATGTATGTAAGCGCATATGTTCGAATGTGTTAGGTGGCGTTAAGAGATCGACCGTAGCAGAAACGTTGAGGTCGTATAACATTCATGTGAAACCGTGTGAAAACAAACGAAAATAATTAAACATTTAGATGGGGCGTCAAGTTAAATATGCACTTTTCTATGTAACAGTAAACTTATCTGGCTAACTGGTTACTTGGTTTATTTTGCGCAATACAAACATAGCAAACACACGTGCAAGTTGTTACCGAATACGCTAACAGTATTAATCGTTAGCTTTTTGAAGGTTTTATATACATACATACATAATTTAAACAATCGAAAGAATTAGTTGATGTGATTTTGGTTAAAATTTAAACAAGCGACATTAAAGCATTATTTCTAATGTTGGAAATTAATATATTCATTTTGGTAATTCCCCGATGTAGTAGAAAAAAAATCCATAAAATAGTTACCCCTTAAAGTTAAAAAAAACAGAAAAGAGAAAAACGCAGACCTTTGGTCACATTTCGAATGAAACAGTGTTGAGGAATTAAGAAAAATATATCTTGCAAAAACATTTGGCTAACAATTTCTGTTGTTCTATATGTTTAGAAAAACATTTTTTTCTGAAAATAACTTTTACTGGGAAACTGTTAAATTAAATGTAAAGATACCAACATTTTCACATACAAACATTTTGCATTTGCGAAGGCTTGCATGAGAAATAACAACGCCAGTTCATAAAGATGAGAAAAAAAAGGGTGAAACCGGAAATGCGAATTAAACACATGTATGTATATATGTACACACATGCAAGTCCAATTTACAAGTGAGACTAGGGCATAACATGGTACAACATTTTTCCAAGTTACACGTATATGAAGTTTGCGAACCAGAATTTTCTTTTGTATCCGCCGTCATCACTTTATAATGTTAAAAGCAACAAAATTTAATGCTATTGCCGCTATTGAGTGTTGGATTAACAAGCTGCAACTTGTCCATTTTGGGAATAGATACATCGGTCAGTGACTGCCTATTGAAATTTACGTCTATATTGATACAACATCGAGTGACTAGAAAACATTGACTGCCGGCCCTCTTTCTATGACTATTTATCTACTTGAGTATTATGTAAAAGCACACAAATCGATTAGGAAACATTTTTCATTAATTAAATGATCATGTTCTGTCAGATGCGATTTGTAGATTAGTTATAAACACTTGAGCAAACCTTTAAATGACATCCTATGGGCGTTACGACGGCTATTTGGACTAGTGAATAGACATACATACACG